ATTCGGCTGGCGGCCGACAAGCAGCCTTGAAGCAGGAAAGTGGGAAAAGGCAAAAGGTAAAAAGGGCCAAAGTGGTGTGGGGGTGTGTGTGCTGGCGTAGCACCGGAATTGGAAGGAGGAAGTCGATGCGGCTCAAACCATGTGGCCAGGCCTGCCGCCTGGGAGGAGGCTGAATGTGCGACATCGACGCTCAATCATCCCATCTTGTCAGCCTGTTCGGGGCTAGCAGCCCATAGCGGCTTCCTCCTATTGCCCCAAGGCAGCCCCAAGGCAGCCCAAAGGCAGCCCCATCTTGCTACCGCTGCCACCCTGTCGATCTCTCGTCCCATCTTTGTGTGAGACCATGCGCGCGAGTTATGCGATCGGAGCTTGTTCGCGCCTCTTGATGCACTCGCCTTCATGCGCCCACACGTCCTCTAATGTCGGCGTCGGCAGCATCCAGACAGCCAGACATGCAGACATGCAGAGAGGCGACGCTGGCGTCTCCACCGTGGTGCAATGTTCCCTGACCCACGAACCGGGCCTGCCCAGTGCTCGCTCACCTCTCACCTGCCATGCATGGGGCCGTGGGCATGGGGCACAGTGCCACACAGCACCGCACACACGGTGGTCCCGGGCCTGGGGCCGGGCTCGTCAACAAGCGCCGAGGCAGGCTGGGCAGGCTGGCTGGCTGGGTGGAGCTCCGCCAGCCCGCGTATTCCCACCGTAACAACGGTCGCAGGCTCGCAGGAGACCCGGGCGGGGCCCTGGAAGCGCCATGGAAGCATTTTGGAAGCATTTTCCACCCTAGCCCGTGAGATCCGGGCCCGTACCTTGTACCCACTGACTGCCCCTTGATTCGGCGGGTCTCTCTTACCTTTTCTGCAGCTCGATCTACCCACTGCCCCTCAAGCTTCTCTCCTTCCCTCCAATGGGGGGCCCCTCTCTCACCCACGCCTGCCCCGCTGTGGCTTGAGTTCCTGACATGGCCCAAGCCTCGGCCATTTGCCTGGACAGTACCTCCCCGTGCTCCCAGCCAAAACAAGCTCTCAGAGCTTCCGGAGCGTCGGTCTGCCACCCTGGGGAGCCTGGGTGGTTGGTCCCTGGTCTTCACAAATCCAAAAGACCATCCATTCTCCATCGGTTGCACAATGCTCAATGCACAACACAACGGGGTCGCGCCGTCCTCACCTGCCTGGTCGCTTTCCTGCCGCCTGCACATTACAGGCCGCCTTCTCTGCATCGCATTTCGGATGCTGGACCGACTGACTCAGCAGACGCCTATGTGCACACTGCACGCTCCATCCAGCCTGCTCGAGTGCACCACCTTGTTCCGTCACCACACCGCTCCGTTCTCCGCTTGTCAACACAAATTACGGACGGTCCACGGTCCACGGAGGGGAAGCTCTCACGGGCCTCAGCGCAGACGTGCTCACAACACCTGCCAGAAGGAGGAGCCTCAACCGTCCCACCAGCCCAAGGTACCCAGTCATCATGTACCGCTCACCGTAGGCCCCCGGTCCGTCCCCACGTCATCCCACATGGGAGCGTGGAGAGGCCCGACAATCTTTAATGAAGCTAATATAAGACGCAGGAACAGGGGGCCTTGGGCCTGATGGGCTGGGTGGCCTGGGTGGGCTGCTAAAGACCAGGGAGCGAAGGCCACAATCTGGCCCTTCCGTCCGGCCGGGGTTCGAAATATCGCCCGAACCCTTGGCTACCGCTTGGTGCTGCCATCGCAGTTTGGCAGTCGGCGAGCTATGGCCTCCTGCGGCTACCCCGGCTGGCTCTGATATATGATACAGTACAACTACAACACTCGTGCGGGATGGAGCCGCTGGAGACCCTGCACTAGTTTTTTTTTTCCTTTTCCCCCCTTCCCCCTTCCACGCGGGTCACCTGAAAAGAAAAGGTCCATACCGAGATCCCGGCATGCCTTGGATCCCCAGAGGCCAAGCCGTCTGCTGACTTTTGACTCTCGTCCCCCTTGCGACAAGCTTTCCCTCTCAACACTGCCTCATAGGTTCCGCACACGCCCGTTTTGCGAATCTCCCATTCCGGACTGCTGCCCTGGGCGGGCTCTATCTATGGAAGAGTGCAACGTGACGCGTAGGTGGGAAGGTTTCGCCGTCAGCTGGGGATGCGGTCTCCACATGCTAGGTCGGCCGCCAGTTGACATACCTGCCGGCCTATCTGCAGCGCAGAGTTCCGGCCGGGAGATTTCCATGGCATGGTGCTGGCCAGCCTCATCATACCCAAAGTGACTAGATGACGGACAGGGCGGGGCCGCCTGATAGCAACAGGATGACGCGATCTGACCGGTCCCAGCGGACAGCGGACGCCGCGGGCAGCTTTGGAGATGGCCAGGGATCAATTTCGTTTCAAACCTGGTGCGTTCGGGCCCATCAACCTGTTCTTTTGTCCCCATCTAATAAGGGTGCAGTGCTGGCTGAGGATGCGCTGGCTGGTCGGTGCTCTGAGCATGCCAGCACCCAGTGGGTGCGCACGTGCTGCAATTCGCAACGGTTGATATCAAATGCGGCTAAGCTAACCCACCTTGGCACTAACTCGCACAAGCCAGGAGGAGTTATGTCGGGTCTCGCAAGCCCGAGAATCTATCCACCATGAGGCCCTCATCCTACACTAACTTCGGTCCTTTTTCCCGATGGTGTTGTACACATGTCCTGGAACCTTCTGCAGAACTCCACAAGGGTTTTGATAAATGAATTTCTCCGTCTTTTGTCCGGCTCGCGATGCACGCAGTCAGGATGGGGACCCGGGGGGCTCCACGCCACGGATGCCATCGGCAGCCAGACACAAATCCGAACCATGCTGTGCCGGTGGATACGGGTATAGCACTGCGTACAGTGCATGCTGACCCGATCTGTCCAGCGGCTAAGGGCCATGCGTTTCCCCTGTTGCAATCTTGAACGGGCCAGGTAGAGAATAGCAAACGCCGCTACCGTGCGTCTCTCGAGCAATCGGAGTTTTCCCCAAGCAGCCTCAGAGACGGGCCAGAACCGCTCGTGTCTCGAATTCTCTCTGCTGCTACCGGCAAGAGCTCCAGCACCTGCGCATCCGTCTAATGGCCATGGGCCGCTGGCCAAGGCCGCTTGGCCTCATGGACCTGCTCACGACACCAATCTAGCTAAGGATCCAGTATCTCGTTACTCTGGCATACCCGGTTCCGACCATGCCGCGCGTTTGCATTCAGCCACGTAGGGCAGATCTTGGAGGCTGACAGCCGTTGGCGCAAGATCCAGAACAAGAAAAGTACCGCCGCTACCAGAGATGCACATAGATGCACATAGATGCACATAGATGCACATGAGACACATCAGACAACGGAAGCCACTCCAACCGCCGAGGTGGAGAGCCGCAAACCTCCTTCAATTTGCACAGAGCCATGCGGAGGCCGAGGGACATGCTGCCATGTTGACACCCATAGATCTCACCAAAATCTTGTGTTTCCCGGGGAGAGCAAGCAGGTAGCACTGTCATATGTAACCACGGCGAGGCCGGCGGCCAAAGAGTCATGCCGAGACAGAGGCTCTTGCTGAAATGGTCAGGCCCAGTGAGGAGTTGGGACACGGCGGATTTACTGGCACCGCTGACTCGCGCGATCAAGTTTCAGCAACCAAGCAACCAAGCAACCAAGCAACCAAGTAGAGCTATTTTCCTTCGCGACCCCCCTTGTAGGCCTTGTAGGCTGGATCTCTGTTGGACCACCTGCCGCCTGTCATTCCGTCGTTCCCACCCCGCGCGACAGTCGGCAATGAGGGAGGAATAACCAGAGGTTTTCATCGAGTCAAAGATCAGACGGCCACCCCGGTTCACCGTTTAGTTGATTTGCAGCATGTCAGTGCCTCAACCCCTTGTTGACCCTTCATAATCTTCCGATTTGACCTGGACTGCGGTTAAATCCTCTTCCTCGTCCTGTCCCCCAAAACCCTTGTCGACGAACCACGAGGGCGCCAAAGCGTGGTGAATCCAGCGGACCCCGCCTGCCAGATCACTTCCGGCAAGGGGCCTTGGCACACTATACTTACACTTTCTCTCGCGGATGGGGGCTGAATTTTTTGATGATGATGGGCATGCCGCCGCCTTGTCCGGAGCGGCCACGTTGCCGTCGCAGCAGGCACCAGGGGGGGAGAGGAGATGGTAGCTTGCGTGCATACCACAGTTACCACAGTATTGCGTGAGGCGATGCCCAGTCTCCAGTTGATACGCCCACCCCGGGCGGTCTGCGAGCTAGCTGCCGAACGGAATTGCATCACGCGGAGAATTTATCGAACTCTTCGTTCTGGTGCTGACCTAGCCTGCATGGAGCTGACGCGCGGATCAGCAAGAGGACCAGACCCCTTAAATTTTCCCTATCCCCTTGTCGCCTTCCTGAGGTACAGCGCTGCATGTAGCACCGCGATGGCAACGTGAACAACAACTACTGTTCCTGTGCGAATGCACTGGTATAGTTTGGTGTGGTGTGGTGCAGGTGGCATGTTGCTAGCCACATGCATGTCCGAGCCGCGCGCCGCCCAGGGTGGGCTGCAAACCCATTTTAGACGTGCTCAGCGCCTCGACATACCCGAAAAGCTTCCTGTAGTGGGTGCGCACTCGTATGCACACATGCGAATACGCCTTCCCAACTGCTCACCTGTGTCTGCACATACATGCAGCGGGACGCGATCGCGCGCGGTGCGGCGTGGCATCGCATAGAGGTCTACTACGCCATCGATTAAACTATCCGGGCCCATCTGGCTGATGTGACAGCGGGCCATGGGATCCCCTCGTCGGCGCTGGTGATGCCACTACTACCACTTGTTGCTTAGAACCGCGTTGTATATGTGGTATAGATGCCACTCTACCGGATTGTCGGATTCGACGCTGCAAGCCTTTGCGGCGATCAAGAAGCAGCACCGTGACCGCCAAGGCTGTCTCTTCAATTGGCTGGCTGCCCTCCTCGCCGGGTTTTGGATGCAATGACGAAGGCGGCTCGGCTTACCTCGAGCCAAACTCCACCATTACATGGTAGCTCTCCGAGCCTCAGCGTATTTCCGAAATAGATGGGGGCCGGACTGGGGGTGTGGCACGGCTTCCCCAGAAACGCTCACCGTCAAGGACAAGGGGAGGGACTGGCACATGGGTACGCGGAGGAATAAAGAAGAAAGGGCAAAAGATGGGATGAAATAATTTGCTCAATGGGGGCCGTCAAGTGTCGGGGGCCCAGACCAGGGTGAGGTGAGGTGAGTTTGGCCAAGGCTGGTGAAGGTCGTGAGCGGGAGACTGGGAGAGTGAGGCCCGAGTTCATGCCCCCCCCCCCTCAAAAAAAAATCTCCAAATCTCCCAGGGCCCGCCAAAGGTGCCATCGCTACCAGGAACCAAATGCTGTCGGCCCAGGCTGGGGAACCTGCAGCAGCTGAAACTCAGGATTCTCGGGAACCGGTCATCGATCGCTCACACCTTCACGATCTTAATATAGCCCACCCTTGCCTATATCACGCGGGCATTTGGGAAGAAGCCCTGCGACCGTAGCCTTCATGCTAACGTAGCTTTCCGGCACCTCGGCTTGCGACTCTCGATCCTCGAACTGTTGGATCCAGCGCGCTCCGTCCAGCGTAGCATCGCTAGGTCTGATGGTCAACAACCTTCCTAGCCTACAGAAATAATACGCCGACAGGCCCTTGCCTGGCGGAGGGGTCCTTGTCCCTGTCGACAACCCTGTCCCTGTCCCGGGCATTGAGTTGGGCAGGACCTCATGGAGCACAGTTGATTCGCCCCCATATCATCCAAACCCGCCTCACCAGCGGTGCTCCCTTGAGACTAATTGAGAAATGGAGCACAGCGACACCGGGCAGATGGGGAGGGGGCGGAGGGGAAACCAACGGCCGGTGCTGCTGTTGCTTCACCATCACCACCACGAATGGGCCAAGTTCAAGCTTTCGTTCCGGGCAGACGCCCGCCAAGCGAGGCCACGGACAACAAAAGCCCTGACCCTCGACCACGACAGCAGGGGACAGCCCAGACTATCCCAGGTCGGGGAATCAGGTCGTTGATGTCTGTGTCAGTCGGAGCAGATCTCCTGTCGAGGCTTAACCTTCGAGTCGCTTGTTCCAGAAGTTCTTTGCTGTCGAACCCGATCCCGTAGGCGTGCGCGGACAACGCTGCGGCGTCCCGACTCGACGGCCATGGCGGCATCCCAGTCCTCTTGACGTCGAAGATCTCGGGGATTTTCCCGATACTCATGCCTCGCTCGCCACTTGTCCTCCGTTCATCGCAGCCCAACCTGCGCAACTGACTGGCGAAGCTTGGCCGCCAGTGGACCACCGCATAATCCGAATGCGAGGCCACATGTCACCTGGACCTTGGGCGAGACGAGCTTCCTCTTCCCCCAGCTGGACCTACTGCTCCTCCCCGACGGGCTGCCTGGGCGGGCGGGCAGTCAGTCGGTCGTGTCGACGGCGTGCTCACCGCCCTCCGACTCGTTATCTTGCTGTTGTCCTCGTCCGGCCAGAGAGCATGACGTCCTCCATCTGTAACTCCAGGTGTGTATGTCTGACTGTCTGATGCGGCAAGGAGGAGCAATAGAGTTAGGCTAGCCGTCTCGACAGGTCAGCTCAGTCTGAAAGTGCGGCGAAGGCGGGCCGAGCATCTCGACGGCTTTGCGAGACATGTTATGTGCCCCGCGATGTTCTACATGGACCTACCTGTGTCGTGGCGGTATCACTACTGCCACAAGTGGGCTGTTACTACACAGTACCTGCATGCTCTTCTGGTCGGCGATGGCCAGGTACTTTGAAGAGCGGGCCGCCCCGGCAGTGTGGCTCGGTAGCTGCTACCGGAACCACATAGGGAGGGTTCCAGTGCGCCTGGTCATGTACCGAACAAAAGCCGTGCCTGCATGCTCGCTACTGTAACAAGAGCTGCATGCACCACCTCCGCGGCCCCCCTCGAGGGACCCAGATGCCCGGAGATCAGTCGCCAAGCGCTGTATCTTCGGACGTTTGGAATATATTGCACTTCGGAACAAACAACGACTCGGACTGCCGGTGTCCCTGTCCACGTTGCTCGCACACACACACGCAGGGAGAGATGGGCAGGGCAGACAGACAGACGTATCTATGTACTCTCCCGCTTCCAAAAAAAGAGACGGCCCGCGCACGCACACACATAGACTCACACTCGCACTCACTCACCCACACCCCACACACATCATATTACACAGATGGGACACATTTTGGGTTTCACGCTTGAATCCCCACACCATAAACCACAACCGCATGCGTGCACAGTCGGTTAGGATCGACATGTCGTAGCCGCCTTCGACTGCAACAGTGCCCAGTGCGGCGCTGTATGCTGTGTTCGGTTTGCTGCACGCTGCGTGTAGACGGTCTGTTGTGTGCGCCGCAAGTGTGCTGTGGGATGCGGTCAGGGAGAGGCAGTCGCCTCTGGGCGGTTTTTCCGACACGAGCTCAAGGCCTGTGACCTTCGACGCCCTCGTCCATCGTTGTCTGGTTTCATCCCTCCTTTCTCCCAAAAGGTGAACGTCGCATCGGCCCTGCACATGGTCGTCTTTTCCCTTTCCCTTTTCCCCAGGCCCCGGCCGCGGTGTCTTCGCCCGAGGTGCCGGTCCCCATGCCCATCGCCCATCTCCTGCCCGGTTCGCTGCCCCCATCGTCACACCCCGTGTCACCAGGACATCCAGGCACAGACAGAGACATTGTTCGGTTGTGGAGAGACTCGGGCTCCACCCTGGGCCGAGGGATCGACGCTGGAATGCCATGTTGAGGGGACACGGGGGTGATATCAGCTGTCCACATCCTCCTTCGAGAGGTAAAAAAAAAGTCGTGGTGTATAAAAGTACTGTCACCGTAGAGCAGGCGCCGCATTCGACTCGTCCGGAACCTCCGTTGCAGGGGCACTTGTGCTATGACTAGCCAGCAAAATTCCCCACGGCCGCAGGGCCGGCACGTCACCTGGGAACAACCCAGGACCGCCGCCCTGTCACGCCTATATTGCGACAAGATTATTGACTGCTGATCATCGCCCACCCCCAAATTTAGCATACGCATACACGTCGCGAACGGGTCACGCGAGGGTATGGTTTGAACACTTGGTCACTGGGGGGCGGTTTGGAAACTCAAGCTTGCATGATTTATCCGCCCCCCGGCCAAAACACGGCCGCCGGGCCAGAGCACCGGAGCGCATTGCCTTGAGCCTGTAAGCATGTATGCGTGCATGCATGTGTGGTATAGTTCATTCACGGTTCGTTCGTTCGTTCGTCCGTCGAGAACAGGAGGGGGCAGCAAGGGAAAGAAACACCGGGGGGGGTGTGCACGGCATACAAGGAGCAGAACAAAAAGAAGTCACGGTCCTGCGCTCCCCGCCTACCGGCCGGGCGATTTCGCACGCAGGCACGCAGGCACGGCAGCCCGGGCAGCGCACATTTCCGTCCGGTTCCCGTCTCATGAGAATTTCCGAGGCGGTGTGCGCGGGGCAGATGGGTCGAGTACCAAGGACGCGGGACCCAAGAAGACAGATGCGTTGGGTAATGCCCAGACTCAGTTCGTCCCTTTGTGGTCACAACAAATTCATCCATTCTCTTAATAAATCTGCAGTGCGTGCACTCCTACTACCCCATCATCCGTCCTTCCGCCCAAACAACCCCCCCAGGCCGGAACATGAGCAAGGGCTGGGCATTGGGGCGGGGATGACGGGTGACTGACAGATGGGCTAAAACTATCCGCAACTTCAGCCGAAACTCACTCACCCAGGCCAGACGTAGAGATGCGCATGGGACCAAGACATGGGTGAGCGGGGCCGTCATGGGAGATCGGACCAGAAACCCAGACGCAAAGAGACAGCACCCGACGAATGAGCAGCCCGGGGACCAACGGTGATCGTCGGGCGCCTGTGTCAGATTGTCAAACGTGGCACCGTGGTAGGTGACTGTATAACTCTCCTTTTGTGCGAACCTCGTCCAAAGATCTTGCAATTAAACGACGCTGTTGAACGATGAACGGGGTTGCGCTTGTTCAACCGGATATATATAACACAGCGTTAAGAATGTCGCTCCCATGTACAATACTCACGTCCGCAGGAACCGCGCATAATCCGCCCCCAACATCACCACGGTAGTCTCATGTGTAATGTGCATGTTCATGTCCCTCGCTGCAAGCCGTTCCTTTCCCTTATGCCCGTTCCCTTCTCCGAATGCGTGAGGGCGGCTGTGGGGCGTCCATCGATCAATGCGATCCCATAATCGCCCCGTGCCCCTGCACAGCACGTTTGTCCCGCAGCCAAATCAAAGACTTGTGCAAGGCAGGTGCGGATTACACAAAGATCCCATCTCAGATTTAGACGAGAAAGCACTATATCCGTGACGTTGGTAAGTGCCGGCCCTACTGCTGCGCGACGTCGCGAGCTCGCATATGTGGGCAACGTGGGCTCCTGGCATTCGTCCAACGGTCAACAGTCCGGAAATGGGTGAGTGGGAAATCACAACAGAAAGGGCCGGCGGCCAATGGGAACCATTACATATGCTCGGGCGCCCAGAGACCGGAATATTTGCCTTGGTCTATGAGTGAGACGAACCCAGCCACAGAGACAGAGCATGTCTCGGTCACGCAGCTTGTGGTTCGCGACTCGCAGGAGCGCAAGCGATCGATGCCATGTTCACAGCCGGCTCTGGAACCCCGGAAGCTCGTGATCCTCGGGCCAGTGTGCTTCTGGCCAGATGTAACGCAGGGCCTCCCAGATGTGGCTGAAGCACTCATTATCAGTAAAGGGTGTAGATAGACGAGGGTGCAGGTAGATCTTTCGAGGCTGCGCTCCGAGCACAGCATGAACGAGGGGGGACTTACCCGACATGGACAATGTCAAGACCATCCTTGACCTCCTGTGGCAGGTCCTTGACGTCCTTGCGGTTCTGGGCCGGTAGGATGACGGTCTGGACACCAGCTCGAAGCGCCCCAATCAACTTCTCCTTGATGCCACCGACTGCTGTGACGCGGCCACGAAGCGATATTTCTCCCTAAGTCGTATGTCATGTTAGCCTCCGACCCGCAACGGACGTAAGCCCTGTGAGTGTGCGCAGGAGTGGCACAGTACGTACCGTCATGGCCATAGTGGGTGGTACAGCCTTGCCGGAGAACAAGGATATCAGCGCAATCGCCTGCGCCATGCCGCTGCTAGGCCCGTCTTTGGGAATGGACCCGGAAGGACAGTGCACGTGAATACTACGGTTCTTCATGATGTTCTCGGATGGGTCCTGAGCCAGTCCAAGCTCGAAGGCGTGTGCTTTGACCCAGGACAGCGCAACCTCGACGCTCTCCTTCAGGACGTCCCCAAGCTTTCCAGTCAGCTGTACAGTGCCGGAGCCAGGCATGTCGGCCACCTCGATGAAGAGGATGGAGCCATTGCCGCCAGAGCTGTAAGCCACAAGGCCCGTAACAATGCCTGGGCGGCTGGTCTTCTCGGCGATTTCTTCCTCGAACTTCTCAATTCCCAGGGTGTTTTCGACGTCCTCAACCGTAAGCTGGGCCTTGTATGTTTCCAAGCGGCCAGCGTCTTTGGCGTCAGCGTATTCAACTGCTTTGGCTCGGCAGACGCTACCAATTTCCCGCTCCAGATTGCGTACTCCAGCCTCGCGTGTGTAGGATTCGATGATCTTGGACACAACATCGTCGGTGAATTTGACGTGATCTTCGTCAAGACCATTGACACGCACCTGCTTAGGGATAAGGTGAGACGTAGCGATGTGTCTCTTCTCCAAAGTCGTATACCCGGGGAGGTAGATCATCTCCAGGCGATCCAGAAGAGGAGCTGGTATAGTGTCAAGTGAGTTGGCAGTAGCGATGAAGAGCACCTTGCTAAGGTCCAGAGGTATGTTGATGTAGTGATCCACAAAGGTGTTATTCTGTTCCGGGTCGAGGACTTCTAGCATGGCAGCTGAGGGGTCTCCGTTGAAGTTTGCCTGGCCCAACTTGTCGATCTCATCCAAGAGGAAGACAGGGTTGGCTACCCCGACCTTACGCAGGCCTTGAACAATGACGCCCGGCATTGCAGCGACGTAAGTCCTGCGATGGCCACGGATCTCTGCCTCGTCTCGAACACCGCCCAGCGAGATCCGGTGAAATTTCCTGCCCAGGGCTTTGGCCACCGATCGCGCCAGCGATGTCTTCCCAACCCCGGGAGGGCCGACGAGAAGCAGGATTGGCGACCTGTCAACCATCCGCTTACTCTTCAGGACTTCAAGCTTAGCTGTGCTTGACTTGACCTCGTCATCTGATCTCTCTGGAGCAGGCGCGCCGTCTTTGGAATCCTTGGCTGTCTCCGTAGCTGCCATTTCCTCCTCGGCCTGCTTGATCCTGGCGTCTATGTCCTCGTTGACCGACTGTTTCAGCCGCAGTACCGCGAGGTACTCGAGAAGCCTGGCCTTGACTTTCTCCAGCCCGTAGTGATCGTCGTCGAGCTGTTTTCTTGCTGCTGTTAGAGTCCCAGGGCCAAGTCTGTCATCCGTAACATGGGTCCATGGAATTTCGGCGAGCGTCTCCAAGTAATTTCTGGTGACAGCATGCTCAGCCTGGGCGGGAATCATCTTCTTCAACCGCTTGAGCTCTCTTTCAGCCACCTTGGCCGCCTCTGGGGATAACTTCGCCGCTTGAAGCTTCTTCTCTAATTCATCAATCTCGTTAGGCTCGTCATCGTCGCCGCCGGATGGACCATTCATTCCTCTCGAACCCGTGAATGGAATTCCCAATCCACTCCCAGAGCCACGCACTGGGCCGAGGGGTTTACCAGGCTTGCGTTGGGGCTCCTGGTCTTTGTCGTCGGAGTCGATGATAACTGGGACAGACGAGGTCGTGAAAGTGGTAATGCGAATGTTGTTTTTGATAGACGAGATTTGCCGTTCCAGAAGCTCTATCACCTTGACCATCCGCTCTTTTGTGTCAAAAAGTGACAGGACTTTGAGTTTCTCCTCAAATGATGCCTCGACAACATTGGCCATGAAATCTGCCAGGAGGCCGGCCTCGGCGAGGGTCTTCTTGTTAATGAAGAAATCGAGCCTGCGAGCCAAAAGCGGCGAGAGGCCCGGTGAACCTGATGATCTGAATATGGCAGCCACCCTGAGAATTGCGACCAACTCCCTCGACAGAAGCCTGAGAGCTTGGAATAGATCCTCGACGGGCTTGTCTTGTGATACTGGTTGGCGGGTTAGCAGGCGAGGCCGCCATGGCGAAGGCGCCCAGTCTAGTAGAAGCATAGTGATTCCTTACCTTGATCCTTGAGGTAGGTGACCTTGCCCTCGAAGTATGGTTGTGTTTGGTATATCTTATCTACCTTGACCCTCGTAATGCCTTCTACGATAAGAGAGAAGTCGCCAGTCCCGCGGCCTTCGACACCAGTGATCTTCGCAGCGACACCACAGGAGAACAGATCGGACTTTGACAAGTTTCGTCCCGAGTCATCCTGGGCGACCTTTGAGTAGTCCCGCTCGCCATTCTCAATCAGCAGCTGGCCGTTTGGCCCCATCAGAGGTGACAGGCGAGCCTGGGGGACACAAGCGATAGGGACGGTCTCTATGCGACCATTGGAACCGCCGGCGGCAGCACGGGTGAAGACAGTTGAGAGCAATGCCGGTATGTCCGGACGGCTGGGAGAAACCGGGATTCGCTGGATGGTCCCTGGCAGGAGGACAATGCCATGGGGCAAAGGAATGATGGGTAGGGTGGCGGAACTGGATGGAGCCATGATGACCCGGGTCGAGCTGTGGAGTACTACAGTGCTTCAAGTTGTCTTCGAAGGGCCGGTCGAGGTGGAAGGAGTTTATGGACGGATGTAAGTGCGAATAATGGGCGACAGAGAGATGCGGAGGCGGATCCAGATGAGCTGGCTGTAAACAAAGGAGAATCGATTGGGACAGAGACGAGCAGTAATACAATATGCAGGAAGACAAGTTGGCTAGAATGGTGTTGGCTTCCACAAGACTGTGACTATATGCAGGGCGCCTCAGCAAAGGCAGCGAAGATGGTGGTGTTTGGCAGAATGGTGAATGCTGGACCGGTTGACGTTGACCATGACGAGGCGAGAGAGCCGAGGCTAAAAAAGACCCGCTGCGACCGTTTGCCCCCTCCCCCCGGCTACCGCATATGGTTTGCCGCTTGGGGCTCCTGATCAGGATGCCAACACCACCGATCGCGGGGTTGCGAAAGGCTCCTAGAACATTCTATATCATACTGAGCACTTCACGCTGCACCGTCCGATCGATTGGCCATCATGAAGTGAAGGTGAATGGGGTATCTAGGTAGACTAGTCATCAAGAATCCGATACATACAAATCGAGTAGTTCCCTCTTGGCTCTTGAGAGAGAGGGGCAATACATGAGCTGGGGTCATTCCACAGCATTAGGGTGTGATCACAGAGGAAAGTTAGTATAGTGTAATAATTGAACAGATTATATTCCAATAAGGATATAATCTTAGCAAGGCCCCTATTCCCAATTTAATAATAAATTTTACCTATAAGTAGAATTTTCTACTCACACTAATCCACACTAAGCCTTAACATATACTCCTCACCCCACTATAAACTATAACTACTTTAAAAAAAGATCTACATATATTCTATTATTAAACTAATATTTTCATTAATTTACAAACTAACCTTATAAGGTTAATATAATATACTAACCTTTATTAATATAGCCCTTATAACCACAATATTTAATAACCAAATCTAATAAATATACTTCTTAATAACTATTACTTTAATAATTAATACCCTTAACTTTAATAATTAATATAAAACTTAAATCCTATTATTTACTTTTATTATTATTAATATTAATAATAAAAATAATAAAACTAAACTAAAAACTATAAATAAATTAATAAATACTCTCCTACATAAAAGTAAAATACACTTTTATAATATATTTTAAATATTAAAACCAACCTTTAAAAACCTTCTCACCTAACTAAAAAAACATACAACCTTTAATAATATAAAGCAATTAATAATAATATTATAATTAATAATATTCCTCTAAATATATATATATAATAAAATATAATAAAATTATATTTATTAGTTCCTTTATATTAATTAACTATTAATAAAATTATAAAAACTATTTAAAATATTTCTATATTTTATATAAAAGATTATATACCCTAAATTAATAAAATAGCTTAACAAATAATATAAGCTTTAAAAAATATATACTTTAATAAATATATTAATACAATTAATAATATATATATTATAACTTATATTCCTATAAATAAATAAGCTAAATAAAAAATTAAAAAAATAATATTATAAAATATTTTCATTATAATAAAAGTAATAAATTATTTATATATATACTAGCTAATAATAAAAGTTTAATAAATAACTATATACTCCTTAATATAACTATAAAGAAGAACTTTAAAGTCCTTTTAAATAGATTTTACCTAATAAATATAAAATTTAGCTTTAAAAAAATATTTTAGTACTATTTACATTAATATAATACTACTTTTAAGATTAAAAAGGGAAGTAAAGCTATATAATATAAAAGTTATACAACTTTTATTATACTTACCTTTATATTATAATAAAATAGGTATTTAAGCTACTAAAAAAATAAAAATTATTTAAATCTTTATACCTAAATATAATATTAAAGTGTAAATTAAATTTATTTATACTTATATAATATTATAAAACTTTTAATTAACTTTAAATAAATAAAAAGAATAAGGTTTTAAAGGCACTAAAAAAGCTTCTAATAAACTATTCTATAAACTTATTATTATAAAATAAGGTAAATAATTTATTAAATAAAACTTAAAATATTAAGGAAAATAATTACTATAAAGATATAGCTAAATTATTATAAAAATATTATAATAATATTAATTAAAAATAATAGTTTTTAATAAAAACTCTAATAGTCTACTAATTAAATACTAAAAGGTTATTAATTAAATATTTAAAGCTTAACTTTTAAATACCTTTTATAAAAGTACTAAAACTTAATACTTTTAACTAAAATAGAGTATTTTAATACTAAAAGTTTTAAATTTATTAATTAAATTTTTATTTATATATATTAACTTAAATTTTAATTTTATTAATTAATTAAAAGATATAAAAGTTCTAATACTTAAAATTTAAATTTACTAAAAGCTAAATACTTTACTAATTATAGCTAAAAACATTAAAATCTATTATATTTTAAATAACACTTTAATATATTTTAATATAAAAAAAAAATAAAATTTAATTATTAATAAATTATATAAAGTAAAAAATAAGCTATAAAATATATATTTTAAAATCTTAATAGAACATAATTTATAAAAGTTAAATAAAAATATTTAATATAATCCTCAAGATAATTAAAAGCTTTTAACTATTATTATATTATTAGGCACACTTATAGCCCACCAACTCTTTTAACTTAATTAATATTACTTACTTCCTTAACTATTACTAACTTTTTAAGCCTAAATTATTATTAAGTTATTTTTAACTATTTCCCCTATATTATTCTATATTATAATAGCTAAAGGGTTTATTATAAACTTAAATAAACAAGTAATTACTATTTTATTACTATAAAAACTTAACTAACTATTCTTCACTTTATAGTAGGCCTATAAATTTTTAAAGGCAGCTATAATTATATTAATTTTTATAAACTTATTTAATTAAATAACTATAATTAGTATACTATTACTTAAAGTATTACTAATAATCTTTTAAATTTACTAAGTAATTAAAAAGGAATTAAAGTTCTAATAGAAAATAATAATATACTATTAACCTTTAAAGTTTAATTTAAATTATTAAAATCCTCTAATTAAGTATAATAATACTTATAAATTAACTTATTATTAAACTCCTTTTCCTTATTAATTATAATATAATTATTAAAAAAGACTTCCTTTTATAATAAGATATTAATTTCTTTATTTAATATAACTTTTTTTTAAAAAATATTTTTATAAACTACCCTATCCCTAAACTTTATATTTAAAAGCTAACTTATATTTAGCTAGCAATTAATTATTAATATAAAGTTTTCCTTTAAGCCCTTAACTTTATTAATCTCTTTATTATATAATATATTAAAATATATTAAAAACATTATAAATTACTTATATTACTTTTTTTTAATATTATATTTTATTTTAAATAGCTTAACTACCTATAACTAAAAAAACTATTCCTTTAATAAAGCATTAATAAGCTTCTCCTATATAAATCCTTATTATAATTAATTTATTAAATTTAAAAGTTCCTTAAACTTATAGTTTCTTAATAACTTTATAAATTACTTTATTTATAGCTATATAAACTTAAATAACACCTTTTAAATTATTAAAATTAATATTATATATAAACTTAAAATATATTATTACTTACTTATAAACTCTTTTATAATTAATAATATAATCTTCTACTTTTATAAGCTTACCCTAATTAAAAGTATAATTAATACTAATTTTAATTAATAATAAGCTTAATTAATAAATTTAGTAAAATTAAAGGGGTTCTTATTATTAAAAAGAATTTATATAAATGTATTTAGTAAAAAAATACTATCTTTAATACTATAAATAACTTAACTAATAAAAAATTTAAAAGCTATTATAATAACTAAAAGGTATACACTTTTAATTAGTAATAGTATAATTAACTTACTTATAGCTAAAAATAATAACTTATAGCTATAATAGCAATAATATAAACTTCTCCTTACCTAACTAAACTACCTAATAAAAAAGGTAGTAACAACCTTAGCCCCTAATAAGTAACTTCTAGGTTAATACCTAAAGAGGAATAATTACACGTATAGGGGGCTTGGCGAGAAGGTTACTTTATAGGGGCTTACACCACACTAACTTTCCTCCGTGATCACACCCTTAGTACAGGCTCGATCCCCACCCCCCAGCCGGTGCCTATCCTGCTGGTCCCAGGACCCCACCCTCACCCAGTAAAGCACGTTAAAGTGGTTTCCCGGCAGCACGGCGCGTCAACTCCCTGCTCAAGACGCGTCTCCCTCGATTTGATCCCAGACTTCATTCAACACCACCCAAACCACACCCTCACCCACACCACAACCCCTCCTTAGACTCACCACTGCCCTTCAAAATGAGTAGTAAGTTGACTCTTTCGTTTCAATCATGTAAATCATAACGAGACAAAACCTGGACTGACCAAATACGCGACAGCTTCATACGCATCATATGGCGCCAAAGGTGGCGACAGTGACGGCGGTTTCGTCTATGGCGGCTCCCAGCCAGGCAGCCAAGGAGCACAAGGCGGTCAGAAGGTACCCGCGCCTCCCCTTTCGATGCTGTCTCTCTTCGCGTTCGGCACGTCGCCCAAAGACAAAATGCGCGTGCTAACATGGCCCTGCCCCACCAATCCAGAACTACTCCGAGGACTCCCTCCGCCCCGTAACGATCAAACAGCTCTACGAACCCGAGGAGACATACCCAGGCGCAAACGACTTCTCCCTGGACGGTCACCCGGTCACGCAGGTGACCTTCGTGGGGCAGGTGCGCCAGGTGAGCCCGCAGTCGACCAACATAACCTACCGCATCGACGACGGCACGGGGACCATCGAGGTCAAGAAGTGGGTCGACGCCGACAAGCCCGAGGAGCTCGAGCCCAAGTACCAGGTCGACCAGTACGTCCGCGTCTGGGGCCGGCTCAAGCCCTTCGGCAACAAGCGCCACATCGGTGCCCACTTCCTCCGCGCCGTCGACGACCCCGACGAGATCCACTACCACCTGCTCGAGGCCACCTACGTCCACCTCTACATGACCAAGGGCGACCTGAGCGCCGGCGGCGCCGCCGCCAACGGCGACGGCAACGCTGGCAACGGCGACAGCATGTTTGTCGACTCCTACGGCGCCAACGGCGGTGACGAGAACGCCGCGAAGCTCGGCGCCTGCGGTCCCGCTGCCAAGAAGATGTACAAGTTCCTCACCGAGACGCCTGGCAGCAATGAAGGCGTGCACCTGAACCTCATCACGAGCGGCGTGGGCATGACGGGCCGTGAGGTCTTTGCCGCGGCGGACGAACTACTGGGGCAGGGGCTTATATACACAACAGTCGACGACGAGACGTGGGCAGTACTCGACTACTGATCAACCAAATTTGCCCGTCTCTGTCTGTTTGCGTGTGTGGGAACATGGCCGCCCGGGAGACATTTGCATCCACAAGTGTACCGGTTGGGGCTGGAATGGCGTCTTCTGCGGCAAAAAGAATGATTGCCCTGTTTGCTTTTCTTCAATGTCACGATAATACCTATGCTATTGATGTAAAGACTGGTTTGCGCGGGGCGGATGTTGGTTTTGGGGGGACAAAACGGTAGAAATCAAGGGCCTGACAAGCTTTCAATCTAATGGCCACTGCAGCAAAGCGTGAAATCAGGACGGAGCATAAGGAGGGACTTTGAGTCAGTCTAGCCTGATTGCCACGGGGGTGGAGAAAAAAAGACCAGGAATGAAATCACACAACCACACGACAGGCACGCGTCTGGGGTGCACACGGGGCCAGCAACCACGGGGCTCTTTCTCCCTCCCTCTCAAGAGAACAGAACAGTTGGCCACTTTCCCGGCCCACCATCCAGGAGTTCCCTCAAGAATTCGGGCCACCCGGTGCTGCTGTTTTAAACTGCGGCTTGACGGCGGGGACGTTAGCAACCTTGGCGACGGGTTGGGGCTCTCGCACCATGATGGTCAGCTGGACCGGAACGGCCCCTCGCTTGAGGAATATCTCCTTTTTCACAACAAACCCAAACTTGGCGTAGTAGGCGTTGTTGGCGAAAGAGCTCGACTCAAGGTACACAGGCCGGTTCTCAGCGTCAGCCTAGTCGGCAATGTTAGCCCTTGATCACGGTCGCGAGGGGGCCCGGGAAGAGGAGGAGTGGCTAGCATCGGGACATACCCTGGCGATCATGGTCTGTAGGAGTTTGCGGGCGTAGCCTCTACCTCGCGCGTGGGGCTTGGTGCCCAGGTAGACGAGATAGTAGGCGTTCTCGTCGCGCTCGCCTAGAACCTCGGCCTTGGTGTCGTGGAGCAGCGGAAGCATCTCACTGTAGTAGCGCTGTCTGCCCTCAGACGAGAGCTGGAAGTACAACCTCCACATGCCACTTCTAATTAGGGTGAACCAGTCGTCGATATTTCTGCCAGGCGGCATCCTTTCAAACTGTCAGATCCACTGGCGGTGACATTCACTTTGACTTTCAAGGCAAGGGGCAGCATGGACTGGCAGCCAGGGTCGGCGAGGGAGGGCGGAGCAATGGAGGGACATGACGGGATCACTGACCACAACGCGACACCTTCGTGATCTGGCCCAATGACGTGAACCTCGCCGTTAAGACAATGAGCCGCGACGATGTACTGGAAGATGTCCACGTGCAGCTTCCACTTCTCCTCTGGGGAGAGCCCGGCCATGTCGTCCGAGTCCAGAAGGTAGCGTGCGAGGTCGTCCGTAGCGAAGGCATGAGCCAGCGATATGGCCACCTGCTGGCATTCGCCCATGTCGACAATACGGACAGACTCCCCCCACTTCTTGGGGATGAGCGAGTGCTTCAGCTCGACAAGAGTGACGGTGTTAGGACTGTTCACAGTCTCCATGCTGGGCACGTCGTTGACTGGGCGAACAAGCTGTCAGGAGAGGGTTTCCCGCGACAGCCATGTGGACAGGGCAGAGGGAGACTCACCTCTGGCTTTTACGCGGGTTCTATATTCTGGATACTATCACCCGTGTGGACTCGAGACAATTGGGATCTCGAGACGGGCATAAACCTGGAGGGGTGGGTGAGGCAGTTGAGACAGGTGCGTATATCAACAGACATCAATGTAGAGTTCGACGAATACCGCCTTGAGCAATTGGGATTCAGGTGATGAGGTTCGATCGTTCGTTCAGTCAGTCAGGAAAGCAGACAGACACACAAGCTATCGGGCGAGCAGATGCTGAGACGCTTTGTTCGTGAGTTCGTGTAGGGACAAAGGGCGGGGTCAGTAGTGGTGGGGGGGACGATATGAGTTGTTCTAGACACAGGAGCAGCCCTGGTGGATGAAGATGGTGATGTGTTGCTGGAACCCTATACTCTGATGGTGAATAGTCCGGGTCTTGTGCCAAAAGTGTTTGTTTGTGGAGGGTTGGAATAGAGTAGTGGCAACGTTGACGGGCACCAAGAAGGGAGGAGAGGCGGCGGGCGGGACATGGTAGGGAAGCTTAAATAGTGGCCGTCACAACGGGAATGTTGGGACTGGCAGTGGCAGGTACATTCGTCCCATTCGCCTAGAGTCGGGCCTGTCTGCCTGTCTATTGCCTGCATCCAACCCATCGAGTCCTACTTGGGTACTCGTGACTGCCGGGGTAGGCGGGCTACCACCGGCACGCGGGATACGTGCATGTGCAGCAACATTGAACTCTTGGTAGGTGCAGGGCTGGCAGGGTGAGACCTGCCGGCCTTGAAGGTGACGGGCAGCATATCTGGGTGGCTTATCGGACTCCGACCCGAGAGGGCAACAGGTGACGCCGTGGGTTGTGGTCTGTCCCACGCAGATCGGCATCATTGCTCCGGGGGCGTCTTATGCCAGCTACTTGTTTGCTGCCATGAGGCGTCAAATGAGGGCACGGGCACACGAACATGCATCGGCCAAGCCCGCCAGCGTCGGGATGTCCAAAGCACTGGCAGGGCATTCGAGTCTGTTGTCTCCCAGTCTGACTGCATTAAAGACGCAACGTGATACCTTGTATTTCAGGATGCCAGTGTTATCTCGCCAACCAGATACAGTCAATAGACCCCGGTGACAGCCTCGTGCCTATGCTCGCTGCTGCACGATGATGCCTGCCATTCGGCTTCGGCCTCGAAGCAATGCTGACACCCGTGTCCGCCTCTCCCTTCCACCCAAGCTTCCCCGCCATACTGCCCCATCCATTGCCCTCGAGCAGCCAAGGCCATGCATGTGTACAGCTTGCGTCGTCTCGCCCTGCAAGGCCGCCCCCACCCCGGGAAGCAATTGGATCGCTGAGGATCGGCAGTGATACGTGGTGGTGTACCCATTCCCAACAGTAAAGTCGATGTACAGGGCGTATGCGATGGAAAGGGATCGCCAATGCATTGTATTAGTGCTATTGTGGAGTATCGTAATAGTTCCAGCTTGCCAACAGTTGGATATGGGTATCTCGTGAGGTGAGGACCGGGGCCACAGCAACAAGGCTGTGCGGCTGAACACAGGCAGTGCCACGTCTAAACTTTTGTTTTCATATATTTTCCTCCATCGAAAAGGAATTATCGTCAAATTGAAAAAAAATCCCGCCAGACGTCGCCTCACATGCGCCGGATTTGCTGCTCGTTCTTGTAGGTCTCGAGGCCCGAATCAAGGTGCGACCACCACTCAAACAGCATAGAGTTGCAGATGAGCTTGAACCAAGGTGTGAACTTAAGCGTCGGGTCCTCAAACTGCTTCTTGAGTGCCTCCGGTGTGACGTATTGCGTCGCCTGGGCCTCGTTGGGGTTCACATCCAGGTCGACGTTGGCCTTGATGAAGAGGATGTAGTCAACTGCAGGCTGTCAGCACAGACTGCTTACCTGTATGACTCGGTCGTGGAGTTCGACCTGGGGAGCAGTCAGGGCGGGGGGGGGGGCGGTGGTGAATTCGACGTACTCTCATGCTCTCCCCACTTGCCGTCGCTGGGAGCCTTGTAGTGGATGCGCGTGAGGAAGTGGAAGTCCTCGATAGGGACCTGCTCCTTCTTGATTCCCAGCTCGTGGTCAAGCTTCCTCTGGGCCGCCCTCTTGACACCCTCGACACACTCTGCGAAGTTGGAGCCGGTCTCGCCGGGGATATTCAGCGGGTGAGAGCAGCAGGTGTTGGTCCACATGTCCGGGAAGGTGATCTTTTCTGTTGCGCGCTGCTGCAAAAGGAGCTCGTTCTTGTCGTTGAAGAGGAAGACGGAGAAGGCGCGGTGAAGCAGTCCCTTGTCGATGTTGGTCATCAGGTGGCCTGCAAGCTCTTGTTAGTTGGGCGACGCGCAAACCACCACCGTGCCACCACGCCGCGCGCCGCGCGCCTGGGGGTGGGGGGGGGGGCAAGTTTGAATGGACAAGACGCACAAACTTTCTTGCTGGCAGTTCCGATAGCCTGGTCGTTCTCGTCCAGGACGATGCAGACCTCGTCCATGAGGCGAATCTGCTCAGCATCGTGGCCGTCTAGCTCCGAAGTGTTGGTCGTGTCGATGTCGGGGAACAGGCGCAGGATGGTCTCGGCATCGATGCCCGAGGTCGTGACGGTTGTTGTGGTGGACATTTTGCGCCGGGTTGCTGTCAGGCTATCTGTATCTGGGCTATGCGTGCGTGTCGGTGGAGGAAGGCGGAAGGATGACAAGGTCGACTCGGGAGAGAGTAAGCTTTGGGCGTGAAAGGCGGCAAAATTCAATAAATATTGCTTACTGGGGAGATGGCCCCTTTTGCTATCCCCCGCCGCAGTGTGCAGGGTTGCTGCCGATGCGGGACCGACAGCTGCAGGGGACCAGGGGGGCTTGGGGGGCAGCCGGCAGCATGCTGGTTCCAGCTCAGTCAGTCTGCTGCTGTTGACCTCTCTATTGTAGCGGTGGGGCTGTCCGGACAGCTTTGTTCAGAAGGTTGTTGCGACATGGCTGCATGGCTCTGCAGTGGTGTGTCAACCTTGGAACCCAACTGTGTCAGACTTGGGACCATTCCAATACCGTACTCCGTACACGCCGTAAGCATTGTGCCCTGGCAACCTGACTCTGCCCGCCCGTCTGCCTTCCAGCGTTATCTGCCCGTCAACCGGTCATTCGAGTGGCAGCGCGACCCACCCAGTCAGCCAGTCTGTTACAACGAACGACCAGCGATATCGCTTTTCTGCGTATGCATGTGTTGGTACTCCGTACTCCTGACTCGACGCACTGGACACCCTCTCTCACCAGCTTAATAAAGCGCCAAACCGTGTAAGTTGATTCGTCCGATGAGGCCGTACAGTCAAACCACTCCAGCTGCATGTGCGGACATCCGTCAGAGTGTGCCTGACACTGGATGAAAGATATCACATATCAATGTATACCACAGAACTGTCTCCACCGCTGTTGGTCATGCCCCATAGAACAGACACCTGTCGGTCATCGACCGCCCGGTCTACTAGATTGGATTGTAAGCGGAAGTGCTTGAGCAGCAAGCCGATCAATTGCCTATCGTGTAGTAGTCTACCACAGGTTACCAGCGCTGGAAGACTACAAGCTTGAAGATATAACCTCTGCCTCAAAATACCGATATGCCATGCCAGCAAGAGTTCTCGAACTAAAGTGGTCATTCAGGTTTTTCTGGTCATTCAGTCCTGGGCAGTGAAGCTCTCATGGTGCACCTGCCGGATTGAACCGCTACAGCGCAACGACGAGCGACCCGAGATATGTCTTCAATACCCAATCGAGGAATTCTATTCTTCCAAGAATCATGAGCATGCAGTCATTATCCTGTGAATACATTACCAAGCCCTGCAACTATACACATGGTGTGTCTCTGCACAGCACTTGGCGCTCTTGTGTCAGATTCTTTACGCAAGTTCGGGTTCAATCACTCTCCTTCAAGATATATGTGTACGCTCATGACAGCTTGTTCACTTATTACATCCTTCCTCACGTGGCTTTTTGTGACATGCTGGCTGTGGTGCTATGAATATCCCACGGTCTCGCCGCTAATATGGGATGCTGTGATAAATCTCCGTCGGTGAAGACCTTCGGCTGTAATTGAGATTTCAGAGCCCGGAGTACTCACACGAAAATAAGTGGTTGACATGAGCATTGGGGGTGAATTTGAGGGTCATTGCCTACCTGTGACTTTTGCAACAACATTAGCTATATGCAGTGTCACCCTTGAAGCACCATAATTGGAAGAATTTTGCGGTCATGCTATGAACTTCATTTTGCTAGCAGTCTATGCTGTAGTGCTTTACCATTCTTGTGTTAGCTACGTTGATTCTTGGTCTTATAGTGAAGGATATGGGCTCTATTAAGGTCCAGCCAACACAATACAACAACACATCACAGTTAAGCTTCCCTTATTAATCTCTTAAGCCATTTAGAATCTTCGTGCGCCATAGCCTTTTCCATAGCCCACACAATTCTATAATATAATATTAGGTGGTCCAGTGAGTAAGACTAGCTTATATCTAAACATTTAGGAGATTATTAAATGTATATATATATATTTTCTATATAGCTTTAGCCACACTATATTTTTCTTTTATATTATATAACTATCTTTTAATTTAACTACTTATTTCTTCTTTAATAGTTTAAAGCTTATATATAAAGTTTTTAATAACTTTATATATATTCTTATAATTCTTTTAAAAAGAAACTTTAAATTTATTTTCTTTTATTTTTATTATATTTTTATACTATTAAAAGTTAATAATTATTAATAATAAAGTATAAATTAAAAGAATAAATTTATTATACTTTTTTATTTTTTATAAATTATTTTTAAATTATTTTTAAAAGTTTTAATATTTTATTATAAAAGTTTTAAAAGTAATATATTATAAATTATTTCTTTATTTTAAATTCTTTTAAAGTTAATAATTATATATTTAAATAAAAGTTATAATATTTATTTAATAAAGGTTTTATAATAAAATATATATATATATTTAAAAGAATAATTTTTAATTAAACTTTTTAATATAATTTATTTATATAGTAATTATTTTTAAAGATTTAATTTTATTATATAACTTTTATAATAATTAAACTATAAATTACTTTTATTTATAATTAATATTATAATTAAAATAATACTTTTAACTTTATTTATATATTATAAAATTAAAACTATAAATATTTATTATATTATAATTATTATTATTAATATTATATTTTTTAAATATTAAATTTTAAATATTTATTATTATATAAAATATTATATATATTTTATATATTAATAATTTTAATTATAATAAAAGATATTATATTTTATTAATTTAAATTATTATTTAAAAATAAAACTTTTAAATTATTAATTATTTATTTATATAAACTTTTATTTAATTAAAATTATATATAAAGTAATAATATTTTTTATAAAAATATTAAATTATATTATATATTATATAATTTATTTATAATTAATTATAATAAAAATAATTTATATATTTATAATTTTAAAATAAAAATAATAATATAATTTAAATTAATTATAAAAAATATTTAAAAGATTATTAAATAATTAAATAATTTTAATTTTAATTAATTTTATTTTTATTTTATATATATTTAAAGTTATATATAATACCTTTATATTAATAATAAATATTTAAATATATATATAATTTTAAAAAGATTAATATTATTAGTAGTAAAAAAGATACTATTAGAGGGCACTTAACTTTAACTCTTATATTTATTATAAGATTGCCACTTACTATATGATGGGAAATAAAATAGATTGATAGCCTGGTGAATTCCTAGTGAATTCACTAGGCATTCCTATATAGTGAATCCACCGTGAATTCACGGTGGATTAGTAAGCACTATGAATTCACTGTAAATTCACGGTGGGACGGTGAATTCACCGTGAATTCACGGTGGGATGCATCACTACACTTAGTGTAATCGGTGTAGTATAGTATATATAAATAAGCCTACTATACCTTATTATATTAAAGGTATTTTAAACTTAATTACACTATACTTAAGATCTTAGTGTGTATAATATAGTGGGTTTAGGTGTAAATAGAGGAGGAGGAGGGAGGAGGAGGGAGGAGAAGGGAGGGGGAGGGGGGAGGGGGAAGGAGGGAAAAAAAAGCTATATCTAGCTTTAAAGGCGATTTAAACTAATAACTATAGACTAACTATAATACCTATAGGTATTTATACTTTCTATAAGATTATAAATCTTCTAGAAATAGTTAGGTTTTTAAAAGTAAAATAGAAGGTTAAATAAATATTTAAAAAGCTTTTTTAATAATATAATAATAAATAGTTATTAAAGTTAATTAATAAAGTAAAATTAATACTATATAAATATTATTATTATATAATTTTATTACTACTTAATATTTTATTTATATATATAAGTTTATAGTTTAATAATAAGTTTTAATAAATTAAACTATTAAAATATTATTAAAATTATATAAGTTTATAAATAATTTACCTCTTTATTAAGCTATAGAAGAAGATAGAATAGTTGTTTACTATAAAGTTAATAACTTAAAATATTAATTTTAGACTTATACTTAATATATTTATTATAGTAGGTGAGTGAACTTAATTAGGGGGTATAAGTGGTGCGTTCCCGCGGCAGTGCCTACATTCTAGGCCCGTAACGGTGCCTAGAAGCTCTTAAGTTAAAATAATGTCTCCTATAAGATCAGGGTTGCCTAGACTGTTAGTATAGACAATCTTAGTGGAGAGGCTTGTTTGCTCCACGGAAGATCCAGCTCGGCACATACTAGTTGTCCTAGGACAGAATCTAGTTGTCAGCCACCAAGGCCGTCGATGTGTGCCAAATAATGTCGAACGGAGCATTGGCTACATCTATTAGCTTGGTAAACCAAGGGGCCCTGCTTATATTATTTTCCCTCCCGGTCTCGGCGCGGTGTACTGTCACTGTGAGCCCTCTTGGCTTAAGAGTCAAGAAATCCAGGCTTAGCCTCGGCCTAGGTTCCGCTGTCTCACCGTCCTTCGACCCCTCCTCCTCGTCGCAGGAGTCAGCCACAATAGGGAAAACAAGAGAGCCGGCATTGGGCAGGCAGGAAGGTCGGCCACAGACGTAGCATAGGTCTTTTGCATGTTGGAATCTAGTTAGAGTCGCCGTGCGCGGGGGGGGGGGGGGGGCTCCGAGCAAGCTCCACTTCCATGCGTAAACCACAGTCCCTCAACCCCCTTTAGCTTAATTCGTTGCCATGTAAGCTCCACGTGAAGTGCGTAAGGGCGTGACGCTGTGCGACCTGCTGTGTTATGGCCAGAGGGGGGGGGGGGTTTAAACCTTGGGATGACCGTGCTTGTTAATAATATCTAGGCATGCTGTCCGCACAATAGTGACACTTGTTCCGAATAGGAAAGTCGCACGAAGACATCGTAGCGTGGAAATGAAACCAAGAATCTGAATATGGACCAAGAAGAGTGATATCGAAATTTTGCAAAGAGCCTTCGCCTCTTTCAATTTTGGAGCCTATCAGAATGGAGTTCAAGAACTTGTTTCCATGCCATCAGAGCAATGCGATTCCTGTGTTGGCACAGAAGGTTGATATCTTGGTTCGGCCAGGAGATACTTGTGAGAGAATCTCTTGGGTAATGTGCTTGCTCTATCTTCTGCCAAACAGGAAATATCAGGTTGGGCGAAGACCTGGAAAAGCTGCGCCTTCTCTTATGGAGGCAGTCAATCTGGAGGAATCTGCGCACCCAAGGAAAGGCGGGCGATGGCAATTTGCCTCTGACCCCTGAGGTTTGCAGGCCTCTGAGACAGAACTACCTGCGGTGGACTCAGGATTTGTTCTCCCACGGGCTTTTAAATCGTAAGCCTGAGGTGATGTGATGTCACCGAGATACCGGCAGCGATAGTCATTGCCGGAAACGCCCAGAAAGGAGCTATTGACCACCTTTTTGAGACATGGAACAATCGACTTCAAGGACGGTGTCACAAGCGGCTTGGGTCAGACTTGATGGGGAAATTTCTTGCACTCGATTTTCGATAACACTCTTTGCAGGTCGAGATATGCCGGCCCCTACATATAGAGCTCCTGAGAGGAATATAACGTCTTGATACGCGAGAGCCAATGGTCCACTGACGAGGGAAGGCAGACGAAGGAGATTACAGGTCGGGATAGCAACCATAATATAAGATTCAGTTTTCGGTGCAGATAGGACAAACCCCTCCTTTAAAAAAAAGAAAAGAAAAACAACTTGGCAAAGTGACCTTGGGTAATAGTAAATAAAAAGTTCTGTAAAGTGTCCATATGCGTCTCCGGTTGACAAGGAGAAGGGGAAAATCAAATCGAGGCCATGCCCTGTCGTGTCCCATGAGAGTCCGAGTTCGCGCGCGTCAACTCCTCCAGAAATGCTGGCCAATGTGCGTCCATATCGTCTGGAAGGGAACTCGACTCCCCAGCCTTATGCAAATATGTCGTCGTATCAAGCTTGGACGTTACCGTCGATTGACTCGTTAAGAATCAGTGCGTCCCATTCCTTGACCTTCCGATACTCTCTCCTCTTGACGACGCCTTCTGGCCCCTCGAAATCTCGTTCTGCGCCGCTGCAGATCCGAAGCTCCTCACATTATCACGCACTTGGCGCAGCACCCTGCCTCGGCATCGTTATCGCTGACGTCCATTGGCTTGACGGCGCCGTTTGGTGCAGAGGCACCGCTGCCGGTTGAGTATCCTTGCATCTCACGGTTGAAGCGTCGGATTTCGCGGACGATATCGTAGAATGCCTTGTCGACGTTGATCCTGGACTTTGCTGATGTCTCGATAAACTTGCAGCCGAATGACCTTGCCAGGTTCTCACCCTCTGCGGAGACTCGTTAGCAAACGGCTCGGATGCACGTAGATATCTTCAAAAGAGGCGAGGCGACGTCAGGCGACATACCTTGCCTAGTAACTTCTCGCTCGCCCTCTAGATCGCACTTGTTTCCCACAACGACCATGGGGAAGTAGTCCTTGTCCTTGACCCGCAGGATTTGTTGCTGGAAGGTTGTGATTTCTTCAAAACTCTGGCGGGACGTGATGGAGTAAACAAGCAGGAAGCCCTCGCCCGTCCGCATGTATTGCTCTCGCATGGCCGAGTACTCTTCTTGGCCGGCGGTATCGAGGACATCGAGCAGCGCGACCTCGTCATCAATGACACATTGCTTTCGGTAGGAGTCTGCGACAGAGGGTCAATTGATGCAGCCAGGACGGACTGGGCTGGTGTGCGACATACCCTCGATTGTTGGGTCGTATTCATCAACGAAATGACTTTGGATCAATTGAATCGTAAGACACGATTTACCGACACCACCACCGCCGACAACCACCAATTTGTACTCTCTCAGAAACTGCTGGCGAAGATTGTCAGCAGGCTGCGGCGCGACGCAACAAGGCGCAATTGGGAACAGATCATGGCCGGAGCAGGAGCTGGCAAGGGATGGGACGTGGGCGCCTGGAGCGTACCTTGGAAGCCATTGCAGGTGCGATAAGAAGAACCGAGACGACCCAGGTCTGCAGTATTGACAAGAACCGAAACTAGTTATATCGAACAACAGTGGTCGGAACAGGTGAAGGACGATGATGGGGTGTTGGCGGATGCAGGTGCGTTTGGCGTTCCGGGACAGAAGATGGAGTCGGGACCCTCTAGTGTGGTTGTGCTTGTTTGAAGAAGAGACGGCGATCCCAGTCCAAGTTCCAGCGCCAAGCTGGGAGTCAAAATGCCCAAGTTCGTCCGGGGGGGTGTTGTTTAAAACGTCCGGGGGCGGCTTGATCAATTGGGGGAGGGTCTTGTTCGTGGAGCCAACAATTCGGTCGCCGGAAAATCGGATGGTGTTGGCTGGGTCCAAGGCGAAAGGAAGGCGATGGAGAGTCGAGAGTCGAGGATTGTCGCGGCAGTTCTGATGCGCGGGAGGTTGGCAAGGAGTAGGAGGTAGGCAGGAGAAAGAATTAAAATGGATGGCGTGGGTACGCCAGATTGAGGTGTGGTGTGTGGGTGCAGGGTGGGCGCCTGGGAAATGGAAACGGAAGTGATTGCAGGTTCCAGGTTCCAGAGGCAGCGGCAGCGGCAGCGGTAGGGGAGCAAGAGCAGCAGGAGCAGCAGGAGCAGCAAGCAGCTCCCACACTCCCACACTCCCACACTCCCAGACTGGCCGCCCCCCCCCCGGGGCGGGCTCTTGTCAGTTGCTGTCAGTGTCTGGCTGTCTTTGGCTGGGTGTCCTGTGCTAGTAGGAGCGCTTTGTCCACCACATTGGGGCGCTCAGGACGTTGGAGGAGGATGTACCCTGGTACCCCACCTTGCCTCCCACCTGAGGGCCCACCAGGCAAAACCAAGGGTGCTTCTGACAAAGATGAGCCGAGAATGCTACCAGAGCTGCAGGGACTGGGAGCTGTGATTGGCTCCCAGGAGTTGGGGGCACCGAGGGAGGGCTGGTACACAGTGCGGATCGGCGTGTCGGTATGATGGGGTCCTAAATTGAATACTCCGTGCTTTCATTAGGTCCTCAGTCCTCGCTGACCTCAAATTGGCAGCAGCCCTGGCAGCCCTGGCAGCCCTGGGGGTGCGCCGCCGTGGGGCACGAGGCGTCGAGTAAGAGGCAGGTGGGCGCTCCGGGCTTTGACCTGTCATGCTGCCAGCGAGATGGTGGGCCTGCGCGTCACTCGGAGGTTTGCTCAACAAGCAGCTGCTCGCCCATACCAACAGTATTACACAGTCCCCCCCGTGGCTGCTGGCTGCTGGCTGCTGGCTGCATGGGCCAGGGCAGATGGGTCACACACACGCGCACACACAGTATACGGCGCCAGCTTGACCAGCCCTGCCTGCCTGCTTGCCCATTCGACGCAGGGACAGATCGAGTTTAGCACCAGTCCACTGTTTGAATGTCCACACACATCCACACCCCTCCGGCTCGCGTCACAGGCCCACGGCGAGCCTCTCGGCGGGTGGCGGTTGGCAGGGCACAAGAATATCATGGCACGCATGCGGTGGTGGGACGGCCTTCCTATACGCTCTTGGATGTGACCCTCTTGAGCCTCACACAGTCACAGGGGGGCTCACCTCATCCCTCCAGCACGGCCCGACATAGGGGCCTGCTGAGCCTGCGCCTGAGCCTGCGCCTGCGCCTGCGTGTGGCTATTTCTGCAAGTCGAAGGAACATTCTCGATGTTTGACCAGGCTGAAAAGCAAGCCGAGAGGACGCTGCGACCCTCCCCATCAAGGTTGCAGTCGTATGGGCTAGCCTGCATCGCATGCCTCGGTAGCTGCGTTGGGGACCGGACTGGCAGGCTGGCAGGCTGGGCTGACTGGCTGACTGGGCAGACAGGCGGCCAATCTTGTCAACTGTATCTGACCCCCTCTGGCCTGGCTGGTCTAACCTGATCCGCATCGCATAATGCCTGGCAACGCATGTTCATGTTCATGTTCATGTTCACGTTCACGTTCACGTTGGGCGACATGCTGTGCGAGCCGAAGCACGGCTACACCACAGAGGTCTCGCCGCAATAAAAATAGGCTCCACGCGGAAGACGACAGCTCCTCGAGTGCCACCAACACAGCCCGTGTCACTTCTGTTGCACCTCGTCCCGGGAGGCATCAGGCATCAGCCGGCCGAGCAGCCAGGACCCCAGACGCCAGACGCCGTGGCGGTTAAGGAGGCGACGGGCACCAGGCAGAGCAGCCAAGAGGCCACGAGGGCACACAACGCGAGGGCCTCAACAGCGCTGCTTCTGTTTCTGTTTCTGTTTTTGTTTCTGCTTCTGTCTCTGTCAAACTCCCGCCCGGGCCGTCGTTCTGGTCCGGGCGATGGTGACAGCGGCAGCGGCAATGACAGCGCCCGAGGCAGGCCGAGGCAAGGAACGACGAGTTGCAGCAGCAGCAGCAGCAGCAGCAGCAGCAGCGCGCATCAAAGCGCGGACCATAGCTTCTCATGGGGCCTGGAGGTTAAAGGACAGGAAGTATCGGGGACAGGATGGAGACGGTGTCGAAACCAAGGTGTGGACTGCATCCGTGCCACCGCTCGGGCGGTTCAACCCAACACGCACAATACAGGCCTCACAGGCTTCTTGCATTCCCTCCGTCATGATGACGGCGCGAGATCTAGGGTCCGCGCAGCCGGGGTTGGCCAAGATTACTGGCACCAAATAGACTACGGCCGGGGGATCATGCAAGGGAAACATCCTGCCTGTCGAAACCTGATCCCATTGTGATGCACATCTGAACAGTCCCGTAGCTGCGAGTCGTGCTTGTGCAACCAGTCAGCCACTTCTGCCAGTCTCTCCTCCCCAGGCTCCCCTCAGATCGCCGCGGCTCTCTTGCAGCTCCTAATAAACATAACCAGCCCGTCAGCACGTCAGCCCGGCCCAGCCCCCCTTTCGGGCTGGCGCCGTGTTCCTGTTCAGCCGCCGGGTTTGGGCAGGCTGGCCGGGTTGCGTGATATGGAAATGAGAGCGGACACGCGCCAATTTCACCGCCGCCAATCGTGGTTGTGGACCTGTCGTCCAGCACCATGCAAGACTTCCTGGGGTTCAGTGTCGCCCGAGTCCGTGATCCACAACGGTCGACATTGCTCTGCCCAATGCCATGCCCTGCGCTGGCAGGCAGGCTGGCAGGCAGGCAGGCAGGCTGGTGGTGCTCGGCCGTTCGGCTGGTAATGCCGAATTGACACAAGACTCGGGCCTCGTCAAAGTTGTACTTGCTATGGATCCACGGGCCATGCTTGTCCCACGAGTTCAGCAAAGTTTCTGAGGGTGCCAAATCCCTCGACATCGAGCAACCACCTCCAAACCTAGAACACACTTTACTGTGTATCCTCTCGTTCGCTCCGTCACAGGCAGACTCGCGGCTGTCTGAGATCCACTGCCCAGCCCATCCACGTGGCCGGCCTGCCCGTCTTCAAGGATAGTGTCTTGCTCCTGCATGGCTAGTTGCAGCTTGCAGCTTGCGGCACGCACCAACTGGGCGACTGGGGATGGCGAGGCAGGAAACACCACAACGGCTTCTGAGATATACAACCACGAGTTACACTCGCCTTGAGTTACACAATGAATGTAGTGCGGGCCAACCCGCGAACCTGGCGCCTTGTTCATGCTCCTCACATGAGCTCAATCTATTGTCGTTGTTCTCAGGACCCCTTCGGAAATAGGCACAACACAAAGCCTGCCACAGGCGAGACCCCGGCCACGGCTGCCGCGGTGCTAGCGGACGAAAAGCTGTCACCCACAAGCAGCTATCTGGCTGATGTGCTCTCCCGGGGTGGGGTAGACTACTCAGTATCCACTGTACCGTATCTACTGTACGCAAAAAGAGGCAGACGGGTAACAGGAGTCAGGGGAGAGAGCGTACCCCACCACACCCAATCTTAATGAGATGAGACCAAACGGTTTAGTCTTCATTTCCACAACCACCACCGGCCACCATCACACCAGGCCCGGGGTGTTCGTGCGGCGAGGAACCAACCTTCGGTGATGTGCCCGTAGCTTCGTCCTTAGCCGCCTCAGGTTTGGTTTGATATCGGGCTTTGCCTGGCAGCTGCCCTGGTTGCCTGGGTCTCCCTTCTCAAAAACCACCCTCAGTGGTGCTCTCTCAGCGCCCCGCCGCCTTGGACGAGCCCGACCGTTCACGCCCACCAGGAGCAAGCAACCCCACCAGCTTCGAGGGAATCGAGGCTGGCATTGGGGAGCATCTTCATCACGCAGCCTAAGACGAGGCCACTTTGGACTTGGGCCGCCCCTACACAGGACCAATCTACTACCGTGGGCCGGCGCGCGGCTGCCGTGGGAGCTCCCCAGCTGGGTATTTCCATGTGCCATCTCGGGCCACGACTCGAGATCGGTTTAGCGACCGCGCAGACGCATGGCACCCATACTATGTAGTAGCTGGCCAGACCGGTATCAAAACCCCGGAGCGAAGCCTGCCTAACGCTGCTGCCACGGCGGAGGATTCGAACTGGTGGCGCCCCTGATAGGCTCGGATGCTCGTGGTTGTCTTTCCGATCTGTTGGTAATCGCGGGAACGTTCGATCTGGGCCGATTTGTCTTGTTCGAAAAGGCTCACCGAAATCCAGGAACCCTTTTGTTGAGGGTGAATATACGAGCCTGTTCCCGCAAATCTTCTTTGGCCTACTCGAATCGTATATCTTCCGTCAAACTCAGGCCTCTACGGTCCGTCACTCGGCCCCATCCTCTTCGTGGGGCCTGACCTTCTGGGGGGCCATTCGATAATCTCGCCCACAAGACGAGCGACAAATTTTCTAGAAGCAAGTGGATCCGCAGACGGGAAGTCTCAGGGACGGATACCTCAAGCTTCTTGGACTAGGGTGTTTGATCGCAACAGGGGTCCGACGTAAACTGTGATTGAGCTCCGGCGACCAAGCTCTTGGGCCGGACACCAAATCTGCTGCCTCGACCTACCTACCTCCCTGACACCGGGTCGAGGCAGAGGCCGCCGGGAGGAACTCCACTGTCCTGTGCCATATCAACATTCATGTATCCGGGAAGCCGGGACATCAATGGCTGCGGCATACATGCCGTATCTGATTTCGACTCTGGCTCTTTGGTCCCCTCCTCTGGTTTCGTCTCGGGACGACTCAGGTGGGCAAGTGGGGGTGATTGCTGAACGGAACGGACCCTCGACTTCTCAGAGTCCCGAAAGCATCATCCCGGCATTTAGCTAAGCCGTCAAGTGATTACCCGTCCCGACGCATTGTCGCCCTGTGTCTGATCCTCCTCATGTATCTCGACATCAAGTGGATCCCGTCGTATTCGGTGCATCTTGCTGATACCGTCTCCACGGAACTGTCGATGGATCTGCCGGATAGATCTCACAATCACACAGTCAAGCCGTAGCGATGTACGTTGATTGCAACCTGATCATCACATATATCATTGCGGTAATGCTGCCACGTGCTAAAAAAAAAAAAAACCTCAGCCATGATCATGTGACCCTAGTGTACACAAGGCACCTTCCCAACAATGTTTCCACGGACGGTGATCTTATAGACGGCCCTCCCGCAACTGGATTTACAGTGGGCACTGCCCAGGTAGTTTACTGCCTGCATAGACCTCGTGAAAGCACGGTAGACAACCAGCAAATTTCGAGGTATCTAACTGACTACTCCAGTCTCTATTTAGTTGACATCGGGCAAGTCATCGTCCTCGCCTTCAACCTGCACGACCCGCCCATTTACGTTCTTGGCCACGTCATCCTTGATGCTGTCCAAGTACTCTCTATCTTTGCCAACCAGTGTCACTGTGTTTCTCTTCTTCTCCCATCGAGGATAAGATCCAACCTTGACCCCGTACGGTTCGACCTTGGCCGCAAGCTCGGTCAGGTAGGTGGCCACGGCACTCTCGGCCATTGGCGTCGATATGAGCACTCTGTAGATGCCCTTTCCCTCCGGGTCGACCAGACGCGGTAGAAGATGCGGCTTCAAGCTATCCAAGAGGCCCTCGACTGGAGCGGGGTGGATTTGGCGTCAGTGACGGGCCAAAGCACATGAGCATTCAGGGACGGGACTCACATAGCCGAGGCACTCCGGGCAGTATGTGAACATTGCCGTTAACCACCGCAACAGGGACCCACAGGTCTTCACGGGGGAAGAGAAATTGCTTCTCAGGGGGAATAGAATCGTCCGTGGGCAGCTCGACCATCCTGAGCTTCGCCTTTTTGGCAGGGCTGTCTTCGTCCCAGTTGAAGGCTGGTTGCGAGGAGTGAGGCCGAGACAGCTTCTTCATCCGCTGGTATGCCTCCTCATACAGCTTAATCTTGAGCCCAAAGGCTTTCGCAATGGACTGATAAGTGATATCGTCGTGCCTGTCACGGATTCAGCAACCTTTGAGTCTTCTCGATGATTACCAGGAGTCTTACGTTGGCCCAATCCCACCACTTCAAGGTTGTCTTGTCAGCGGCAATATCTTGGTGGACTTCAGGTGCTTGGGGAGGCCAAGTTCGGCCTCCTTCATATCTCCTCTCACCTGGTGACGACAAAGTCATATTTCTCACTCATCCTGCGGACAGCCTCGACAATCTCAGACTCATCGTCCTCTATGACTTCAATCCTTTTGAGTTGCTGTCCGGAAACACTTAGTCGGCTTCACGGAGCACGGGGACACACGCGGTACTCACAATGCCCAATGAGAAACAGAAGTTTGCCATGTAATTCGAATTGCTCTTGGTACCGAGTACTTAGTGACTTTGCCAGACGATGCTATATATACACATAACTTACATCTTTGGTCTGCACGCAGCAACACCATCACGTCAGCCACAGTGCCAGAGTCAGCATATCCGGGTCAATGAGGACGGTACATGCCTTGCCCCCCAGCACCTCATCACCGATGATGAGACATGCCGCGGTATGGATCGTCCGGGCAAAGTTCCGTTCGGCAGTCGACATTTTAATCTGTGGTCGTGCTCCGGCCGTGACGACAGGAGTGGTACCGGAATAAGCGAATTGGGCGGCGGGTCTAGAGAGGTGACGAGCAATTTGAGAGACGCGGGAGAACATGAAGAAAACTGTCAATCTAGGCACGGAATACAGTGCCAGGCACGCGCGAGATTTGGATTGTCAGAGGGCAGTGACTCGCCGACAAAGAAAAAAAAAAAGAGACGCCAAGTCCTGGATGAGCAACAGTGGTGTTGTGTTGAAGAAATATGATTCCGTCATAGACGCTTGTGAAGCTTCATTGTGGTGGGACCCCGGTGGCCGGCACCGCTCTCGGCTCGTCCCTGGATCCCAATGAGGCGGGGCGGCGGTAGGCGGGGCTGACCTTGCTCCCGAGAGGTATGCTTCTGGACCTCAGCACATCAAAGGTACACTATGGCCTGAAACCACGTGCCAAACACCACATCGATATCGACAACTGCAAACAACCAAGGACCCGATTCTTGCAGCGCATAGACCAGACATCATGGTATGGATTTTCTTGCCCTGCCAGAACCACCCTCTCCCATGTTGCGCAATGGCTGACCAGCTGCGCCGTCGCTAGAGCTCCGAAGCGAGGCTGTACACCTTCTCCCAGGACACTAAGGACCACCTGCGGAAGTTCCGACTCGGGACGTCGAGGTCCAACGATGCCCAGGCCGTCATCTGTATGTACGTCTTCAGCCCGCCGCCACGGTGGAAGCACGCAGTTGCGGCAGCTGGTGGTGCTAGGGCAAGAGCTGGGAGCTGAGACTGTTCCTGGGCGCAGACATGATCGATAAAGCGACCAAAGAGATCAAGCAGGACGATGACAAGACCGTTTACAAGAGCCTCGAAGAGATCGGCGATGACCTGCCCGACCACTCGCCCAGATTCGTGCTCTTGAGCTACCCAATGACCTTGGTACGAACACCCCAGTAGCACATCCGGCAGGAAGCAGACGGCGTGATCTGACTGACACGATTCCACACACAGCCCTCCGGACGACAGTCTGTCCCCTACGTACTCCTGTTCTACCTCCCCGTCACCTGCAACAGCGAGCTCCGCATGCTCTACGCCGGCGCAAAGGAGCTGTTCCGGAACACGGCCGAGGTCAACAAGGTTATCGACATCAACTCTGTTGACGACCTGGAGGAGATCCCCGAGAAGCTCGGGGCCGCTTAAGCTGTTGTGGTTTTGGATGGACATTGCTGAGCCAGATGAGAAGCAGGACCGCCTGGAGACCGTCACGGCGGAAGAAGGGAATGGTGGCACGAACCACGTGCAGATGGATCCACCACACGTCCTCCTTTCGCGGGATGGATCATGCGCGAGTGGCAGGGTCTCGGGGTATCACGCGGTTGTTTTCTTGAGCGAGGCCTAGTCCTCAGGGAAGAGGTCCTCGGAGTCTAGTGCTATCTGAGAGGCCACCCCTTTCACCACTTTCTTGATGGCCTTGCAGGCCGGGCTGTCGGGAAACGAGTCGAAGTAGCTCTCTCCGTAATCGCCAGCCATACCAATGCGAGGGTCAAGGGGCACGGCGCCGAGATACGTAATGCCGATCTCTTCTGAAAGTGCCTTGCCGCCCCCGGACGTCGCCTCGAACACCTGACTCTCCTTTGTGCACTTGGGGCAGACGAAGCCTGCCATGTTATCGACCAGGCCCAGTATCTTGATGCCGGCCTTCTGGCAAAAGTCGATCTCCTTGCGCACGTCCAGCAGTGACACCTCGTTCGGGGTCGTCACGATGATGGCGCCGTCGATGCCGCTCTCCTTGAGGTACGAGTTGACGCTGAGGTGCTCGTCGCTCGTGCCCGGGGGCGTGTCGACCAGCAGAAGGTCCAGCTCGCCCCAGTCGACATCCTTCAGGAACTGCTTGATCAGGCCGTTCTTCTTGGGGCCACGCCAGATGATTGCGTCGTCCTTGTTTGGCAACATGAACTGTATGCTCATGACTCCGAGGTTATCCATGACCCACACCGGCGACCAGCCCGAATTGCTGATGTGTATTGTCTCGTTCTCGGCACCCATCATCTTGGGGATGGATGGCCCGCAGATGTCCGTGTCCATGATTCCGATCGTGCTGTCGGGGTTCAGGGCAAATGCGTGCGCGAGCAGGCTTGTAAAGGTCGATTCTAGAAGGCATTGGGGTCAGCACTGTGCCGGTGAACCTGGAGGTGAAACTGCAATGCACTGGACGGGACGCACTGCCAACCCCTCCTTTGCCGCTCAGGACCAAGACCCGATGCTTCACCCCAGCTAGTCGTTGTGATATGAGAGGTATGTCTGGGTCGGGCCCCTTGGGCGCCGAGGCGCATATCTTCTGGTTGGGGCAGCCGGCGCATGAGTCGGCGGTGCCTGCTCTTTCGGACTCGGGGCCGGGACAGTGTTCTGGCTCGGGGGCCACTAATGAGGGTTTCGTCTTTGCATGGTTCTTAAGGACTTCTTGGACGTCTTCAGGCTCCTCTAGGGAGGGCGCCATAGTGCCTGGTGCCGAGTTACGATGGCGATGATTGTGCAACGGGTCTTCAGGATGGTGCCGGGAAGGTTGGACTGACGACTGATTAGATATTGTGCATATCTTCCAGCGGCGGTTTTCCCGTCCAGTCCGGGCCACTGATTGATAATTGCGGCGGCGGCGGCTGCCGAAGTCGGCCCCATGCGAGTGTTTGGGTCTAGGCTCTTTGGGCCTGTTTACCTGACGCAATAGTACTACTACTTGATAGTTGATACTGCCATGCCCCAGATCAGTAGCCGCCTACGTTTTGTTCCTGTGGTTGGTTTTCTTCAAGAATTAACTGAATAAAACCAAGGTTACATGCAGCAGCTTTATAGCCCCCCAGCGTCCTAAATCAGCCTTGCAGCTTGTATGGCACACATGTACAGAGTACCTAGGCAAGTTGTGGCGATGCGCAGGGATGGGTCGAGGGCGGTTGTGCTTGCTGTGCCGGTCCATGCACCTGCGCCTGCACCTGCACCTGTGCCTGCACCAGCCAACGGCAAGGGTCCACCGCAAGACCCTGGCTCGGGGAAGGCACGATGCGGCGCGTCCACGACGTGCCTTTTCTGGTAACCACCCACTCCGGGCCTCGATTGATGCCTGACAAGCAGGTCAAACAAGCCCCGTCAGGGAACTTTGAGCAGCGACGAGGCTCAGCGTACTCCGTACGATGCGGCGCATCGCAAATTTGTTGTGAAGCTTGGTACCGGACGGCATCTCTTAGACCCCTCGACTCTCGGGGGTCTACCGCCCTTTCACACCCCACGATAGTCTCACTCTCACCGCGCCATTGAAAGGACAGTCTCGTTCACTCGGCCCCAACACCTGCCCGCCTTTGTATTCATTCCGACGCGCTCGCGCCTCCGCCACGATGATGGTGCCCACGGCCAAGAGGAAGATGCAGAGCTTCATCCAGAAGCATGAGAGCGCGTCCATAAACCCTCATGCTCCAGGGAGCCCGCCCCTTCAGAACCTGAACCACACAGCGGCTCCCGTCGCATCGCCAGTAATTCCTGTCCTAGATCGCCAGGTTTCCGGTGATGGGGCCAACTTCGCGCCGCAGGTTTCCAGGCCGCCGGGACTCGGCGACAATGCTCGGGTATCTTTAGGACCATCAAGGGCCAATGAATTGGTCGGGCAGCAAAGGCATGATGGCCCAGAGGCTGACCACGCCTGGGAAGTGTTGAAGGAGGAGCCGCGTGCCGCAGACGGGCTACGAGAGCGATGGGAGGAGCAGTCCAACATCAACTCTCTATTTTCCGGGAGTGAACCTGCTCGGCCAGCCTCGGTGCAATATTCTGCTCACAAGAGAGAATATGATAATGACGATACCAGATCTGACATCGTCGACAACCGTCAACCCCCACGGCGAGGTCATAACGCCCATCGGAAGTCTGAAAACACCCCGGTTTTTGAGTACCAGAATGGTCAATTGGTGGTTCCTTCGCTCATGGAGAAGGGCTTCAGCTCCAGCATGATAACTCATGCGCCGAACAATCCTAGAACAGATGCTTCCAGGTTTCGGCAAAACCCCTTCGGCAGCACGTCGGACGAGTCGAGTCCTCGGCCCCAGAGAGACCCTCGTTTTTTGCGCTCCAACTTTCCCGTTCCCGGTACGGAGACCAAGAGATCGCGTCGTCTTGATCGGTCACCTCCCGTCATGGAACCATTCCGGAGAATTTCTCCTACGAAGCACAGCAGCGCTGCAGATGCCCCCCAACCTAGCGCATATTTCCAGCCCCCAAAGGAGCTCTATCAGGCCCCCCCGCGTACCACCAACTCTCAGAATGAGAATGGCCGTAACCCTGCTCTGGACTGGGACAGTGATGATAGTGACCTCCATTCCCAGGGAGATGAGTTTCCAGATCAGGAACAGGAGCATACCCCCAAGGCGGTCCGGAAACACGCTATTCTTGATGACGCGACGATGATCCTCAACCCTCCGAAGCCCGTGGTAGCACCGAAACCACAGAAGACTGTCAGATTACAGGATGATGCCCTGCTAGGAAGCCCCATCCGCCAGGCACTCCTCGGCCCAATGTTCTCCCCGCCCAAGAAGCGAGTCCATGACAGCGATTACGACGAGGAGGCTCTGCGAAAAATGAACTTCGCCGAATTGCGGAACGAACCATTCGATCATGATCCTGCCAGACAGGTCATAACATCACCAGCCAAACCTCCAGCCGACAATCTTGATGACCGCCTCGAGTTCTGTCGAAGCAAGGACGAGGGTGCCCAAGCTCAACTCTTCACCCAGATGTCCGTGCGCGAGTGGGATGAGAGCGGCGACTGGTTTCTGGAACGCTTCAGCAGCGTGGTGACAAGGATGAAGGAGGCTCGACAAGCCAAACGCAAGATCGTCGAGCAGTACGAGAAGGAGGTCTCGGAGCGCGAGGAGGAAGTCCGGCGCAGCAAGGAGGCCATAGACCGCAAGCTGTCTAAGCTCAAGCACGACGGCAGTGCGATGTTGAAGGGCAGCGAGCCCAGCGACTAGGGGACAAGGAACAGGGCTGGCTTCTCGAAACCACTACATATATTTGCTTCGCAGTGGCGCAGAAGTATTTGGCTGTGCTGGAGATCTGCTGGGCTGGTGCCAGGTAATTGGCGCAGGGTTATATGCATATGGCATCATGATGCAGCGAGGCCAGGACAATGCCGGGGGATATGGAATGTCGCTTGGAGCTAAACCATGTGATATGAGGTAATAACCAGACAAGCTGGACCCAAGAAGAAGGATGCCGGTAGCATCCAATGATACCATTTTGATTGCTGTATAATGGTCCATGTGTTCGAAGGAACCTTTCAAAAGCTGGGGTTAGGTGCTGCGAGGAGTTCCCATCGAGGTATTCCTGCTCGGACTAGATGGCCAAGCTGTCGACAACGCCTCTATCCTTGCCTACAATCAGCTGCAATTGACAACCCTTGCGGTCCGCAAAAATGCCCTTCCTAACCGCGTCGGAGAACAGCTCGTATGCCGGGTAATAGGCGTCCACGAACTTGACCACCTGCTCGTCCGTCATGCCGGAGCCCTTCTCGTGCCTTAGCTGCCGTTCCTGCTGCAGCCTCCAGTCGTAGACATACTCCGTGTCCTCGGCGTCGATATGAATAAAGGCATCGAGCAGGTCAGTGACGACGTCATACTCCTTGAGCTGGTCGTTGACGAACAAGAGGTCCTCGAGCTTGTGGCTGTGTAGCGTCCGGCTCGGGGCCCTCCACTTGGCCACGACCTCGTCGTGGCTGACGCTCCTGAACCCGACGCACCACCCCTCGAGCAGCACGACCTGCACGGTGCGTTGCCCCGGCTGGTTGACGGGGATCCAGGCTGACTGGGGCGAGCGGTCGCCCAGCCCGTTGAAGGCCGACTTGTCGTACTGTGGGATGAGGGTGGGCTGGGCGTTGACCAGAGAGGTGAACACATGGCGCATGAGGGCCGTGTCGTGCGTGCCGGGCTCCCCCCTCACCTGCACCAGGGCGTTGTCCGGGTGGGCGGCGGCGAGGGCCAGCTGGTCCTGGTGGCGGAGGTAGAAGTCGTCTATGCTAACGACGATGGTCTGGAGGAGCTCCCGCTGCTGCAGTGTCTCGGCGAGGGCCTTGACGAGAGTCGTCTTGCCCACGCCCTGGACGCCGTTCAGACCTATGATGAAGGGCCTGGTGACGGTGCTGCCGCCTGAAGCGGGCTGTCTTGCTTGGTGGGCCTTGAGGCGCTCGAGGACTTTCAGGCGCCTGTCAACGTTGGCTGTATCTGCAGATGAGGAATTCCCAGCGAAGGCACAGGCACATACTGAATGGTATACATTTAGGGGACTTGTCATCGACCACTCTCGACTGGAGTGGGACATCTGGTGTGCTCGCCATGGTGTGGACTGTGGGAGGTGGGTGAGTCGAGACCTACGGCCACTTAGTAAAGGTACAGAGGGAGGTCTGCTCGTTGCTTCATGGGAGGAAACTAATGTTGTTCCGTGGGCTGCTTTGGACATGCAAATACAAGCCAGCTATCTCGTCGTTGGCGATGGTTCAGGACAGGACGGCAGTCCGTAGTCAACCAGGGTCTCCACATTAGGACTGGTTCACAACGTCTTGAGAGCGTCGCCCGTCTTGTCTCTTCCGGCACCGGAAGGATGATGCTGCAACTGGAATTCGGTACAGCTACGTGCAGCCCACCCGTCATAACCCAGTGTCGGGTCATGCCTTACTACGGACCTTACGGATTTGGGTATTCTCTCGTGGTCAAACTGTCGCCGTCGTGACCATCTTACCTTTTAAGTTCTGCCCGTCCAGGCGCACTGGCACAGGTATAAGCCCCAAGCCCCCGGCCCCGAGCCCCAGGTGACCTCATTACCCCAGAAACGGGACAGTGACTAAGGTACAGTGCGTGCGTGCATATGGGCTCGAGTAAGCTTGCTGGGCTGGCTGGGTCGATCAAAGCATGTGAAAAAAGGGTGGCATGAGCTAGCTTGTCGCGCAAAGCGGGCCATCGCCCAGAAGGGTTTGGCCGGGGCTTTTCCCCACGGGCCCCTCGGTAAATCGGACTGGCTTTCTGGAACCGTAGCCACAGGGGCTCAAAGCCGAGGCTCATTGCAACGGCTTGCCGACTCTGACGCCTACCACGAGGTCAACTTGCTTCCTTGACGTCCTCACTTTGCTTCTCGTCTTCTTTTAAACCCTCCAAACCCTCCCACTCCACCTTCCTCCTCCCAGCTGTTCTCCAGTAATCGGACCTTGCTAATTTTCGATTCTCCCAACAACCCTCGCAACCAGACTCCAGACAGCATGGCGGGCCAATTAAGGTATGACGGCCAGGTCGTGGTCGTCACAGGCGCCGGAGGTGGTCTCGGGAAGGCATATGCCACCTTCTTCGGCTCCCGGGGCGCCAGCGTCGTTGTTAACGACCTGGGCGGGTCTTTCAAGGGCGAAGGCAATTCCTCAAAAGTGAGACACCCGGCGGTTGCTTTTCCGCGCTCGCAGCTGACCCCCACCCTCTCTCTGACCAGGCAGCCGATGTCGTCGTCGATGAGATAAAGAAGGCCGGCGGAAAGGCCGTCGCAAACTACGACTCTGTAGAGAACGGCGACAAGATCATCGACACCGCGATCAAGTCGTTCGGCCGCATCGACATCCTCATTAACAACGCCGGTATCCTGCGAGACGTCAGCTTCAAGAACATCAAGGACGAGGACTGGGACCTGATCTTCAAGGTCCATGTCAAGGGTGCCTACAAGTGCGCCAGGGCAGCATGGCCACACTTCAGGAAACAGAAGTACGGTCGTGTTATTAACACGGCCTCGGCTGCTGGTTTGTTTGGCAACTTTGGCCAGACGAACTATTCTGGTAAGAAGATGACCCACAATGCTGGGGTGAGACCCATCCTGACTGACTTCCCATAGCTGCCAAGCTGGCCCAGGTCGGTTTCACCGAGACCCTGGCCAAGGAGGGCGTCAAGTACAACATCCTGTGCAACGTTATTGCCCCCATCGCAGCTAGCCGCATGACCGAGACCATCATGCCCCCAGACGTCCTTGAGCTGATGAAGCCCGAATGGGTCGTGCCTCTGGTTGCTGTCCTGGTCCACAAGGACAACACCCAGGAGACTGGCGGCATCTTCGAGGTTGGCGGTGGCCACATGGCCAAGTACAGGTGGGAGCGCTCCAACGGCCAGCTGCTCAAGTGCGACGACAGCTACACACCAGGAGCTGTGCTGAAGAAGTGGGACCAAGTCATCGACTTCTCCAAGCCGCAGTACCCAACCGGGCCCAACGACTTTGTGACCCTGCTGGAAGAGTCTCAGAAGCTTGGCGCCAACCAGGCAGGTGACAAGCTTGACTTCTCCGGCCGTGTTGCGTTGGTGACCGGAGGAGGCGCCGGGTGAGTACGGTCTCTTGTGACTTGACATGTGCCCAGCTAACAATGTGCCAGTATCGGCCGCGCTTACTCGCTGGCGTTTGCGAAGTACGGAGCTTCCGTTGTCGTCAATGACCTTGTCAACCCAGACGATGTTGTTAACGAGATCAAGAAGTCTGGCGGCAAGGCTGTTGGCGTCAAAGCCTCGGCTGAGGATGGCGAAACCGTCGTAAAGGCTGCTATTGACGCCTTCGGCCGGATCGACATTGTTATCAACAACGCCGGAATCCTGCGTGACAAGTCATTCCACAACATGGATGACAGCCTGTGGGACCCCGTCATGAATGTGCATATGCGTGGAACTTACAAGGTCACCAAGGCCGCCTGGCCCTACATGCTCAAGCAAAAGTATGGCCGTATCATCAACACTACCTCCACCAGCGGTATCTACGGAAACTTCGGCCAGGCCAACTACTCCGCAGCGGTAAGTCTTCAGTCTGGCTCTAGACTCCTATCCATTCAGAGAATCTGATCGGTCGTTAGAAATGCGGTATTCTTGGTTTCTCTCGCGCTCTTGCTCTCGAGGGTATCAAGTACAATATCTACGTTAACACCATCGCCCCCAACGCTGGCACGGCGATGACCAAGACCATCCTGCCTGAGGAGCTGGTCCAGGCCTTCAAGCCCGAGTACATCGCCCCGGTTGTCGTTGCCCTGTCCAGTGACAAGGTCCCCAAGAACCCAACTGGAGGCCTGTACGAGGTTGGCAGCGGGTGGGTCGGTGCGACCAGGTGGCAGCGGACTGGTGGTCACGGCTTCCCCACAAATGTGCCACTCACGCCCGAAGAGGTTCTGAAGCACTGGAAGGACGTCGTCACCTTCGACGGCCGCTCCGACCACCCCGACAAGACCCAGGCCAGCTTGGAGAAGATCATGGCAAATGCTGGAAACAAGGCAGGCGGGAGTGCTAAGGTATGATGAGCCTCTTCCAGTTCACCTGCATCTAGTCGTTGTGCTCTGTTCTACGATAGCATAGTGTAAAGAATACAAATTGTTAGAAATTCTGACACTGTCTCCAGAGTGATGCACCTTCGGGCGGAAATGAGCACCTGGACGCTATCCAGACTGCCCTCAAGGCAGAGTCTCCAGCCACCGAGTTCAAATTCACTGAGCGTGATTCCATCCTCTACAACCTTGGGGTGGGCGCGAAGAGGGACGACCTTCGCTACGTCTTCGAGGGTGCCGAGGACTTCCAAGTGCTCCCGACCTACGGCGTCATCCCACCTTTCGACGCCGAGACGCCCTTCAGCCTCGACAGCCTCGTGCCCAACTTCAGCCCTATGATGCTCCTCCACGGCGAGCAGTACCTCGAGGTCCGGAAGTACCCGATCCCCACGTCGGGCCGGCTGCTCAGCTACGCCAAACTGATCGAGGTTGTCGACAAGGGCAACGCGGCCATCGTCAGGCACGGCGTGACCACCGTGAACGCCGAGACCAAGGAGGAGCTGTTCTACAATGAGATGACCGTGTTCCTCCGCGGCTCCGGCGGCTTTGGCGGGCAGAAGAAGCCCTCCGACAGGGGCGCTGCGACGGCGGCCAACAAGCCGCCTGGGCGGGCGGCAGACGTTGTCGTCGAGTCCAAGACGACGGAGGAGCAGGCATGCATCTACCGGCTGAGCGGCGACTACAAGTAAGTAGAGAAAGGGTCGACTCTGCCACTATTTAGAGGCAATTTTACTGACTGATACTCAAACAGCCCTCTCCATGTCGATCCCGCCTTCGCCAAGATGGGTGGCTTCAAGGTTCCTATCCTGCACGGCCTCTGCTTTATGGGCATTGCTGGCAAGGCTGTTTATGAGCAGTAAGTTCTCCATTCCCTGATTCACTTGGGAACAGAAAGACTTCGTAGCCGGGATACTGATGGGCGTGTTACTACTTAGGTTCGGCGCATTCAAAAACATCAAGGTCCGCTTCGCCGGCACGGTGCTGCCGGGCGAGACGCTGGTGACTGAGATGTGGAAGGAAGGTAACAAGGTCATCTTCCAGACAAAGGTCAAGGAGACGGGCAAGCTGGCCATTGGCGGCGCCGCCGTGGAGCTGGTGTCGGATGCAAAGGGTAAGTTGTAGGTGAATGACGAGTTGGAAGTGATATGATACGATGGTTGGCAATTGATATTATCTACGACTGATGGAAGGTGTCTGTATGCGGCGTTACTGCCACGCCATCCTCGTTTCTTGTACTACAATTTGAAGCCCGTGATTTACTGTGTACTGTTTGTCTTGAAGAATGAGATGTCTTGCTCAGGCCCTAGGTCTGAGACATGATGGCAGTTGACAGGCTGACAGGTGAGATGTGGTTCGTTGATCGCAAGCGGGAGGGCGTGATCCTTGGTGGGCTCATTTCCCCATGCCATTCCTGCTGTCCTGCTGAGATGAATGGCAGGATGGCCTGGATGATTGCCAGGCTGCCCAGGTGACGGTTGCACACAGGATACGGGATCATGGGAAGGATGGGCCTGATGGGCTGGATGGCAGGTCTAAGTCTGCTGGCACCGCATGTTGATGGCAAGACCTGGCAAGACGGGATCCCAGGAAATGGCCTTACGTAGCCCCTCAACCCCTGTCCCCACCCCACCCCACCCCCCCTTCCCCCTTGCCCCTTGTAGCTGCGCCTCGCTTATCGATAAATCTGGCCGCGCGGGCAGGCGGGCAAATCTGTCGGGACCCGAGGACCCCTCGTGCCAAGCAATCAAGTCGAATTATGGAGTCCAATTTACCTGGTCCGGGGCTCGTCTCTGTGTACGGAGTAGGTGGGCATTATGACCTATATCAATGCCCCCAACACACAAATACTTCGTTCAACGCCGCGCCGGCTTGGGCTGAGACCACAAAGGGCCGGGGCGTGACAGCGAGGTTTAGTGTCGGGTCCAACTGCCATGGTTTGATTGTACTGCCGCTTCTTCGCGACCGCCATCGCCCAGTTCCCAAGTCTCTCTCTGCCTACATACAGTACACACATACCTGCCAGCAGAGCAGCCACCCGCGACGCGACCAACCCTCCGACCTGGTCGCAACACATCGCACGCAAATGGAAAGAAACCACCGCCCTTATCCTCACCACCACCCAGCGCCGCAGCAGACGCTCAGGCTAGCATGACTGTGGCGCGCCGCCGCGACAACAGGTCAACATGGTCTTCTCCGCCCTGCTGCACTCCGCCCCTGCGCGGCCCGGCAAAAAGCGCACCATGAGCACATCCTCGGCACAGAGTGACACCACCCCCGAGTACATCTGCGACGACTCTCAGCTCGCCGCCTGCCCGCACGATGACGAGGCCCCCGACCTGCGAGACCTGAACCGCAGTCTGGAGGCCCTTGCCGTGGTCTTCCCAGACGTCCAGGTCGAGGTGTTTCGCGAGATGCTGTCCAGCTTCTCCGAGGAGTCCAGGCTGGCAGTTGTCGCTGACGCCTTGCTCAAAAACCGCGTCGGATGGGTCAAAGGCCGCTGGAGGCAGCTCCAGACCAAGGCAGACGTCGCTGCTTTGGTCCCCAGGTCCGAGAGATTTAAGAGCCCCGAATATATAGCTGCCGCCAAAGATCTGGCCTGGCACGAGTTCAAGGGGCTGCCTCGCTCCACCATCAACGCTGTGCTCGCAGAGTCCAACTATTCTTACCTGGCCGCGAGGAAGACCTTGGTCGACCTCTCCCAAAAATCGTGGAGATTTACGCTGTCATCACTCCTGTTATACAGACGAAAAACCGTCTCGTCCGCCGACACGGGGAACCACCCGTTGGTCATATGGAAATCGACTGGCCAGGGATCCATCGTGCCGACACTGAAGTCTACGGGCAATACAGAGCTCGACCGGGAGTTGTTCGACGAACTGATCACTCCGCTCAGGATATCCGCGAGGGAGAAGACGGAAGAGAAGGACCTGGAGATGGCTGCGGCCATGAACCTAGACGAGGCCGAGAGGGAGAACCAGACCCACGAGTGCTGCTGCTGCTTCACCGCCGGCTCATTCGAGGACTTCACCACCTGCAACGCCAACGGGCACATGATATGTCGCAGATGCGTCCAGCTCTCGGTCACGGAGGCAGTCTTCGGCCAGAGCTGGGCCAAGACCATCGAGCCGCAGACCGGCACCCTCAGATGTCCGGCGATGCCCGAGAACGCCAGCTCGGACTCGTGCGACAGCTGCATCTCGCTTGACCAGGTGCAGAGGGCGGTGCTTGGCGTCAAGAAGGGTGCCGAGATTATGCGCAAGTTCGACCAGAGGCTGGCCGAGTACAGTCTCCAAGCCTCTGGGCTTCCCCTCGCACGATGTCCATTCTGCAACTACGCCGAGGTGGACGACGTGTACTTCCAGTCGCGGGAATTCCCTCCCTGCTTCGGGGCTGAAGGGCCGAGGAACAGCCTCTTGCGGGCGTTAGAAATCATTGCGGGGTTCCCATTCCTCGTGATCCTGGGCCTAGTCTACCTGTTCATTTGTCTGCTGGCAGCGATGGAGCTGCCGTTCGGCAAGAGAGTAGTCGGGGAGTTCAACGCGGCGCTCAAGCGCCACAGCCGACGCTCGCGCGGCCTCAAGTTCACCTGCCAATCACCGGACTGCGGGCGCAGCTCCTGCCTCGACTGTGAAAAGGAGTGGGTCGACATCCACGTATGCAATGAGTCCAGTCTCATCGCCCTCCGCACCCAGGTGGAGCAGGCGATGAGCATGGCTCTGAAGCGTGTGTGTCCCAAGTGCAACACCTCATTCGTCAAGACGCAAGGGTGCAACAAGATGACATGTCCGTGTGGCTACAAGATGTGCTACGTCTGCCGCAAGGACATCACCGGCAAGGAAGGCAGTGACGCGGGCTACCAGCACTACTGTCAGCACTTTAGGCCCCAGGGCGACGGGAGGCCTTGCAACCTGTGCAACAAGTGCAACCTCTGGCAGAAGGAGGACGAGGATGGTGTCGTGCAAAAGGCCAAGGAGGAGGCCGAGCGCAAGTGGGCTGAGGTCGAGCACCGCAAGCTGAGCGGTGCCGAGCAGGCCTATCTTGAGACTGGAATTGCCATCACAAACCGGACCGTCGAGGCGGCCCTGACCAACGGGAGGGTGCCCACGGTAGCGGAGGTGTGCGACGTGGTCGTGGGCTTGCTCTTCGGGCACTAGGAACGGCTACGTTTATTACGCAGTGGCCGAAGAGGCCATAATTACGACACGACATCACAATAGCAGCCAGACGAGGGCTGCAACCGCACACACGGGGTTCATCAACGGACAGCACACGTTTGTGAGCAATAGCATTTCTAGCGTCCAGGCAGGTTTTGGCGAAGGGTCCAAGAGGGTGTATTTTTGTTTTAAAGGGAGTCTGGCGTTTCGGGCGTCGGTAGCTGGAATCGGTCCGTCCGGGAAGGAAAAGAAGTGCGGCAAGAGCTGACAGGTTCTTGTGAATACATTATCATACATAATAGAAATGAGATGGGGTGCGAATCTCCGATGTCATAGAAATCTACCTGCTGAAGCCGAGCTTGCCATGCTCACCGGTGGTTTGCCATGTGCGCGTTGCCCGTTTTGGGGCGGGCCTCGGCTGGCAAGAGACGGGTGCTCACCGACTGCTCGAGATATGTACGAGATGGAATCGAAGAGGTGGTGAGAGGACGATCCCCACTATTCTCATCCCCCGTCGCCAACGTGGGTGACACGAGGTTTCACCAGGTCGAGGTCCGAAGCGGGCAGAGGGGCACGATGGCTGATGCGCCAAGCCTGCTCTGCTGACCAGAAGCGATGGGGAGGTGAGGGGGTTGGTGCCTGGTCACCACTGTCGGATGGAGTCGATCACTGCGTCGGTGAGTGAGTGAATGGGTGCGTGAGTGCGTGAGGGAGTGAGTGTGAGAGGGAGAGTGTGTGAGCAAGCTGGAAACGGTTCTGACAATATCCACCCTGCAGTTCCAGACCAGCAGACCACACATGGACAGAACAGGCAGGCAGTCAGGCAGGCCGGCCTCGACAGCAGGCCTCGCGGTCAAGCCAGCCAGTCAACGGAGACAAAACCACGGGCAGGAAGGTCGGCGGTGAGGCTAACTCGACGAGACAAGCCCTGTCGGCAGCCCGCCAGCCCGCCAGCCCGCCAGCCCGCCAACCCGCACGCGCAGCCCACCCTCTTCCCACCCTCCTTTCCCAGCCCTATCACGGCCCTCGTGGTTTGTGGTGGATGCGACGCTGCATTGCGAGTGGGGCCTCTCTTTTTTCTCGGGGCCCTCTCTCTGTCTCCTCCCCCCCCTCCCCTCTACATGTGTAGTGTTAGCCCTGTTGCCCTGGCCGCAGCAGGAGCAGACAGGCTTTCAAGGTTTCGGGTACGAGTCACTTGTTAACCCGATGATCAAACCCAGGACTCAGGACCCGCCCCTCTTTTCCCACCCCGGTCTCTTTTTTTTTTCCCTTCCCACGCTCACGTTGTTCTTGCCGTGCATGACCTCACCCGTCCTTCCACACCCCGGGCATGGCATGGCATGGGCATGGCATGGCGTGGGCAAAACTTCACGGGAGCTAGCCCCCCCTGATGGCACGTTGTGTTGAAGACCGCTCTCGCGGCTGGATACCACACGAAACGCCGTCGCGCAAGGCAGACCCTGAACGGGGGACACAGGCCCGGCAGCGTGGGTTTGTTCCCCAGTCGGCGACGATGACGCTGCAGTGCTTCAGCTGCAGCTGCACCTCGCTGTGAGCTGCGTCTACAGCTCCAAGCTCGGAGCTTGACCAGCAGGAAGCTGAGGCTGCCGCTCACCGGTTGCTGGCTGTGCTGTGGAAATGTGTATATTTGTGGAAAGTGTGATGAGCAACTCACCTGCACGTAGTACGCACATAGTACATACAGTGCCCATCCTACTCCGTACACAGACCACCCAAGCCAATCGAATCTGCAGTCTCGAGTGTGTCTATCTGCCATGTAGTAGCACCGTGGCTTGCCGTGGGTACCGGACGGACTGACGGAGCATTCCTCTCGTGACCGCTGGAGGAGGAGGCAGGTCTGGCGGCGACGGGCGGGGCCCTCGCCATATTCCTCTCACCTCCTGCACCCACAGCACCCACTGTACCTTGCAGAACTGTGGATTAATAATGATGTCGGTGGTGAGCCTGACGAGGAGGACTTGGAGAAGGACCGTCAAAAGGAAATAAACACACATTAGCTGTGTGGAGGCGAGTACGGAGTATGGGCCCAGGCCAGACCTTGCTGGCTGGACATGTGGGTACGAGGGTACATGGATACCTGGGGACCTCTGGGCATGCGGGAGAGTTAAGGATTGGCAGGGCTGCAAGGGCGGACGGGCTAACAGGCGGGCTGGCAGACGACGAAAAACAAAGAAAGGCGGAGCAAGGATAACCGCAGCCATGCAGCATGGGGGTGTGGTGGGCACCACAATTCTGGTGTCGGAACATTGAACCAGATCCCCGGGCATCTAGAAACCGTCACGCAGCGTCAAGAAGGAAATGTCCTAACCTTTTTTTTTATTTCTCGCTTCACACCTTGCCCGCCTTTGGACTGACGGTGAGACTGTGAGACCCGTGGGGACTTGCACTACCCACCTTTGGCGGTGGGTTTTGTTTCGGGCTCGACTGGTCGCAGATGACTTGCTGTCGATGCGTGGTGTTATGTATCCGTACAGTGGCCCCGTCAGTCCGGCGGCCTTCTCATCTCATCTCATCTTCTGATGCCTCCCACCGTGCCTGTACCGTCCTCTGCCGCACTGCGCTGCACGGGAGCACCGGGGCACGGCATCAATCTGGCGTGGTGGTGCAGTGTGATGGTGCAGAGTTGTAGCCAGCCAGCCAGCACAAGCACAGTACGGACCACGGAGGACGGAGGCAGCAGCTGTTCGGCCAGAAGTATAAACGACCAGCGGGAGCCGGGCGGACAGGCGAATGGGGAAAAGGAAGAGAGGGCGAAACAAAATAAACAACCTTTTGGACTGACGCTACCAGGTGTCGTCGCACAAGGCCGGGGGGGCATCGGGGGCTGGGGGCCAATGGCGGCCCATGTGTGTGTGTCTCAGGCTCACCGACTATCTTGGACGTTGACTTTCTCCTTCTCTGATCACATAGTCGGTCACTGGTCTCCTCTGGCCCTCTGGCCCTCTGTGGCCCCCTCTGGCCCTCTCTGGCCCTCTCTGGCCGCCTGTCTTGCTTGTTTGCCCACATTTTCATTCGTCTGGTTGGTCTCGCTGGGTCTTGGGTCGCCATGGTCGCCCTGGTCGCATGCTTTTCTTTGTGCGCGTGGTCCAGGTATCCAGGTATCCATCCAGGTATCCAGGTACCTTTTCCTTCACCGTCCGGCCCGGCATTGGTGGCCTGGACCCTCTCTGCTCTGACCTGGACCTTTACTCCGGGATCCTGGGCCTGGTGAGATGTCACTCGCGACTGCCGCTTCTTTCTGCTACGTGCTACGTGCTACGTGCTACGTGCTACGTGCTACGTACTTGCTGCTGCTGCTGCTGCTGCAGCCCTCGCCCACAGACCTTGTCGCCGTGTGGTTCCTGCGCATTGCTGGGCCGTCCATGCCGCCCAGCTCCCAGCTCCCAGCTCCCGGCTCCCAGTGTACCTGCCAGGCCCCTGTCCGCCAGACGACTTGTTGCTGGTGACATGCCTGCAAAATGCTTGCGTTGCCAGTCCCGACTCGTTGATCTGACCCCATCCCCCTTCCCCCCTGATGTAGGTACAAAGCCTCAGGACTTCTTCAACAAGCGTTTTTCCCACCCTCTCTCTCTCCTCGCCCGCCTCCCCTTCACCTTGCTCAATCTTCAGCATCTTGTATTCTACAATCTACCCGTCTGTCTGTCTTGTCTGCCTGTCTGCCTGCCTGCCTGCTTGACCGTCCCAGCCCGATCTTGTGTGTTCGTCTGCCGTGCCTCCTTCGCCCTCGGCATCGACCATCCGCACCACACCCGCCCTTCCCCCTTGCGTTCCACCCTCGTATGCGACCTGCAGCCGCTTCAGGCAGGCTACCTGCTCCTCCATCATGGAGTCCCTCCCCGTAGAGCTGGTGCGCCTCATCTATGAGTCTTGTGACCTGCCCAGCGTCAAGAACCTCCGCCTCATGTCCTCCTTCTTTGCCGAGATTGGCCTTGAGTACTTGATGGGGTCCAAGATCAACGTCGTCAGCTGGAGGGACGACGTCGCCAGGCTGCACTCCATCGCCACCCACCAGCGCCTCAGGAGTGCCGTCCAGTCTCTCACCATCAACTTCGCCGATGTCGACGAGTACAATGCTCGTCACGCATCTTTCTTCCAGCACTACCTCGAGGACCCCGAGGAGCGCAATGAGCGTCTGCAGGCCGCCTGGCTGGCCTACTGGGAGGCAAAGCAGCAGCGCATGACCGTCCCGGCCTTTGACAGCCGCCCGGACATGGTCCTGGAGGCCTTCCGGAACCTGCCAAATCTACGCCACCTCGATGTCACTTTCACCAGGTGCCCCTTCGACATTGAGGTCCTGGACCAGGTCTTCCAGGGCCTGCCCAGCTGCCGCAAGATGGACCGGGACCATGCCGCCAAGAACCTTGCCCTGATCGCATCCGCCCTCAAGGAGACAGACCTGACCTCTTTGACCATCGACCGCTTCCCGCTGGAGACCTTGAGGCTGCCGGACGAGAGGAGGCACTGGTTCGACTGCGTCTCGACCTCGTTCGCCAAACTGACGACGCTCAACATCACCGTCGACCCGTCCACGCTTAAGCTGCCGAATCAGAGATTCAAGGCCATCAAGGGCCTGGGCCACATCCTGCGCTGTGCTGCCAATGTCACCAATCTCACACTGGCCTTCCACACCTACGGCATGCCCAAGCACAAGTTCATCATCTGGTTCGACACACTGCTCGAGGGCTTCACCTTCGAGAAGCTCACCGACCTCAAGCTGGAGGGCATCTCGTGCGACGAGGAAGACCTGCGGAAATTCATCCTACGGCACGCCGGCACGCTCGAGCGGCTCCGCCTGGGCGGTCGCGGCCTCGCAAAGGCCCACGAGGGTGGCCTGGGCGGCATCCACCTCTGCCGGGGCACCTTCCGGGGCCTGTTCGTCGGGTTGCGGAATCGGCTGCCGAAGCTGGAGAGGATCCACCTGGAGGGTGATTTCGAATGCGTCGGCGTCGAGAGGTCCTCCAACGAGGCCTACAGCTTCCACGGCGTCACCAACGACAACTGGGAGGACATGTCGGGTGACTGGCGGCTAGGCCGCGCCGTGTCATCGTCCGGCAGGACCACCAGGGATTGCCTCGACTTCGAGCGATATCTGCTCCAGGGGGGAAGATACCCGGGCTCCACGTCCGTCTCCCCTGCTGTCGTGGCCCCGGCGCAGTAGCTGACCACCGGGACCACATGTGGCCTCTTGCGACGGACGACCTTGTTAAATTACTACCACAACCTTTACGCTCTCTGACACACACACACTGCATAGACTTGCAACTAGACTTGGACTCGGCGATCGAGTACTGGTGTTCTGGGAATTGCTTTTCTGGGGTCGGGGTTTACCAAGTTTGGGAGTTCACTGTTGCCGCCGCCGCTCCTCGCCGCTGCAGCTTCCTTTTCAACTATATATAGACGAATGCCCCCACGGCGATCCAAACCGATCTACAACATTCATGTAGCTTCGAGACGATTTGACGATATCAAATAGAAAATGAGCCCAGAGCCAATCATGTTAATCATTCATTCATTTATCTGCCGACTCCTTATGCGTCTATCCATACCATGTGTTCGTGCATCCATCCAACAGCATATATAAGACCTCTCCGATATAGCGGTGCAACCTGTCGTCGTAGTTTGAAGCAGGCGGCCGCTTGGCAAGGCGGTTTTGACGACGCCACATGGGACGCCGAAAACCTGCTTGCAGTGCTGCTGCCCGGGAACTTGGAACGGCGACGGGTAGCCGCGATCACCATACGCAGGGGAGACGTCATCGTAGGTTACCCGCATTTTTCCTGGGAGGAACTGGGATACTGTGCAACCGCAATGAGTTGAGGTAGAGAGACACATCAATAAGCTGCTTTCATATAAGAACATGGTCCAAGATCAAGTGGTGATTTATTCCAAGGGACTTGAACCCAACTACTTCCCATTTCAAGCACCTCTACTACTCAAGTGCTTTACCCATAGACATCCATTCTGATTGAATCACTTACAAACCCACCCGCATTTCAAGATGGAATCAACCTACCAAATCGCCGTTGCGCTCCTCACTGTAATCCTCATCATGGCGGCGTCCTACTTTGCCTATGACCAGGGTTACATGGACCCTCTGATTGAGAAATTTGGGTGAGACCTCACCAAATTCACATACCAGCGCCTGATGGGTGCCGAGGACACTGGGTTACTGACTTGCCCTCTTTTCTCTAGTGTTTTCATGATGAAGGCCAAGGCGGAGGCGGAGGCCAAGGAGATGCAGGCCAAAGGCCTGAAGAGGGGAGAGGACTTTGTTGACTGTGAGTCTGTCCCTGTCGTCTGCTACATATCTCAAGTCATGCCCGTCTGCAATGCCCGCGCTGTCGCTGCTCGTCCCGACCTCGGGTACCATGGCGCGGCTGGGTTCACACTCGTCCCGCTGTTCCCCGCCCCTTGTGCCCGGTGTTCCCCCCGAGCCTGGGCTGGACTGTTACGACATCGGTCTGGGTCTTGCCTCGCCTGCCTCCTCACGTGCCGGATCCTGCGCCCGGCCCGAGGGGAAGGACGGCGAGCAAAAGTTTGTTGTGCGAGGGTGGCTTTCTCATCCAATGCGAGCTTGATTTCTCGAATCTCACCTCGCGGCCCATGTCTGGAGCACATGAAAGGCTTATTGCTTTCGAGTTATCGCGATCTTTCCGCTCCCGGAGCACTCACCACGGCATTGCTGACTCTTCAATCACAGCGGAGCTCAAGGGCAACCAGCAGGCTCAGGACATCAAGGCAGGCATGGGGTCGCTAGGTGGCCTGAAGAAGAGCCTTTAAATATGGGACTGCCGCGACCACGCGCGAACGGAACGTCACGGGCTCACCACGATCGGTTCGGCGAGATGAAGCGATTTGGGTGTCTTTTCTTGATGCCCTACTTGTACTGCGTGTGTGAATGGTAGTATCTGGTCTTGTTGATGCGCCTGGCGTTATGCGTACGCCATCTGGGGAGCAGAACTTGTTGTTTGTGCGTTTGTTAGTAAGTACCTACCTAGGTACGTGGGAAGACAATGTTCGGCCTGATAGTTTCTGGAATATAGCGGAGCCGCTCAGATGAAATCATTGACACGACTCTGTGACGCATGGACGACAGAGTGGAGGCGGCGTCTGTGAGGTGCGAAAAGTCAAAACGCGTCTGTGTCTGCCAGCAGCTCATGCAAGACATGGCGAGGCCAAGGAGGGAGGGGCCTGGCTGGCTGGCCGGATAGTCAAGAGCACAATGTAAGGTTGGGTGACGAAGTCCGAGCCACGTTGGAGCTGAGCCCAAGCTGCGGCTGCCTCGTATCATTGGCACTGCATGACAGGGCGGCAGGGCGGCAGGGCGGGAGGGGAGGAAGAAGGAGGGCATTAGAGTTGAGGCGGCGAATGCGTGCGACTCAAGGTTGGATGGGCCAGAATGTCCGCGGGTGGGGTCGGCCCCAGTCGTTGGATGGGCGTGGGAGAGAGGGCTTGTGTCGATCGTGTGGACCCGGATCTCCACGTGAGTGTGACAGGAGTGTCCTTGGGCGGCATAAGCTCCAGGACTTCGTGTCAGCGATGTACCAAAGGCCGCCGTGGTGCGTGGGTTGGTTGCTTCCGCCCTGTGAAACTGTTGCTGAGGAAGGTTCTGGGCGGAGGGCGGCTCTGCTTGGAGTTACCGAAAGGCTGAGATTATTTATTGTGGTCGCGAGACTGCGTCGCACTCGACAAGATGGCCCCGTTTTAGGAAATCGGGAGCAGGCTGCAACTGCGGGTGAATCTTGTTGGGGGCACACCAGGAGCAGAGAATACGGCCCAGCAATACTACATAGTATGTTCATTTGAATTGGGGGCCGGGTGATTTTTTTTTTTGACTCTCCCTCCCTCCTCTCTCTCTTGTTCCCTGCCTGGTAGACAGCGACTCTTTTCGCATAGCTGTGCTCGAGCGTCGTGACCGGACCGGGAGATTTCTTGGTCTTGGCAGAGAGTGTCTGGGGGCAGCCAGGCGGGCGTGACGAGGAATTGATGTGGTCGGATGTGATTGATCGACTCGGGATCGGGAATTGGCCATCACTACGACGCTGGCACGGAATCTGGCCCCGTGGCCCCGTGGCCCCGTTGAAGCGTGCTGGCGATGGCGACAGCTGTTGTCGGCCCCTCCGCTGAGCGGGACGGTGGGACAGCCGGAAATGTCGACCGAGTGCGGGCAACAGGGACCAGAGGAACAGGGCTGCAACAGCCCGGGGCGGTAGCTTGGGGGCTTGGCGTCGTCGGTGTGGGTATAGGTGTAGGAAACACAACAAACGAAACATGTTGTTGTGCGGTTGCGATTAGTTGGGTCTGGTCCCAGGTCTGGTCCCAGGTCTGGTCCCAGGCCTGTGTCGGAACAAAAACATGCCAAACATGAGATGGCAGACAAACCCGTACACATTACTGTGTAAGTACTTACCTAGGCTAGGTAGGCTAGTTGGCCAGGTAGGTACCTAGGTACCTAGGCCGTCTCGGTGCCAGGGAGTACGGAGTAATCTGTACTATAGTATGGAATGCCAGAAGCAGCGTGCCCCGCTGTGCTGTCCAAGCCACGGCAGGTGCTGAAGACAGAGTCATTCGTTCCCAGTCCTTGCTCTGACAGTCTGATGAGGACGAGTCCGAGCGTCGAGGCAGCCCTGGGCATGCTGGCATGGCGTTAATCAAAAGAGAATAGGAGAAGTGCGCGAGCGCAGGACTGGCTGTATAGTGCAGAGGGTAGTAGAGGGTAGCATCGTAGCATCCGTCGTGAACAAGGAGATGGGCCAGCAATGCGAGGGCTGGGCTGGGCTGCCTCTGCCGTCCGTTCGGCCGTTATGGGCAATGCAGAGAACAGACACTGAGAGATTGATCGAGGCACCGAGGGTGGGGTGGATAGTCCAAGGGCCGGTGGAGTGGCAGTTGTGCATGTTTCAAAGGCTGGACGCAAAAGGTTCGTCTCATTTCGAACCCCCCCCCCCGCCCCCCGCCGCGTAATGAGACTGCAGAATACCCGTCCATCCCGGTGTAGCAGAGCACCAGCGGAAGCAGCAACAAGCAGCAAGTCGCACGCGAGGGCCGGCCCCTGGACACGGCGGGCTGCAACACTCCAACACTGGAACACCAAACCTCCATTTCAGTAATTCAAATCTCTTGCCCCGGGACGGCTGCAATGCCGCCTTTGGTTGGCATGGGGGAGACCATTATTATTCTTTTCTCTCTTCATTTTCTTTTTCAAACGGGCGTCAAATTGACCCTCCCCTGCCCCGTCCGCCCCTCCACCACATTCTTCTTGTCTAGGGGCTTGGTCTTTTTTCTTCCCCCTTCTTGCAATCTAACTTGACTCGACCTGATGTGCCTTGATTTCTCGACACTCTCGACCCTCTCGACCCTCTCGGCCCCTCTCTCCTTTTCGCACGTCCGTTCCTTGTATTGTACGGTACTACTGTATTGTGTGCCCAGGCGCAGCCACACTCTGCTGTGCCGTGCAGTGCTCTGCTGCCTGTCCAGCGTCAACCACGGCTCGCTCCCATTCAATAACATAACTGAGTCGTATCGCTCACGGCGATCCCTTCGACTCTGACCTGCCTTGTCTGCTTCTTGCCTCGTTTCTCCTCCTCTCACCCCTCCCCCCCTCCCCTCCGCCTCTCCACACACCAGCACCAGGTCAGCCCGGCCCAGCTCCAGCAGAGCTTACTACGACCCAACACCGATAGTACGGGAGGCTGCAGTCAAAGAGGGTGCATCCCCACTATATCAACCGCCAGGAACCGTTGGACTCGAACCAGTCCAAGGCCACGACGAACCACCAACTCGGCAAGCCTGACCTGACAAGAGCTAGCCAACAGCCGGATGCCACCCACGCTTGCATACACCCCTCTGCTCGCTACGTATTAGCTCCTGCAGGCCTTGCACCCGTGCTGCACGCCCAGCCATCAGCTACCTCGAGGGGCCTTCGGTCATCCACGACTTGTCGACGTCAGCAGACAGGCGCAGTTGGCCCTCCCACACTGCGACATTGCAACACTGCTGCCAGTTCGACAGTCCACCAGATCCAGTCTTCAAACCCAACCCAGACGGGTCCAGAGGCCTTTGGAACCCATACCGCACCGGTAACATACTGTGTAATAGTAATAATACCAGCAGCCTGACCCGCTCGCTTCGACCTGGCCTTGCACACCCACGCAACACGTCTGCCGAAGCTGCCGGGCAAGAAACGCCGATCGGTTCTGTTTTTATTTATTGTACAACTACCCATCTGCTGCCTGCCTGCTGGCCTGCATTTGCATCCTGTACCAAGCACGAAACACCGTGCCACAACCTTGCAACAACCTTGCACCCACGTCACCCGTCTTTCGGGTCAACTGCAGCTACAAAACGGCCCCAGACGCCGAGTTTCCTCGCCCCCGATCTAATACTACTGCTGCTCGCCGTTCACGCTCAAAGAACTAGAACTAGCATAACGAGGCTGGCCCCCAGACCGTGCTTGTTCGACCCGTTCTCCCGGCCTTTGACCAAAAGACCCGAACTGATCCCACTACCGACCCGCGGCCGTGCCTCTTTTTTTTTCAGCAGGTTTTACCTCGCCCACGACCGTCACCCTGGTACCCGCCGCCTCGAAGCTCTCTGTGTGACCAGCCACCAACCCATTTCGCGACCACCACCATTCCTAAACCCACCCGTCTAACAACATCCAACCTTCACCATAACAGCATCCCGCCCCCCCTCCCCCACCTCACCTGGACACGGGCAACCAGCGCAGGGGCCAAACACGGCCAGATTCTGCCCCTGCACTCTCACAGCTCACCCCAATGCCTGCCATCCTTTGTTTTTCTTTAATGGCCTGAACAACAATTCTTCAGGACATCCGCTTTCACCATGCAGCGCTTCTCTGCGTTTTGGTCTTCTAGAGACAGGCCAAAGCCGAATGTTGGGCTCTTCAATCCTGTCACCGCGCCCGCCCCTGTCCATGACACCACCAACGCCCTGACCCGTCGCTACGGGCCTGAGGACTACTGGCCCTCCACTTTGGACCGCGAGAGCGAAAAAGCAGCTCGTATACTTCAGGCTTTCTGCAGTACGTCACGTCCGAGAACCCACATTATTTCCATGCGTTCCAACTAACATGAAAGAACAGCCGAGGGTTGCATAGCCGCTCGTGATGACAGCCCCACCAATCTCGAAAGGCGCGCATCCACCACGTCGCTGCAGCACAAGAAGAGGAAAATACCGCCCAGAATAGTCCAGAACGCTGTCGGCCTGGCAATCTTCTCCTGTATGAGATCTGGACTGTGGAAGAGCGGCAGCGGAGGAAGTGGAATTCTGGTCGCCAGGAAGTCCGATGGACGATGGTCCCCGCCTTCGGCATTCCTCCTGCACACGGCAGCCCTTGGATTCGTGATCGGCGTCGACGTTTACGATTGCGTCTTGGTTATCAACTCAATGTCTGATCTGGAGATGTTCACACGCCCCCAAACCACCCTCGGCACCGACGTACAGCTAGCCGTTGGGCCTACCATAACAGATGGGCGCATCGAGAACGAGGTCCGGGGTAAGGATCCAGGGCATACGGTGTTGACCTACGTCAGGGCCAAGGGTGAGCACCGGGCTGTTAATATCGATGGGTCGTCAGTCACGGAACGGGGATCGGAAAACCAGCGATTCTACGGTGGCGACGTCTCTGTTCTTGATGTGCTGGCAGGAAAGGTCCCTGAGAAGGACGACCCGGAAATTAAGACTTTGTATGAGGTTCTCAAATGCGCAGAGGGCAGGGTCGATTTCAACGCGCCTCTCCTGGAGAAGCTGGCGCTGCAGCCGGCCCCTGGCGACGCCGTGATTGAGGACCCATCCGCGCTCTCTCTGCTATCCCCGGGGAGGCCTGCGTTCGGAGTACCAGATAACGAGGATCCAGATCCATTTGGTGTTAGGGCGCTCGAGATGGCCGGTCTTGAGATCCGAGAAGCCGGGACCAGACACAGGCCCGCCAGCAGTCAATTCGAGTACAGCCCGAGCCCGAACAGTCCTTTGTTCGGCCAGTTCAACAACCGCCAGAGCACAGACACCTCCATAACCCAGAGCAATAGGGGCAGCTACATGTCCAACAGGACTACCCTCAGCCGCATGACAGATGCGTTCACGCAGACGACTGTCGACACTCGGGGGACCACACCAACGTCAGACGAGGGGCTGGACCGAGCCTCGATTGACAAGCTGCCGGTTGTGATGGAGCCGGAGGAGGTCGAGCACTCGCGGGAGAGCGTCGCCAGGAGCCCATCCAGGGAGCGACCAGAGTCGATTCCGGAGGACAGTGTAGCCGAGGAGAAGGCGGCGAACGAGATCACAACGATCTCCGAGGAAACCCCTGCCGCTGAAAACGCTAAAAAGGCAGACGGAGTATCTGTCGACGAGCGGGATGAGGATGCAGACGACGAGCAAGAGGAAGGCTCAGATATCGAGAGCGGCCCGGAGCTGGAGGACGACCAGGATCTGTCAGAAGACGATGAAGATGATGAAGACGATGACGACGACGAGCCGGTTATTTTCGAGGTGGCTACAGCTGCTCAACCAGCCCGGGCGGTCCCGTCGTCACCTCAGGTCACTCAGATCATCCACGCGAAGGGGGCACTCGTGAACATCCCCAAGCGTATTGTACCTGCAATTCCACCAAGGAGCCCTGCAAGGTCTTCACGCTTCAGTAAGAGCGATTTCGGAGAGATCCCAGCGAAGAGTCCGTTGAGGAATTCTTTCCAGTCGACAATGACGAGCAAGAGCGAAGAGGGAGCGGAGCACAAGACCATGGATGGGGTTATCGAGTCTACATCCAAATGGGCAACTAATGTAACACCGGCAAGCCCATGTGAGCAGGATATTGAGACACAGGAGCAGCAGTTGCGGTCCAGAGCATCTTCGCCCACGTACACCACTGTCATGGAGAAGCATTTGAGCATGGAAACCGAGGACATGCCCCGGACGCCGTCCACGCTCCACACCTCTGGACCAACATCATCAGGGGATGAGCAGGAGCCTCGCACGCCGAAGCCAGAGAACGAGGTGGCCACAACCGGAGATGCCAAGGTGGCAAGACACGAGGTGATGAGTTTCGGGGTCGAGCTCGACGGCACATACTAAAGGGCCGGTGAGCCCTCATTTTGGTTTTTGGGACTGGGCATACTTTTTCTTCGGCATTGGCGTTCATAGGCACAGAAGCGCGATATCCATCCCCTCGAGGGGCAAAACAGGTCTGGGCATGGCACGGCACGGCAGCTGGAGGCTGGAGGCTGGGAGCGGGCGACAGGCAGCTTTTATGTCTAATGTTTTATGCATTGCTACATGGGTACACTTCCTGTTGATAGCAAATCTCACTATGATGAACATCAACAACATCATAAGGCAACTTGCACACAATTCCATCCACGAAGTAGAAAGTGAATGAATGGACTGGTACCGTTCAAGAATGGTGGTAGATCACTACCTGGGTATTGCTTTAAAACCAAAGAAAGCCCTTGTGATCCTTGGGCGGGTACCGGGGTACCGGGACGAGCAGGCCTTCCTTCCACGTTGGCATGGTTGTCTTTAAGCAGCGCGATAGATTGAGTTCGCCGAAGGATTACACTTCTTACAAAGCTTCTTAGCCTTGAACACCCCATGCTGGGGCTGGTACGAGGCCAGTAAGACCGGATTGGCACAAGCATCCCCGAATAGGTTCTGGGCATCGCCTAGGTACTCCGTACTGTTTACCAGGCAAGCATGGGCTGCAGCTGACTGAGGGTTAGGGGTTGCGCGAGCGCGCCCAAGCTCCAAATCGCTAAAATTCCCAGCGAGCTTATTACTTGAAGGCGCGGTCGCGACACACCAGCGCAGGCACGTCGACTTGACTGGACTTCAAACGGCGGGCATCCCCTCGTTCTCAGCCTTCACCCGTCAACCCGCAAGGCCTCACGATGTCTTCGCAAACAAAATGGAAGGAGGAGCAGGTTCTCGTCATCTGTCCTGGCTCCTCCACAACAATGGCCCAGCTCGGCTGCAGCGAATTGACGCCGCCCTCGCAGCGCTTCCCGACGCGCATGTTTAAAGACGAGCAGACCGGGGCGTGGAGGCCGTATCATACCGTCAAGAGGAAGAAGGAAAACCTGCTGAACACTAATGGAGGCGCGCAGGCAGGTCCTGTCGATGGGGCCAAGGCTGAGGAGGAGTATGAGTTCGTCGAGGACCCCGACTCCAGCGAAGGCGCCGTATACCCCATCCGAGGTAAGTTCTGGCGTGGCTGCACCTCCATCGGTGCCCGTTGAAAGCACCCGCGTATACTTACACGCCCGATTTGCTGTACAGGCGGCCGCATCGTGCATATGGAGGCCTTTCTCGCGTTCCTAGACCATGTCCACAGCATGCTGACGACGACGTACCACAACACCCCGATCACGCTCATGGCGTCGCCACAGTGGACACGGCCTGACTGCGAAGCCATTGCGCGCTACGTGTTTGAAAAGACCAAGACTCCGGCACTCTGCCTTATCCACAGCGGCGTCGCGACACAATACGGGCTTCGGTGGCCCACCATGACCGTCGTCGACATTGGCTTCCAGAAGGTTGACGTGACCTGTATATATGACAACAGGATCGTGAACCACAAGGACTTGGGCTTGACGACCCCGGAAAGCGAGAAGGAGGCGGCCATCTCCGGGGGCGAGGCGTTCACTCTGAAGCTCAAGAAACTGCTCGAGGGCCAGGGCTTCACCTATGAGATGGCGGAGCAGCTGAAGAAGAGCCAGATCTGCGAGGTTCTGCCGTACGCGGCGGATCAACCTGGGCTGATGGAGCTGCCCTCGGCGAGTGGCAGTAGCCAGCAGTCGGCAGCGGCACCAACGGGTCAGCCTGCGGCGCAAGCGGCAGCTGGCACAACAAGCGACTTGTCGGTGGGTGCGGAGGCTGACGACGGGGTCACTGTGGACGACAAGGGTCCCGATAATGACGGTGTCCTTGACATCGCAAACATCGTCACGAGCGGCCAGACCAAAGAATTCCTGGCGAAGAAGGAGAGGGAGAAGCAGGAGAGGGCAAAGGCAGGGAAGAAAGGTAAAGGCCCAGATGCCGTGGACGCAAACAAGCCATCGCGGTTGCCGAACTCGAAGAGGTTGAAGAATGTGTTCCATTACGAAGAAATCGTTCACGAGGAGCCAGCACCGGCACCAGCCAAGGCGGTCGATCAAGAGAAGGAGAAGGAGAAGGAAAAGGAGGATGTTGCGCCGCCCGCTAACGGCGAGGGGCCAAAGGTGGAAGCTCAGGCAGGGGAAGCAGAGAAACCAGCTGGGGAGCAACCAAGTGGTGATGCCTTCAAGGTAGACAACTTCTTACCACCTCCGGACTCGACATCCGCACCGGCCACGTCCTCAGAACCGCAGACGAAACGCATCAAGAGAGATATCGAAATCGGCCTGGAGAGATTTACGTTTGCGGATCGCGCCGAGATCGACCGAATCGCAACGACGATTTACCGGGCCGTGCAGGAGATTGGCGACATGTACATGCGACCGGGCTGCTGGGACAACATCGTCTTCGTGGGCAACGGCAGCCGCATCCGCGGGCTGAAAGACAACATCCTGCAGACCCTGACACTGCGACACCTGATCTCGCCCAGTAGCGCGACCATGTTCACGTCGGAGCTTCCTTCTAACGTGGCGACGCCCGCCGGGACCGGGTCGCAGACACCAACGGGCAGTTTCACCGGCCCACCGCACACAATGCCCACGGGGGCCTCGTCGGGCGTCAACCCGCTGCTGCAGGCGGCCACGACGGCGGCATCGCTTCAGCAGACGCCGCACCCTGGCGTGTCCACGCCTGGCGGGGCGCCAGGGTCCACGTCGGGCGAGGCTTCGGCGCCGCACATGTCCCACCATTTCCACAGCCAAACGCCGACGTCGATCAAGCTGGCGACAATGCCGACCTACCTGGCCGAGTGGACGAAGCACGGCTTCGAGGAGGCCATGTTCCTGGGCTCCCTGGTAGCCGCCCGCTTGGTGTTCTGTGTACACAACCTGGATGCACAAGGCCTAGAGGCCCAGAGATCCATGAGCCTGCACCGGGTCGATTTCAAGTAAGTCCCTCCTGCCACGGGACTCATGCAGCCTGATCAGAGGATGCCTTGCTAACACCCCACCCCTCCCCCAGTGAACTTGGACCAAAGGCCATCCGGACACATTCCATGCTGGGATGATATACTCGTTTTTGACAAGCAGAAAGAGCATAATTAATTTGCAGGAGGGGATGAGACTGTGCCTAGGGATGAACGACTGCTGGGAGTTGTTGCTTATTTGTGTTTCAGGGGCCTGGCCTGGAGTTTAGAGGCGATGACTGGGACGCTCAGAGTAGGTATGAACAGGACAGCGAAAAGAGAAAAGCCGAGGATGCCTATATAGTTGGCTACTACTTGGGAGGTGGGCATTCCGCCCCGGAGCAGAGAGCAAGCATCATGCAGAGCTCGCGAGCCTGGGGCGTGTTTGATTATAGGCAGGTATCACAATAAAAGACTTGGTCTTGATGATGAAGCATGCTGGCCTAGCTGTGCCATTTACTCGTAGGGGTGCGTTCCACTGGTTTATGGACGGTGGCACTGGCGGGAAGAGCCAATGTGTGTGGCTGGAATCTTTGGTGGTTGTATATTTTCGGACCGTCCAACCAGTCTAAGAGCTGCAGGATGCGCCAGAGTGGACCGTTTCGTGCTTCCAACAAGCAAGTCAATCCCTGTCTTGCACTCGGTACGTACGGAGTACAGAAGGACTCACAGGGTTCCACAGAACAGAGCCACGTGGTGGGTGATTCACATCTGCACGTCAAAAAAAGCTGCATAAGTCTAATCAGAAGCCCCCCTGCTCAAGACTGAGGTCAACCTCCTCTCACAATGGCTTCTTCCACCCCTTCCCGGCAGCTCATCAGCTCGGGCAGCGCGTTCGAGGCGGAGATCGGCTATTCCAGGGCCGTAGTCGACGGCGACTTTGTGTTCGTGTCAGGATGCACAGGGTAAGTCCACTGCCGAACGAGTCATTCTGGGCCTGACGACGGCGCGCACAGGTACGACTACAAGACGGGAGCCATCTCGGGCGACGTGGCGGAGCAGGCGGAGCAGTGCATGGTCAATATCGCGGCGGCGCTGTCCGAGGCCGGGGCCGCCGTCGGGGATATCGTCAGGGTGCGGTATATGCTCCCGGACCGGGACGACTTCCCCAAGACGTGGCCGGTGCTGAGGCGCTGGCTGGGCGAGGTCAGGCCTGCGGCTACCATGATTGTGGCAGGGCTGATGAAGGAGGAGATGAGGATCGAGGTTGAGGTCACGGCCAGGAGGAGGGGAGGGCAATTGGCTTTGTCGAGGTCGCCGAACGGGGACGGCGGGAGGGCGGGCCTTGCTTGACAAGTCGACCCAAACCTCGCCGACCCGGCGAGCCTGACGGGGCGGGAGTGGCTTTTAGTGTTTGGGGTGGGTCGAATGTGGACTTGGGTTGCCTGTCACGGGCACGGTCTCCTTATGCTCTTTCCCCATGTGTTTGTTCTCGACCCCAGGATGGCAGACATTAATGACCACGGGGCCTGGCTTTTGTCACGTTGGTGAGTCCCCCTCACAAAGGTTGTATCTGTGTGGTCTAGTCCGAGTTGTAGTGGTGCCAAAGAGAGCTCCACCTGACGGAGACGTGGGCTGCGGAGACAACTGGACTTACAAAGGAGGAGACTGGGTCGAGGTTGCCGCAACCGTCCGTGGGCCCGGCGACCTTGTCGTGGATGGTGTGTGCCTACCTACCTGCCTACTTATTAGCCTCGCTCGACACGGTCGAGTTTCGTGGTGTAGGCAGTGTAACCAACCACCCTGCACGTATTCACCACACAAAGTCATGATCGCAACAGTCCTCTCGGGCGCCGCCTTCGGGGCTGCCCTCGTCGCCTCGGGCATGTACTCGCCCTACCTGATCGCCTCGCAGTTCACCATGCAGAGGTGGAACATGCTGCAAACCTTCCTCACCGCCACCGGTTGCACTGCGTGAGTTGTTCCCTCGTACCTGTCTTCCTCACCCGGCTAACACTGCCGTCCAAGCCTCGCCGTGCACCTCCTCTCCGGACTGGGCAGCCGGGTCCCCCCACCGCGGTCCTACTCGCCCGCAGGTCTCCTGGGCTTCCCACTCGATGGCAACCTCATAGGCGGTGCCCTGCTCGGCGCCGGAATGTCCTACGCGTCCTCGTGCCCCGGCATGGTCTTCCTCCAGGTCGCAATGGGCGTGCCCTCCGCACCCCTCACCCTCGCCGGCGCCGTGGCCGGCGGCATATTCTGGTCGGCGGTGCTCAAGGGCTGGATAGCCGCCCGGCTGCGGAAGCAGGCCGCCAGGGGACACGGCACCCGAGGCATGGCCTCCTCCCCCAAGACGCTGGCCCAGCTGCTCGGCACGCCGCCCTTCGAGACCTTTGTGTGCTACGAGATCGTGCTGGGCATCATCGTGGTCACGGTGGCTGGCAGGGCGGTGTCGGAGCCGTCAGCCCTGCAGCCCATCGCCGGTGGCTTGGTCATCGGGGGCGCACAGCTGATCTCCCTGCTGACGAGGGGCTCCCTGGTCGGCGTCTCGACCTGCTACGAGCACATTGGCGATTGGGTCCTGTACCTGCTCGACGGCGCCAGAGGTCCCCGCCCCCCCACGGCCACCCTGCTCTTCTCCGCGTCCATGATGGCCGGTGCCCGCCTGCTGGCCTACCGGATGCCTGAGCTCGCCCTGGCGCCCGGCATCCTGGCGCCCGCTGTGGCCTCGGGGAAGGCCTTCTGGGGTGGGTTCCTCATGGCTGTGGGTTCTAGGCTGGGCGGCGGGTGCTCATCAGGACATGGCATCAGTGGCATGGGTCTGATGTCTGTGGCCAGCTTCGTATCTATGTTTGCTGCTTTTGCTGCTGCTTTCGCAGTGTCGAGGCTGTGAGTGTATATGTGTGTGTGTGTGATGGAATGAATGAGGCGAGAGTGAGAGGGAATTTTCTCCCGGCGGCTTGTTGTCCCATTCAACTGCTATTTAGAACCCTAGATTAGAGACCGCTGGCTCGCAGCCTCATCAGATACCGCAATCGAAGGATCCGCCTAGCCCCCTGGCCCCTTGGCCTGCATGCCCTTGCTCTTTCTCCTGTCATCCGGCTCCGGTGTCTCTTGAGCAATCCCGGCCGTCCCGGCGGCACAGGAGCCGAGGCTCATCGGCACCGAAATGCGGGGCGTAGCTCATGCAGCAGCGGTACTTGAGATCTGAATGAACCTCATTCCCCCTTGCGTAGACGTCATTCGATCTGACCGGCATGGTAGTTTAGATCTTGTTGCCTCAACTATTGTCTCATTTCTGGCCCCAAGATAGCCCTCACTTTTTTTTTTATATTTATACCTAGGTACAATTCATCCCAGCCGCACATTGCCAGGCCAGCAAAGCAGCCAATATGCCCATCGCATTGACCGTCAAGAAGATCGATGGAAAGCCAGGAAAGGTTTACTACCCGTAAGTTACGCAGTACTACAAACTACCGACCGTGCCGAGATACTCATCTTTCCAACAGCCTCCAGCTCAAGGAAGTACCCAAGCCGTCCCCTGGCCCAAAGGAAGTCCTCATCCGCCTCAATGCCGCAGCTCTGAACCACCGCGACCTTTTCGTCCGCCAGCAGCTTTACCCCGGTATCTCATTCGAGAACCCACTGCTCGCGGACGGCCACGGGACGGTAATCCAGTCCGGGCCGCAATGTGTGCGCAACCTCCAGGACAAGGACGTCCTCCTGTTCCCAGCGCGGGGCTGGGACGCTCATCCCGACGGACCCGAGGACTCCAAGAAGTACAGGTACGCGGTGTGTTTTCATTATTGACAGGCTGATTCAACTCCTCTCCAGCACCCCTAGCCCTCCCTCCCAGGACATTTGACCTGACATAGTATAAAGCGTAATTGGCGGGACTGCCATGTATGACGCGGGCACTGCACAAGAGTACATAGTCTGCAACGAGGAAGACGTCGAGGTCGCGCCGTCGCACCTGTCTCCAGTCGAGGGCGCAGCGCTGCCGCTCGTGGGCCTGACGGGCTGGAGAGCGCTGGTGACCAAGACCGGAGAAAACGCGAGCCGTGGCCGCAACATCCTGATCACTGGGTACGTAATCTGCCATGCTTCACCCTCGCACTTCCCCAGCTGCTACGGCTCGCCAAAAGAGGGCATCGCCTTACTCATAGCGTGGACAGTATTGGCGGGGGCGTTGCTCTACAAGTGTTGCAGTTCGCCGTCGCGCTCGGGTGCAATGCATGGGTCACAAGTGGCGACAAGGCCAAAATCGACAAGGCCGTCAAGCTGGGCGCCAAGGGCGGTGTGTCGTATCGAGACAAGGACTGGGAGAAGCAGCTGCAGAAACTCCTGCCAAAGGAGAGGCCTTTCTTGGATGCCGTCATCGACGGGGCTGGCGGAGACATCGTTTTGAGGACGGCCAGGCTGCTCAAGCCGGGAGGTATCGTTTCTCAGTACGGGATGACCACCGGCCCGACCATGCCGTGGGTCATGCAAGCCGTCATGAAGAACATCGAGTTGAGAGGCAGCACGATGGGCTCGAGAGAGGAGTTCCGAGCCATGGTCGCGTTTGTCAGGGAACGGCCGCTCCTGAAACCAGTCATAAGCCGGGTGGCCAAAGGCTTGAAGAACCTGGACGGAATCGACGAGCTCTTTGCCGACATGAAGGACGGCAAGCAGTTTGGCAAGTTGGTTATCGACATCTCCTCGGGGGCCGCGCCGAGCTCCAAGTTGTAGGGCCCGGTCGTTGCGCTTGTCACAGATAGCCTCATGTACAGTACTGCCCTGCCGAGCAAGCATGCACTGTGAATCACACCACGGATCCGCATTGCTCGCAAATGAAGCCCGCGTAGTCGTGAAAACGTGTCCAGGCACATCAAATCGGTGAATATCGCTTGTTGCATTTGGTGATAATACATTTGGTCCAAGGTTCGACCGGGTATCGCGTGGGTGGCCGAGCAGCCGGCCAGTAGGTGAATTGAGAAGCTCAAGCAGATGCGTCCTTGTTCTTCTTCCTCTTCTTCGGTTTCGAACCAGCTTCCTCTGGGGGGACAAACTCCTGCTCGCGCTCCCGCTTCTTCTCCTCCTTCTTCTGCCTGGCCTTCTCCTCCCGCTCTGCCTTGGCAGCTCGCTCTTTTGCCTGCTTGCCCATGAAGTACGTGCCGTCCTCGATCTCGAGGTCCAGCTTGCTCTTTTCGGGCGCAGGAGGAAACGCCGTGTAGGTCTTCTTGCTCTTGTCGGTAACCACGTGTGGCTTTCTCCTCTTGCTCAGATTCCTCCTGAAGTTTGGCAGGAACCGGTCCCAGTTCTCGTTGGCCAGTGCTGGGTCCTTGGCCAGCTCCCGCTTGACCATGAGCTCCTTGATCAGGTAGATCGGGTGGATGTTGTGCATGCAGTCCTCGACGACCCTGCGGACTTCTTTCAAAGACTTGAACGGGCCCATCACGCTGACGGTGTTGCCGTGAACCAAGATGTATGTAGATGTGAGCAGTTCTAGCGCCTTCAATGTGGAACCGTTGGGGCCCAGGATTCGCTGGCGCCTTTTTGCAAACTTCTCCTTGTTTCCGACCAGATTCCGGATCTTGATGATGTCACATGCAACGCCATCCTCGAGGATTTTGATCGCCTGAGGGGCGGGGACGCTCCGGGCGAGCAGCTTTATGAGGTCTCGCGCGTTCAATATGGCGGCGGGATCAAATGTTTTTCGAGTGGTCTTGACAGTCATCATGCCTTCCACAAGATCCAATGTGCAGGCGATGCCATGCTTCTCAAGCGCTCGGGTGACAAGGGGCCACTGGCGGGTCTCTGGTCAGTCTCGGATCACTCAGGGCTGCTAGCGTCGAGGGCGATGGGACTGACTGCTTCCTTCAGATACACCTCGCGATACTTTGGGAAGAGCACTGTGAATGTTGACTCCTCTGCGAAAGTGCCGCCGGCATTGTCTTCCCGTTTGAAGGCGGGAATCTCCCACTTGTTGATGTCCTCCGTGTCCCACCTGGAGAAGAACGTTGGTCAGCGAATTTAAGCCTCATGCTTGGGATGAAAGTTGCGGGGACCCCGTACGGTTTGTCTTTCTCGTGCTTTGTTGACATGTTTGCTGGGAAGCCTCGGTGAGGACGTTGTGCGATTGTATTGTTGCGTCGGCGTGCAAGAGACACCCGACAATTGGAACTGCAGTTGACTGCCAAAATTATTTTGGCTATCTTTTTTTTCGGTCGCGGGTCGGCAGGCAAAAAAGCTCCAAGGCGGAGGGAGGTATCAAGGTATCTAGGTACTTAGGTACTTTGGGTATGTGGGTACAGTACTTGCATTCCGCCCCATGTTGCTGCCACAAACCACCACTCGGCTACCTTCCCGTCTCATCTCTTGAGCTCCCGGGCCACGGACCCCTTTAAGATGGCCCAGCATAGATGAACTTGGACGTCCGACAAGTCATACCGAGACAACTCGTGTATTGTGTCGGCATCTTCTTGTCGTTCAGTGCGTGGTTCGAATGTCCCAATTAAGCTCTTGCCTCCACTGCTTCCCGATATAGAAATCCTCATGGGGGAGTTGGTCGGCTGATCACTCTCCTTTCCGGTGTGGCCTTTGACGTATGTGAGAACGAGACATGCAGCCCAATCTCCCAAATTTGATAATTTGAGAAGGGCAGAGGCTGTGTATCCTGTGCAACTAGTCCTGGTTTGTGGCAAGGCCTTGTACAGTATCAGTCTCTCAGTCTCTCCGTCCAGCTGCCCTCAGCCACGACTCTGGTTGCTGGGCTCGCCGTCAAGGGATGGCCCAATAAAACGGCCACTCCGTTGCTGTCTGGCCTGCTCGCACCGCACAAGCAGCACCAAGCCCGCCCTCCTCGTAAACACACGGTACAGTGCGTGACGGCTGGGGTCAGCTTGGAGCTTGGAGCTCGAGCTCGAGCCAACACGACATTGCCCCCAAGGACTAGTAGAACGCAGAAATCAGGGGCTCGGTCTATTCTGGCCAGGGTCTGGAGCGGTTCTGTATCTGGCTGATTGTGAAATAATCTGTTGTGTACTGTACCGAGCATGTGTTGCTGGTTATTCCTCCTCGTCTGCTGCTATTTGAGCTCTTGCAACGCCTTCTCTATCTCCAATCTCCCATGCCTGGTATCGATACATACTTCTGAAACGTCCCTTTACTTGCAAGCCAACCACGTTAGCCCGTCGAGTTGTAATGTTTTGAACTATTGCTGGTGGCTGTCTATCTCTTGTTTAGTTACCCCTCCATCCTCCAGTCGCTCATTTGTCCTCCTCCTACTGCTCCTCCTCCTCCACACACCTCCTCCGCCCGTCTGTACCGACCCGGGCATCTTGGAGACTACTCGACAGTCTGCCACAGCACCCTCGAACCAAACCGAGAGCAGCAGTGCCCCGGCCCCGGCCCCGGCACCGACACCCCGAACCCGACGAGCCAACCTGTCTCTCCCCCGTGACCTCCCTGCCCGTCGCCAAGCTGGCTTCGACTCGCTCTCCGCTGCTTCTCCCTCTGCCCATCCCGCATCCTTGCTTGACACCTCCGCCCGATCACGACCACCTGTGCCATATCGGGCTGCCGCCCTTGACCTTCTCCCCCAGGGTCAAGATGGAAGAAGGGCAAGGCGGCCTGCCCCCGCCGCCAACCCTCGAACCGTTATCGCGACCGAGCTCGACCTCGACCACTGCCTCCCTTTCCCACCAGCAGCTCCCGGGCATCTCGTCGATTGCTGCAGCAGCAGCCGCCGCCGCCGCCGCCAGTTCGACGTCGAGTCCGCCGCAGCAGAGGTAGGTGAATAATCAGACTGCGAAATCTGTTTGTCCATGTGAATCACTTGTTGGTTGAGGCCTGCTGGCGCCAGCTTCGTCGAATGGGAACAGGCAGATGTGAACTCGCTTCGCTCTTGCACGCGAGCGCGCCTACGGCACCTTGTCCATCTAAGCTCGGTCTTCGCCCCCCTTCAGACCCGCACTCGGCCGAAGCGAACGCTGTCACCTCTGCCAAACCTCCATCAGCATTGACTCGATCCTCAGCTAACCCGTCTCCTCCACGACACAGAGCAGTGACGAGTACGCCGTCAACAATGTACTCGACACCCGCGACGGCGCCAGCTGCGACAAGTGCTGGCCCAGGTGGGAATCTGGTAAGTGACGTTTATCCTTCTTTTTCCCTTTTTGCACATATTCATATTCAATCACCCGCCCACGCAACCCATCACTTTTTCTTGTGCGACCAAGTAAAGCGTTGCATCCTCGCGCCACGCGTCACGCAAAACAGCCAAAAAGAGGCCATGCCGTTCAAGCCAAAAAATTCATCCCCTCCCCCCTTCCCAAAAAAAAAAAAGAGAGGTTGCAAGGGTGTAGACTGCCGGCGCTGATAGTAAGCGCATCTTCTGATTGGCCGAAGCATGTGAGCAATGGGCGTGGCTCGGGTGGGATCGCCCGCTAGTGAAGAAAAAAAACTGGGTTGTTGGCCTGTGGGCTGGCTCGCTCTCTCCCCCCCAAAACTTCTCCCTCCTTATCTCTGGCATCCGAGATCTTATCAACACGCCCATTCCCTTCGCCTTACCTGTATCTCACGATAGACCCCGATACGCTACGATATCATCCCGTCCCATCTCGCCGCGACTTTGTCTCTCTGCAGCGTGCTGCTGCATCCCTCCCAACCATGATGGCCTCCATGGCGGCTAACAATGACCAACAAACGTCGCAGCCCGTCTGCCAGAATTGTCAGACCTCCACCACTCCCCTCTGGCGTCGCGATGAGTCCGGCGCCGTCCTCTGCAATGCCTGCGGCCTGTTCCTCAAGCTGCACGGCCGGCCTAGGCCCATCTCCCTCAAGACAGACGTTATCAAGAGCCGCAACCGTGTCAAGACAATGCGCCCTGGCATGGATATGAAGAAGAAGGTAAGCCTTCCATGCGCAGGCCCATCTAACAACGCTTCTCGAGTCCGACGAGGCTAATGTTGCATTCCTTCCCTCCTGGCAGAACCAGGCTGTCGCCTCTGATTCCAACGTCGCTGATCTTCAGGCCCAGAACGCTGCTGCCGCTGCCCTCGGCGTCCGCCGCACCTCTCAGAAGGCGGGCAATGGCCACATCGACGATACCAACTCCCCGATCTCGCGAACCGCGACGCCCAACATGTACGCCGGCCACATGCTGTACCATGGCCTCGACGAGCACCACCTACAGCAGCCCTTGTCTGGTTTCGGGGTCCCAGGTGGAGGCAACGGTCGCGTTCCCTCACCCATGAACGGCGAGGGCGTGCCACAAACACCCGAAGAGCTCCTCGCCCTGAACTCAGGCCTGAAGACCCGTATCGACGAGCTGGAAGTCATCAACGACCTGATCCAGCGCCGCCTTCAACACTACGAGACCTACGGCGCAGGCGCAGGCCCAGCTGCCGGCAACGGCCTCGACGGTCACGATGTTTCCCAGGCCGAGGCCCAGCTGCGTGCCCAGGTCGACGCGCTCTCAGCATCGGAAGCCCAGCTTCGCTCCCAGCTTGACGAAAGCCACCGACGAGAGAACAGCATGAAGCGACGACTAGATGAGATGGAGCTGGAGCTGAAGGAGGCGAAGGAGTCGCTCGAGTTCCACGACAATGGCCGCGCAAAGAAGATGCGCATGACTGAGACCACCGATCCAGTCTCCGCCTTGAAGGATGATCTCCTGGCAGAGGCGCCTGCGGATGCCACGGCAGATATACCAACAGATCTTCCTGCAGATGTTGCGCAAGAAATTGCGCCCGAGCTTGCAACGGAGCCTGCGCCCGAGCCCGCCCCTGAGGCCGCCACCGAGCCTGCACCCGAGCCTCCGACGGAGGCTGCTATCGAAGGCGCAACTGAAGCTGTTCCCGAAGCTGTCAGTGATGCCCCTGTTCAGGCGGCCCAAGAGGCGCCGCCGGAAGCACAAACAGAAGCTGCCATGGAGGCCCCCATGGAGGCCCCCATGGAGACGACCACGGAGACGACCGCGGAAGTGCCTGCGTCGACAGGGGACCCCGCAGAGGCTCTGCAGGCCGCTTCATAACTGCTCAGGTTTGCTTTGCTGGTAGTTGCTCCACGCGATCTTGTGACGTCGATTGCAGAACGAGATCTGTACATCGAATCACGACTCACTTACTCCACTACTGCGCGCCACCTTGGCGGGTCGCGGCAGCACTCGTGCCAAGGTCGAGGCTGCTCACGACCACTGCTGTACCAGTGTCTTATGGTTTAGCCTCATACATGCAGCTTGATGGTTTTTGGCGTTGATAACGAGGGACGGACTGGGTAGACCGTAATTCTGAGGTGTCTTTACCCTGTGCCATTTTCTGGTAGCTTCTGAGTTCGAGGCGGGAGTCAGTGGTACGCCTGACATGACAGTGTATTGTGGAGTTGTAGGAGTATCTCATTATTCACAGCCTCCACTTAGATCATGGCAATGGAAACCAAAAGTTTATTTGAATTACCGCCGAGGTGCTCCTTAACTATCACCCGATGTCATATGCACATACCTGGTGACTGCAACAAGCACACTTTGAAGTACATGGACGGCGTCAGCAGCTTGAGAGTGTGTTCAACTTTAAGAACTATCATAAAATGCCTTCTACGTGGAGACTGCCTTACGTCGTTCCTGCCACGCTATACACGAGTGACCTCTCAAAAAGAGGTGAAACCAGTAAATATCACTTGTGCTGGTCGGTGACCGAGTGAACTACTGGGAACCGGGGCTTATAACGGTAATCACACTGCAAGATGTATGCTTATTACGGTGCACTTTCTATACCAAGGGGACTCTTCTGAAGCCACCAATAATCGCCTTGGTCCCCGGTGACGATGACCGAGCACGATCACGCCGTGAGCACCTTCGGGCCCCACAGGAAAACGGATGCACGCGCACTCACGCTGTGCACGCATGTCCCTTTTGTGCTGGCTCCTGTCTCCAACACGCCGCCTTCAAGAGCCAAACACACGTATCAATTAGACCACAAGTGGGCCGATTCCCGCTTGCGATCAAGCGGAGACGCTTGTGGGTCTCTGGGCAAACCACAATTCTTGCCTGCTACGCTGGCAGCCCTATCTAGAGGGGCCAAGCACTTCCCCTCCGGTCTCGCCGAACTGGGGGAAGGGGATTGTGGTGTATACTACCTGTACACAGTATATCCATTTCCCTTGTTTCGGGCCTCGGGCGGCCGTGGACGCGGACAGACTGGCAGTCCCGGACCGTGGGTGTCCGCTCGATCAATAGGAGACGGCCTTGGCCTGCGTCCCGGCTGAGGGTCTCCCTCGACGATCACACCCTCGATTTGGGCCCAGATTTGACTCGCCTCACCAGGGCGGCAGCACCCACGTGGTGCATGAGGGCGAGATAAGGACGTTGCCATTGTGCCGTGTCCTCACCGAGACGGTCGGCTCTTATCTATCGAGCCGCAAAAGGGGTGTTCCAACGCCTATCGCCTCATACTCATCATAGTTGCTCCCAAGACATGCCGGCCTGCCCTTGAGAGCACTCATCATGCCGGGCGTGGCCCCGGATAGCACCCGCATCCAGAACGGCATTCGACGGCATGGGGCCAACGGACCAGGCGAGCACGGTGCTGGGGGGTGGGCTCCGCATCTGGGACCAGTGGTTTGTCAAACTGATGCAGCACCCACCTGTCGGGATCGCTGGAGCTCGGTGGGCGGTGAGAAGAGGTCCGTACTTGTGGCCATCAATCAGTGAGGTCTAGCGTCAGGAATGCATCGGGATTCGGGGGGGTACGACCGACTTATTACCACAGTATCCAACGGCAATCAGCACCAGAGAGCTCTTGCTGTGCAGCCTGACTGCCTGGCTGCGTGCGCCCATGCTGCTGACAGCATCCTGCGTGCGTGCAGCCGGTCAGCACAAATACATGTATGCATTGGACTGTCCAAGTGGTGAATGGGACCGAGAGCTGGCCAGTGCGCACACAGCAGATAACCCCGGCCAGGGGAGTTCACCCCCGAGATTGAAAGGCGGCCCGTCATCTGAATAGATTAATCTGGCCCGTCGAGTCGAAATTAGGTTATGTGATGAGCGTCTTGACAGGGAGTGGCAGAAGCCACCTTCCCCTTAACTGAGACATTCTGTGGACCCTCCAACGATCGTTCTGGGGCGCCGACGTGGGCTGCGTGTGGGCTGCGTGGTGAACTTGGCAAGCCGGCCACCCTCTTGTGCACTTTCGCCAAACCTTGTACATATTGTCGCGAAGGAGGATGGCCCCGGATGGCCCCGGCCATCCCCAAGATTTCGGGCCAAGGGTGATAAAAACAAAACAAAACGGGCATGGCCTCGATCCCTTTTGGCCGCTGTGGATTCCACATTCCTGCGTGCCCCCAGGGTAGAATTCCACAGGTCACAAAGTGCGACATTGTATCGTGACTTGTCTCATACAGCATTGCTCATCCCTTCCTCCCGGCCCCTCGACCTCTTCACTCAACCCCGCCTCTTCCTTCACTCTTCTCGACCGTCCTCATCACTCTCACAGGCGTCCTCTGCAATGCTGCAGACCAGTCAATCCCAATCCAACATGTCTCAAACCCTTTCACAAAACGGCGCCGCCAGGATGAGATACCCAGAAATGTCTGCCAAGGACGACATCATCCAAGCCCTGATCGTGGCAGCTGCACAACAGTACGCCCCGAGCGCCTCGTCACCTTTAAACCCAACCTGCTGCGGTGACAAGGGGCTCAGGAGACAGAGCTGCCGTTCTACGAGACTCAGGCCCGTGAGAAGGAAGACCAGCGAGACCCCAACGGAACGGCTCCTGCGCCGCAAGGCTGCCATTGCTTATGAGCGTACGACGGCCTGCTCACTACCCCCACCAAAGGACGCGAGCAGCACGGTGATCTGTACCAAGATCTGCGATTCGTCAGCAAAGGGCTCCAGCTTGGCCATCACCACGGTGGAGACGACTCCGGAATCAAACACAGAGGCAGCCACCATGTTCCGGGTGGTCAAGGTCGGCGACGTTCGGCACGGCTGGCTTTCCGACGTGGAGAGGCAGGCGGCGAGTGACTTTTCCCTGCTCCAGCAGAACTCTTCCGCCCGGCACAGGCTGCAGATAGCCCTGATCCTGAGCCTCTTGAGCGTTTGCTCAACGTTCCTCACCATCGTCGGGCTTGATTCACTAAGAGGGCACTACCTTGCCCGTCAGATCTGACAATGCCGGTCGGGGGCGAGAATGGAGGGGAATTGAGAAGCGGAATTGGATTTGTGTGGAGATCGTCGCCCGAGACGAGGACTTGGGTGGGATTTCGACCCGGAGGTCCCAGCTCCATACGCACGGTGCCAGCCGGCTTGACCTCCCCGCCTGTCGCACGCTATCGTGACACCATCTCCGACTCATACTACATCATAATATTATCGGCCACCCTTAATCATTGCGACTTCGGGTCGTCCTTCTTCGAGGCGCTGCGCTCGGCATTCTGCTTCTCGATGGCAGTCTCCACCTGCCATATCGCTCGCTCAAGCTCGATCTCGAGCTGAGGCAGGTCCAAAGCCTGCGTCATTATCTTCCCGTTCGACTGGGACAGCAACATCGTTTCACCATCTTCCGGCTGGGCGTCCTTCGGCAGCGTTGGGTTTTTGTTTTTGGGTTCCCCTGGCGTGGTTGTGGTTTCAGGAGTTGACGGCAGCGGTGGCTCTTGCTCTGAGTAGACCTCATCGAGTTTGGGAGACGGGGTATGGATTAGGAGTTTGTTCTGAAGTAAGAACTGGATGTGTTTTCCGCCGGCCAGGGCGCGCCAATGTGACCAAGCACGGTACACGAGATAGAAGAAGGGGATGTTCGGGATACTGGCCGGGCCCCGGTCAGTATGGACTTCACACGCGACGATAGCACAGGCAATGCTAGCACGTACATTGGAACCAATGCAAACGGTGCACTGATCGGCATCCCGACGAAACACCAGAGCAGCCTCCGCCGATGCAAGGCTTCGCGCTCCGTGCTCAGAGCATTAAGGACCTCGGTAACCTTGTCGGCTGATACCAGCTTCCTGGGGTAGATGACCTCTACTTTGTCGTTGCCCCGCAGCTCGTCGTCCTTGCGCTTTGTCGACAGAGGCGGCACGGACTTCAATGCCCACTCCTCGTAGGGGATCCTCTTTAGTGCCTCATTCCCATAGCCGACCACTGTCTTCTGCCATCCTGACTTCTTCTGCTCCCAGCCGGCCCAGGTCTTGGCCGCCTTCTCTTGTATTCTCTCGAGGAGTGATTGCTTGGCTTGCTGCGATGCGGTCGCCGCATTCATACGGTGCGCGTACAGAAGCGTCCGACGCGTCGATATCGGGAGGAGGAAGATGCGCATTTTTGGCGGCGGGTGGCGTTCGGCGCTGTACCTGACGGGGGGATGACTTCCAAAAACTGTGAAGATTGGGTCGAGAAAGCTAATCGCTCATTCAAGATACCAGCCTGTGTGCACAGAGAAAGTGTTCCATCTTTAGGCGAGGAAGGGCATGGCTGCGGACGACTGGGCGTGTCAACAAAAGCGGGCTACAAAACCGGTGGCGGCGAGGGAGGGAGGGAGGCCTGCGAGAAGCTGTCGTCACAATGCAAGCCTGGATGTCCGAGTCTATCTGGATCTAGCTGGGCCCTGGCTGGCATTGTATTTTTTTCGGCAACAAGCTCCCTCCCTCCCCAATCCCGGCCGAGCAGTGACGCACGAGGTGGATGCTTAAATCGCCTCTGGTGGCCCGTGCCCGACGCAGGGTACCCAGATACCTACTTCATACCCCCGTACCTACGCAGGCCACGGCAGACACAACGGCAGCAGGGCAGTTGAGCTGCGGCCGCCCTGCAGCCACTCTGTAAGCCAGTGGAACCGCCGGGGCCCGCCAGGCGCAGGAGATCTGCATGTTTTACCGGGGCAGGCTGGTGCAACCTGAAGGCCGCCCCCTACACAGCTGACAGCACCCGAGTCCATCTTGCCATTTCGAGGTGGCCTGGCTTGCCTGGCTTGCCTGGTAGCGGCGCTATCGATGGCAACTATCGCGGGGTGCTTCTCTTACGTGTGGGCCCCCAGGCCCCCAGGGCCCGTCGCACTGTCGCACTGCTGATGAGGATTGGCCCTGTCCACTATTTCTGGGCAAACAAACCTTGAAATTGCATCCAGTCGCTCGCATGGCTTGATATCCGCTGCCAGCCCGGCTAGCCTCCCTCATTTCGCGGCGGAGGTCCTGGTCCTTCACGCCAATTCCACTTGCACTCGCTTGCTTCTGCTGCCCGCCAGCCGCTGCCTTTTCTTCTCTCCCCTTCCCTCTTCCCTTGTATTCTTCTTTCACCCACAGCAGTCAGCCTCGCCTGCAGCCGCGCTGGCCAACCGAGCAATGCGTTGGCAGGACTGTGCCGTGGTCCGCTGGATTTGACCAACCGACCGACCGTCCCGTCATCTCATTAGGGCCGCGCCTATTTTTGTCTGGCGCCAGTGAACCACCACCAGGTCGCGGCCATCCAAGCGACGACTCGTTTATTATTACCACGCTGTACGGGCCGCACCCGCCTGTCTGCTGAACCTGAAGAACACGTGTGATCGCATTTGCAGCCATTTCTTGCCTTCGACCTTGGTGCTGTGTTAATTCATAATTCTTTTCTGGCATCCCGAGCGATTGTTGATACCCTGATACCTCATTCCGACCGCGACGGCGCATGTCCCAGCCGCATAATCCCGGCCCTGTCTGGTGCGCCCAAGGGCAGACTAGTGTGCATTCAGCCCAAATATCTAGGTAGAGAGGAAGCAGACAGAAAGCAGAGACGGAGGAACAGAAGTACTGCGGCGACCGTCCGCCGACTACCTAACAGCCCAACATATAACGCAAAACCTCTCACTTCTCCGTGTTACACCCCTTGTGGGTCGGAAGCGCCATAACACCTTGACGACGCCCCTTTGTCCGACCCAACCTGTCTCTCCTTGCCCCCGTGTCCTCGGCTGGTCTTGGGACCTATTGTAATGGACAGCTTCCGCCCCGGGACCGGAAGCACTGCTGTTGAAGCCAATTGTGGCAGATTCCGAAGTCTACCTCGTGAGCCCTCTCAGAGACCCACCGCACCTCAACAACCCCCATGCACGTGGCTAATCCGGCGCAGCATGGATCGCTTCTTATGAGCAAAATGGCCCGCCGATACCAGAAACACAACAGACCAAACCAAGCAGACCACCGCAGACCGTACAAGCCGACCACAACAATGCGCCCGCACCACCGCAGCGGAGGGTCTCTAGGGACGGGTTCGTGGCATGGGACGAGGCCGAACCGACTATGCCCTTGAAGAAGAAACACCTCGCGATGAAAAGGAGAAGGCAGACCCAACGAGGAAAGAAGTGGGATCATCTGCGGAATGCCGAGCCTGTGATCATCCCGAACCACATGATGCGATATGCGGACTCGACCTCACCATGGACCGGCTTTGTCCAGGCCTCCAAATACGGCCGAGTTCCCGGTGAGAGGTCAGAGCACGTCGAACCGGAGAAGCTCGAGGAACTGATGCCCGGGTTCAACGACGTCCGTGTGCCACGCATAACCGACACCTTGGAACAGCAGCGCATACGGAGGAGCAGGAGGCAGGCACTGCACGAGCAGGTATGGCGGCTGCTTCTGAACAACCCGCTCGTGCCTGCTCTGCTGCGGCTGTTTGTCCTGGTGACATCAGCCATCTCACTGGCCTTTTCCGGCAACCTCTGGCTGCTGTACAGTGACAGGGCGGGAGGGCTTCAGTCAACTCTCCGCTCTCAGTGGATAGTGGCCATTGTGGTGGATTGTATTGTCATGCCATATGTGTGTTATATGACATGGGACGAGTACAGAGGCCTGCAACTGGGGCTGAGATCGCCCATGCAGAAGGTGTCGCTGACTTTGATGGACCTGTTCTTCATCATATTCAAGTCTGCAAGCACCACGCTGGCTTTTGACTCTCTGAACATCAACAATAGCCCGAGGGATCAGAATGTCAAGATGAAGGCTCTGGCTTCCTTCCTGCTTCTGGGCCTGTTCGGATGGATACTGAATTTCACAGTAAATGTGTTCAGGTTGGTCCGGAGGCTTGGGGGGGAAGACGACCGGAGACCACTCTCATAGTGTACAGTACTTCAAAATGCAACAAACAACTTTTCCATGCTTACCTACGCTGGCCACAGCTCAACCCCATGGCTTGGTTGCACAGGCCGAATAGTGACGAGACAATGCTCAAATCTCACACATACTCCGTCAGCACTCATCAATTGCCCACCGGTGCCTGTAAGCTGGCTGGACTTGACTGGCACAAAATCATGTTTGACTAATGAATCAAGACTGTCCAAAGTAAATTGGGGTTCAAATTATGCATCTCAACAGTGGACTTGTCGAAATAGTGGGTCTGCAAGCAGCCTGGTGCATAGTTGGCCAGCCATTCGCTCAGCTTTAGCTGGCTAGCTCATCTGTAGTCCACCCAGGTACCTACCTACCTACCTAGGTACCTAGGTAGGTAGATAAGTGCCTGCCTGCCTGCCTGCCAGCCCGCCTGGCCAGGCAGGCCCCGACCGACCCCTGGCCACCTTGGATCAAGTCACCAATGGATTCACACCCAACACCACCTTCCCTGCCCCATTGTAGTGTAGGCATCAAACCAACTGCCCTACCAACAAACTCGCCTCCCTCCTGCCTCCTGCCTTCCATCCCGTGACGAGGTCAACACCAACCACAACGACTAACCCTTCCCCGCTGCAGGTCGAGACCGCGTTTTTGCATTGTCTATCTTCTTCATGCGCGTCTGATTTCCGGTCTCTTTATTTCTTTCTCGAGGTCTGCTTCGGAGGGGCGCATTTCCAGGCCCCAAAGGCACGAGGGCGTTGCCATTTCACTGCCGCTGAACCCCCCATCCTACTTAACCTCACGTCACCTACTTCATTCTCCCAACCCAACCCCGCGACTCGAGGCATCGGCATCTCGCCTAGGACACCATTAAAAACGCTACTCTACACATCGGCCTTTTGACTTGTCTGCTAGTCCTCGTTAGCCTGACACAACAGACAAATTCCTCAGAACCATCTTTCCCCGCCCTCTTCTGAGATCCTACCACAAACCCCATACCCTACACCACGCACGCCCTTGACGAAACATCACCACCTTCCACCATGCCGCCTAGTGGCTCTACCACGACCACGATGCGGTCCCCTGCTGGCATGCCCAAGGGGCCAGACCGTGATTCGATCCAGGACACCTGGAGCTACCTGGCGTCGGGCATCACGAAGATTATGACTGATCTTCAGAATGGCATGACCATGGACGATGTAAGCGCCTCCCACCTGTTGCTCCCCCCAGCCAAGATTGCTTGTCTGCCGGAGAAGTTGTACAGCTAACACGTCTGCACACAATCGTAGTACATGGGTATTTACACTGCCGTTCACAACTTCTGCACGTCACAGAAGGCCCACCCGATGACCAACTCAGCATCCTCATCGTCCAACCTGGGATCGAACCACAGGGGCGCACATCTCCTAGGCGAGGACCTGTACAAGAAGTTGATGGACTATCTCGACCAACACCTCAGGGACCTGTTGGAGAAGGCCCTGCAGCACACAGACGAAGCACTACTCACATACTATATCAAGGAGTGGGAGCGCTTCACCAACGCTGGAAAATACGTCCACCACCTGTTCCGATACCTGAACAGGCACTGGGTGAAGAGGGAGATGGATGAGGGCAAGAAGAATATCTTTGACGTGTATACTCTGCATCTCGTGCAATGGCGTGGTGTCCTCTTCGAGAAGATCGACGAAAAGGTCATGGATGCGGTCCTGAAACTGGTCGAGAAGCAACGAAACGGGGAGACCATCGAGCATAGCCAGATCAAGCAGGTTGTTGACTCATTCGTAGCCCTCGGCTTGGATCCGTCTGACCCCAGCAAGACGACACTCGACTGCTACCGATACCACTTTGAGCGACCGTTCCTCGACTCGACTAGAGCCTTCTACCAGAGGGAGAGCAAGCAGTTCCTTGCTGAGAACAGCGTGGTGGAGTACATGAAGAAGGCGGTGGCTCGGCTGGATGAGGAAGAGGAGCGTGTCAAGCTCTATCTTCATCCAGACATAGCGGTGTCGCTCAAGATGGCATGTAATGATGCCCTGATCAAAGACCACGCCAACCTCCTCAGAGACGAGTTCCAGATTCTGCTCGAGAACGACCGCGAGGATGACATGGCAAGGATGTACGATCTGCTTGCGAGGATTCAAAACGGCCTAGACCCCCTTCGTGCCAAATTCGAGGCTCATGTCCGAGGCGCTGGTCTCGCTGCCGTGACCAAGGTCGCACAAGATGCCGACAAGCTCGAGCCCAAGGTCTACGTCGATGCCCTTCTGGAGATTCACGCCCAATATCAAGGACTGGTGAAGCGGGCATTTAGGGACGAGCCGGAGTTCACGAGATCACTCGACAATGCCTGCCGGGAGTTTGTCAACCGCAATGACATGTGCAAGTCGGGATCCAACAAGTCGCCTGAGCTTCTCGCCAAGTACACAGACGTGTTGCTTCGCAAGAGCGGCACTGGTGTCGAGGAGTCGCAGCTGGAGGAGACCCTGGGCCAGATTATGACCGTCTTTAAGTACATCGAGGACAAGGACGTATTCCAGAAATTCTACTCGCGGATGCTTGCTCGGCGACTTGTGCACAGCAACTCATCCTCGGACGATGCGGAAACCAGCATGATCAGCAAGCTCAAGGAAGCATGCGGCTTCGAGTACACCAACAAGCTGCAGCGAATGTTCCAGGACATGCAGATCTCAAAGGACCTCAACGCTGGCTTCAAGGAGCACACAAGCGGCCTCGAGGATTCTTCGTTGCTAGACTCATATTACAACATCCTTGGTACCGGTTTCTGGCCTCTGACTCCTCCGTCGACGACCTACAATCCTCCGGCCGAAATCGCCGGGGACATCGAGAGGTTTACGAGGTTTTACAAGCACAAGCACGAGGGCCGGAAACTGACGTGGCTCTGGCAGCTGTGTAAGGGCGAGCTGAAGGCGAACTACTGCAAGAACAGCAAGACCCCGTACACCTACCAAGTCTCCTTGTACCAGATGGCGGTTTTGTTACTCTTCAATGACAATGATCAGAACACGTACGAGGAAATCGCCGAGGCGACGCAGATGAACGCCGAGAGTCTGGATCCCGCCCTCGGGATCCTTCTGAAGGCCAAGATCCTCACCATGTCGCCCGAAGATGGGAAGCCTGCCAAGGGAAAGACATTCCACCTAAACTACGGCTTCAAGAGCAAGAAGATCCGGGTGAACCTCAACATCGGAACCAAGACGGAGTCCAAGCAGGAAGAGGTTGAAACGAACAAGACCATCGAGGAGGATCGGAAGCTCCTGCTTCAGGTAAGCTCTTGTGCCAGCGTGCCGTGTTTTCTTACATGCGCTAATCTTCCGCGTAGTCTGCGATTGTCCGCATCATGAAGGCCCGCAAGAAGATGAAGCACCAGCAACTGGTCAGCGAGACTATCAACCAGATCCGCACCCGATTCGTTCCAAAGGTGGCAGATATCAAGAAGTGCATTGAAATCCTGCTGGACAAGGAGTACCTAGAGCGTCTTGAGGATGATGAGCTTGGCTACCTCGCATAGACAGCCCAGCAGTACAGCATTGATTCGTCCACCCGCATTTCGGATTCTGATTGCGGCTCAGCACATGCGGGGCGTTGTCCGTCGTACTTTGGGGGCCGAAGGTCACTTTGGACTTGGTCAATCTGGGGGGAGTTTAGATCGTTTCGCATTGGCTGTCCTTTGACGTGTCCAGTTCGCTGGGAGGGTCGGCACCGACCTGAATACGATGCTAGTTTTATGCCGACAAGAGGCTTGCCTTGTCAGGCGAGCCCGGTTGGTGTGGCGTTTGATGATGAGGCAGGAGGGTTACGAACATAGCCGGCTTGTTGCGCTGCGCAGCGGGCCTACGAGGATAGAATGACCCAGGAGCCTGTTGGGTGGAATCAAAAAAATTATATGAATAGATCTGCCACGGGCATTGTAATTACGTGAGTGCCTTATGGGCGGGCCCACGCAGTCGCCTTTCAACATGGCCCACGTCCTCTGACCTTATGATCTTGTGTTCTAGTGGGCCAAGCAAATTGTGGATAGACAGAGGCGCCGAAGAGTGGTTGGAGAGGGACCAGCATCGCAGCAGATGCAAGAATGTTTGTTCGGCCGCAGAGAAGTAGGTCAAAACAGCCAACTTCACAACCTAACACTGCTGGGGCGAAGGCGGCAACCTGGTTTTGTATTCGCAACCTGCCCAATACTGCTGCCCAGCAAGGTGATTCTCGCCACACGATCCTAGAGCGTTGGGGGAGCCAACATGAGGACGAACCCGCGCCGCGCAACGCGGTGTAGAACCCCTCCCCCTCCCCCCGGGTCGACCGCGACGATGAGTGCTTGCGTGGGGCCGGTAACACCGAGGGCTCTCGCTTTCCAAGTTTCTCTCGAGGTTTCCCCGTTTAAAAACCATGATGATCAGCGAAACAAGCAGCCAGACACTCGCTCACTCACACCTACCTTTTGGACCCGGCCCGGCCACAGCGTCAACCAAGGTAGCAAAACTCTAAACAAGGGCCTTGCTACGGCGAGCGTGGTTGGCCGGAAGTGGTGGAAACGGGGCCCGCCCACCGACCGCCCAATCCCGTTGCTCCCCCCAGGCATTGCGAGGACGCAGCGGCCTAGACCGCCCAGGGTGGAATCGCCACGATTGAGTGATTGATATATGGTTGTGAGACGGCTAGCAGGCGGTAAGGTTTCCCATGACTCGCAGCCGTAAAGTATATATCACTATGCGTTACCGGGGGCGAAAAGAGTCCCAGCGACAGAGCCCAGCAGGCCAGGCCAGCTCGAGACGACTGTTGATTCGGTCGGAAAGGGCTGGCCGGCTGTGCCATCCGAAGCATGCCCGCCGGTAGAGAAAGCGGCGAGAGGCTTGCTTTGTGTGGGTGGGCATGTGTTCATGTGCTTGTCTGTGGTTGTGGTCGACTGCGCGCCGCTAGCTACTTGATGTGGGCAGCCCAGCAGCAGATCGACACGGTAGTCTACCACAGTAGTGTGCTGTCCGGCGAGGAATTGCCAGGCTGTCTGGGGCGTCGGGCAGCCTGGCAGCCTGGCAGTGTGATTGTGGGGGCTAGCACCGGCATTGCGACTGAGTAGTCCAGACTAAGTTGTTTTGTTATTTTGTGAAATATGGAACAGCATAGGCCATGCCACAGATCTCATTCGGGGGTTTCGGGTGGGCCTGCTGCGTATTGCTGCGATTTCAGCCTCGTTTGGGACAGGGCTATTTTCGGGAGGGCGGCTGAGGTCGGACTGGGCTGTGGTGGAGAGCTCCCAGCCTGTGGCCCCCTTGGGCGCCTCGTCTGGCAGTCTGGGTGCTTCAAGCCTGCCCCCTTGTCGGGATGAAGCACCGGGTGGGCCAGGGCCAGCGCTGTGTCTGGCATCAAACACGTGGCTCGGAGAGCGATCCCTTTTCTCCTTCATCGTTCCCGTCCCCGGCTTCTGGCAGCTGTGTACCGAGTACGTACTCTTGGTACTCTGCGGGCTGCTGGCTGCTGGCTGCTGCTCGACGGGGCAGGGATTTCAGATATATGACTGCCCACGGGCCCGAAACGCAAAGAGGATCCGGTGGAAGCTACCCGGAGCTTGCACGAAGCCGCGCACGAAGCCGCTGTGGCACGCCGCACGCATGGGCCTGCGCGTCGGGACTGTTGGGGCGTGCTGGCTGGCTGTGTCTTGGCGGCAACGAGCGCCGCGCATGACGAATTCGCCGTGGCCTGGTATTACCTGGGGGGGCATCACGTATACAAGCGGTCGGCACGAGCTGTCAAGCTAGCTGTATTACAAGCTGGTCCTGCTCAGGGCATGCCGGCATGGTATCGACCGGGTACCCGAGCTGGGATGTGTGCTGGTGACGGTCGGCAGCCAGGGCTCAGTTCGGCCGAGAAGGCAAACCCTTTTTGGGAGATGGTTGCCGGCCCAGTCAGGAAGCCAGGGAGTCAGGGAGTCAGGGACTCAAGGGACTCCTCAGTGTCGTCTCGAGTCAAACGAACGGGTGGCTGCGATGGGGGTGGCTGACAGAGCAGCCAGCACCCAGCTTGCCCAGGTCGGCATGTCGGCAGGTCGGCAGGTCGGCAGGCTGACGGAACAAGGCTGACACGCAGTGGCGTAGGGATCATAGATTGGCAGATTGGGTGCTGTGTATGTAGACAGGTAGAATAGCAGAATGCTCAGACGAACCCCGTCTTGTCAGCATGCCCAGGTGCCGCATGGGCTCGGGCAATTAATAATTGGGCTCCGTCACAGGCGGAGACGAGGACGCTGCCGCCATGCCGCCACCTCGCACGAGTGGGCAGTGGGCAGTGGGCGGTCGACAGTGGACAGTCGAAGTGGACAGTGGACGGCAGTCGAAGTCAAAAGTAAAAGCAACCTTGAAAGGCCAAAAGCCAAAACCAGGATGAGAGCCGACGAGAGGGCACACCCCGGGAAATTGCTCTGGCCTGCCGTGTGGGCGGGCGGGCGTGTGGGCGGCAGGGCGGTGGGCAGTCAGGGCAGTGGACAGTGGACTGCCCGCTGCTATCAGCCTCATCAACCAGCTCTGGAATGCATCGCCGCCCACACGGGTATCTTGCCGGGCCTCCTGGGTGACGACGGACGGCCCTAGCAGGCAGGGAGGCAGGCAGGCAGGCAGCATGGCAGGCAGGGTGGCAGGGTGATATGGTATGGAATGGAATGATGGCAATCGTCAAACCAGAGCCCAGAGCCCAGCAGCCCAGCAGCCCAGCAGCCCAGCACCCGGGCTGACTGGGGGGCAGGGGGTTATCGTCTAGCCTCGGTGAGCACCTGGGCACGGGTGCTTCTTGCTCCTCGTGCGGCAGAACGGTGGGACTGGGAGTCGGTGCACGGCCTACAGTGTGCTGCGTGCGCACCCGAAGCTGCGAGCTGCAGAGCTGCAGAGCTGCGAGCTGTGGCCCAGGTGGGCAGGGTGGGGCCCTCGCCATCTGGGGTCCAGAGGACAAAAACGGGGCCTTGGATTGAGATTCGCCGCTACGCCCTGGGTAGACCCAGCGGCCGGGCTGAGCGGTCGGCCCTGGGGGGGGGGGGCGCTCCAGCTCGCTGCATTTGCCGGCCAGGGCGGACACTTACAGTCGAGCACTCGCAGCAGACCCAGCAGACCCAGCAGACAAGAGCAGTCTGACCTCGACCAGGGCGTCCCGCTTTTCTGACCGCTACCTGCAGCTTGGCAGCAGTGCTCCGTTCCCGTATGGTACCTGCCTACCGTCCAGGGCCGTCTTGACTTTGGGCTGGGGTGCTATCACCACCGCCATCAAACCGCCCATCGCCCATCTTGCGCTTTGCCCTTCTCTGCCTGCCTTCCTTTTCTCCCACGCCCGCCCTATTCCTCACTTGTCCTGCCTGTCGATTGTGGGTGCGCCGTCTCTCCCTCGCGCTCGAGCCTTGCCCTGCTGCTTGCCTCTTCGCGGCGTGTCTGTAGCAGACAAACAAGTGAGACTCTCTTGCCGCCAAGCCCGTTCTGTCTGTGTCGCAGCTCGCTCCTGTTAATGGCTGCACCTGCACCTGCGCCTGGCTAGGTAGATATCAGGAGGTACCTGCCCAGTACTTGTTCCCGACGCTGCAGTGCCATATCTTGCGGTTGTCGGAGGCTCGTACTCGGTTTTCGTCATTTCACCACCGAGAGGGACCTCATCTCAACACTGAGAGTTCCCGCAGCTCGAGCAGGGAAGCAAGCACCACCACCGCGCAGCACCTCGCAGCACCTCGCCAGGCTCCCGGCTCCCGTCCTCGTGCTGGGCTCGATTGCCTCCCTCCAGATTGGCACCCTGCCCTGCCTGGGTGGTCTAGCTTGGTATCTGCACTCACTCACCACTCACCTTCACCCACACACTCTCCCTCACTCTCACACACACACAACCACTCTCCCCCGAGGTCACCACCGCCCAACCACTCCCGCCGCCGCCGCCGTTGTCAGCCAGTCCTTCCGTCGGCTCCTCGACTCGCCTCCTTCGACCTGGGCTGAATTTGTCGCTCTTGAACCCCCATCATCGACTCGACCTGGCCCGACTCGATCCTGCAACACCACCACGTGTGGTTTCATGACCCTCTACGGCCCGTCTCTCTCCCCCAGGCCCATCTGACGTCGGTCTGTCGTTCACTTCTGTCTCGGCCGCCGCAGGGACATGCCGTCGCATCGCCAATCTCTACCAGCACGCCACACGTTCGCCAGTACATAGCTACATAGTAGCTAGACTGCGCGGATCTGACGCCTCGTCAAAATCGCAGTCCACCATCTGTCTTCTCACGAACCCAGACACCTGGGGCCCCCCAACTCATCTTACCTGCCAACCCTGCAGCCGATTGCGAATCTCTGCTACCGTCTGGTCTAGCAGGCGTCGTGCTCCCTGTTGTTTTGTTGCCGAGGAGCCATCCCGCCATCCTTTTGCTGCACCGCTCTATCTCTACCTTTCGTGGTCTATCTATCTCTCGCTCGCCCGCTCGCCCGCCTTACGGGCCCTAATTGCTCAATTCCCGACAACTTCGACTTTCTTTGATCCCGAATCCCTCTTGGATCTCGCAACGCTGGCTCGTTAGGCCGCAGTCAGTGCAGGCGCGATTAACCAGACGAGAGCCAAACTCAGTCCGGCCTCTGCGGCTAAACCCGTTGTCAAGCTCCCTTCCACCTACCACCCCCGCAACGGCAAGCCCAAGCCCTCAAACCTTACTTACTCTGCTACGACAACTTTGGCCTTTTTAACTCAGCCCTTGGCTCCGGCGCATATGTTCCCAGTTTTGTGAAGCGACCTGCAATTGCATCAAATTCGCTCGCTCATTCACGCCAGCCATCGGCGCTCATCAATTGCCTTTGTCGCCCGGTCTGAATACTCGCGCCGAGGTACGTCGGTTGCGTGGACCTCGCGAACGGACCGCTCTGCCCTACGCTGGCCCGTTCTCGCCCTCGCATCCCACCAAGCTGGCCGCCATCGATACAGTGCCTCTTTCCAGCTCCGAGTCTCATGGGCGCCTACCTGAACTGGTAACCGAAATCCTCGACTCCAGTTCGCGGGCCCGTGTACCATCCTCGCAGCCGTCCCGTCTTTTGTGAACCCTGAACGCGGCTCCGTGGGAGGGCACCAACACCCCACAAGATGGGTGCCTGCATGAGCGCGAACAGTGAGGAGACGGAGCAAAAGAAGCGGAGCCAGAAGATCGACAAGGACTTGGAGGAAGACTCGAAACGTCTGCGGCGAGAATGCAAGATATTGTTGTTGGGTACGGAAAGGCCCATATCCCAGACAGGGCGTGACTTGAAATGGCGATTAGACTGACATGGCTAACGCAGGATCCGGTGAGAGCGGCAAGTCCACGATTGTGAAGCAAATGAAAATCATCCATCTCAAGGGCTACTCGGACGATGAGCTCTACAACTACAGGCCAACAGTTTTCAAAAATCTGATAGAATGTGCGAAGGCCGTCATCAACGCCATGCGCCAGTTCGACATCGAGCCGGCCAACGAGGAGAATAGGGCATATTGCGACTACATACTAGAATACAGCGTCGAGGCCGGCCCCCAGGCGATCATGGACTCAAGGGTTGGAGATGCAGTGTTCGCAATATGGAACGATCCAGCAAGGGAACAATTGATGGATCGGCAAACCGAGTTCTACTTGATGGACTCGGCCGAATAGTGCGTGCTCAAGGATCCCTACCCGCCCGCTCACCACGCCTCCCCCCCCCAAGAGAAACCCTCCTCCCAGCCTCCCCGACTCTCTCTTTTACCACAGTTTTATAGGCCCGAGGTGCGAGATATTAACCGCGATGTTCTATAGTTTCTTCGAGCAGGCCCAGCGGATAGTCAGGCCGGACTACCTGCCGAACGAGATGGACGTACTTCGGGCGAGGACGAAAACCACCGGCATATACGAAACTCGATTCCAGATGGGCCAATTGAGCATCCAGTAAGATAGCCCAACTGACTGCCGTTCCGGGGCTTGTTTGATCAAGTCGAAGCTGACTCGCAGCAGCATGTTCGACGTAGGTGGACAACGCAGCGAACGCAAGAAGTGGATCCACTGTTTTGAGAATGTTACGTCAATTATCTTTTGTGTCGCTCTCAGCGAGTACGATCAAGTGTTGCTGGAAGAGAGCAGTCAGGTAGGCCTAAATTGCTGAACCCCTCGGACTTCCCGCCTGCTAACGTCAGCAGAACCGTATGATGGAGAGTTTACTCCTGTTTGATTCGGTGGTTAACTCGAGATGGTTCATGAGAACAAGTATAATATTGTTCCTCAACAAAGTCGACATTTTCAAGCAGAAGCTGGGCAGGTCGCCACTTGGCAACTACTTCCCAGACTATTCTGGCGGCAACGACGTCAACAAGGCGGCAAAATACCTTTTGTGGAGATTCAATCAAGTCAACAGGGCGCATCTGAATCTTTATCCGCAGTAAGTCTTGCAACCTAGCCGAGTCTGTTGCCCCGTGGTACGCATACTGATCCTCGTCACCCAGCCTTACACAAGCAACAGACACGTCAAACATCCGACTAGTCTTTGCCGCCGTGAAAGAGACCATCCTCAACAACGCGCTGAAGGATTCAGGTATTCTATAATATCTCACCGAGACTTTGCCTTCTTTTTCTCTTGTCCGGCTTCGGCTTTTCATCACGTCGACGAGCGGTCTTTACCATTTCAATGCATCAGTTCGGCGTTCAGGACGACAGTGTGTTCGCGGCCCGGCGTTGCGGAGGGGATCGGGCCCAAACTCTAGCACTGCCGTAATTGCTCTTTGTTGGAAATCTAGGCGCGGCCGGTGGTCTTTTTTTGTGGAAAACGGCGGGAGGACGGCAGTCCATGACTGCTATCACACAACGGTACTCGGTGGCCTGACAATCCTGACCCTCCAGCAGGAGGAGGGCAGGACGGTTGTTTTATTCTGGCAAGGAGTTGGGGCGGGTCATGAAGGGAACGAGACGAACAATCTGGTTCATGATACCTGGTTACGGGCCGGAGGCGGATTGTACATGTATTCGGCAAGACGCGGAGCAGCCCCAGCACGTCAACAAAATAGTGGGATTATTAGTTTAATTCAAGAAGACGATTGGAAGGTCTGGCTGGGTCTTGGGTGCAGGGCCTGGTTGTTGGGCCGCCTGGCTAGCTGGCGAGCACGATGGGGGAGGAAATCAGGCCATGTTGGTTGCTGTGTCTCCACCAAGCATAGTGTACAGTCCTTAGAGCGCGAACAGGCAGTCTCGTTTTGACAAACCACCGTCCCCTATCGTCCCCTATCGTCCACTATCGTCCACTATCGGGGGTGCTCGCGTGTCGAGAAACTCGGAAAGTGGATCACGCTGGGGAACTGACAGCGACCCGCCTGGCCCGCCCCCGACCACCCACGCAACAACCCGTGGGGCTTTGTGGAAACCTGGGACATGGTAAAGTTCACAACGGCCGAGACAATGGCCGAAAAGATCAGGCATGTTGCTGCCATTGTGTTGCCCCCCAATTCGCCCACCCGCCCCCGTCAGCCTGTCAGCCCAGCGACGAGGGCACACAGATCACGATGAAGCAGGCCCTTGAGAAACGTTGGTGCATTATTTGTTATCAGACGGCAGACGGGCTGGGCCCGCGAAGGTGGGGTACTGCAGCTACGTGTAGCACGCAACATGTGCAATTACGTCTCAACGTTCGGGGGGGGCACCCAATGCCTGCCTCATAACCCACCTGGGTAGCACCAAGAGAGAGAGCCCAACCGTCCAACTGTTTCGAGTTGCTTTTTTGTCTTGGCTGTCGAACGAAAGAAGACCAGTACAACGCCTTCCAACAGCCCTCCCCGATGAATGGGGAGGTAGAGAAGAGAGAAGAGAACGGGAGAGAGGGGCATGTGGTGGAGGGGCAGTGAGGGGGACAAAGCTGCGGCCGGGGAGTCGTACGAGAATCGCTGAAGGAGTTGCAGCTCTAGCCTCTGGCATTCCCCACCTCCCAGCGCCATCGAGCACGCATCGAGGACGAGCAAGCCGATACGGGAGCCAACTCGATTCTGGGCAGCCGCAGGAAAGCCAACCCCCCTTGCGACATGCGACATACGACATGCGACGTGCGACATGCAACACTCTGCCGTCGGCGGTGTGAACTCAACGAAGGCTATGGGTGACGCCGTTTGTTGGCAGGCGGCCGAGCACCCCCCACCACCACCTCACCCCGCATTTACATGGCCTCGCAAGCCTGGATGGCGTGGTGAGAGGGCAGCAAGGAGAGCTAGCAGTACCTTGGGACAAGGTACAGGCCCGGATGCCAAGGGTGAGAGCTCCTGCACTAGGTATCCGTACTTGCGAGCAATCCTGCGCTTCCCGTCCTGCCCCATGCGCATGCCTGCACCTGCAACCTGCATCTCTATTCTTGGTGCCCCGTCTTGCAGGGGGGCCGGCAGCTTGGTTGCGGGTGTGGGTGTGGGTGTGTGAGAGAAGGTACCACCGGCGCGGTCATGATCAGTCAAGTCATGCTCAGTGTTGGGAGGATGCAGGCGTGGTCTAGCAAGCTGGCCGTGCAGAAGCGAGCTCCATCCCCCACGGCTTGTATAAAAGCTACCCCGGAGTCGCTCGTTTTTGTCTTATGGCCTACTCTTCTGGACTCCCCCTTCTCTTTTATTCTCCTCCCCTTCCCGACCTTCATCTGAACGAGGACTGTCTTGAACTGGGCTGGATTGGTCTGTTGTCATCGCCTTCTGCCTGATCGCTCCCGCAAACAACAATTCCGTCTTCCTCACGCCGGCAGCGTTAGCAACACCAATTGGCTCTCACGCTCCTTGGGACTCCTAGGTAGGCAGGCTGACTCCCCATGCAAGTTTCCACGGGGGCCTTTTACACCTTGTTGTGCGTCCGCTGCCGGTCTGTTGTTTTCAGAAGTCCTGAGGTTCAACCAGAGGCCAGGGGAGAGCTCCGGGCGCCGTGTGGTGCAGCGTTGGACGCCCAAGCTCTGTCAGAGGGGGCGCATCATTGGTCTCACCACTCTCCCAACCGCTCACACCAGCTCCTCTGAAGCTTCATTTACCCCACCATGGCTGCAGGCCACCGCTAGCGGCTCCTGCGGGGGTGTCTGAGCTTACACGCAAGCAAGCCTGCAGCTGTTCTGTCCTGGGCTGGCCATTCGAACTCTTGTGCTTTTTCTATTGTTTCTTCGAATTTCTTCTTTCTTGGGCCAATTACAGATTCCAATTGCTGACAGGACGACTATACTCAAGATTTGCCCTTGCCGCCTACCCAATGGCTTCGACCGAACCACAGAGGATCCCGACCAGGGAGCGCCGCCCTTCCACAAGCGCCCCCATCGTCGACATACAAGGCTCTGTGAGCCCGGCCGGTATCTCGAGGCCGAAGCACAAGCGAACCTTTACTGGTTTTGGAGCCGGCGATATCAAAACCGTCGAAGGTGGGGATGCTCTGACCCTTGCACCGTTACTACACCAGAACAGTGGGGCCTTTTCCCGGAGCCGGGGTTGGAGGACGGCGCCTGGACAAGCGGCCCCGTTGATAAATGGTGCGAGGTGACCTGCAGTTGCATATGCTGACCACCTCTGACGCGCAGCTTCCATTCCTGAACCCCAGCGGGAGGCTTGGAACAAGCACAGGACCAATGGCTTCAAGGACAAGGATGGCTTCGAGAACGAAGTCGTCCGCCACGTCGAGACGACCCTGGCGCGCAGCGTCTACAACTGCGACGAGCAGGCCGCATACGCCGCCACCGGCTTGGCCTTCCGGGACCGCCTCATCCTCGAGTGGAACAAGACCCAGCAGCGCCAGACCTTTGCCGACAGCAAGCGCGTCTATTACCTCAGTCTGGAGTTCCTGATGGGCCGCACCCTCGACAACGCCATGCTCAACATCGGCCAGAAGGACGTCGCCAAGAGCGGCCTCGCAGAGCTGGGCTTCCGCATCGAGGACATCATCGAGCAGGAGCACGACGCCGCCCTGGGCAACGGTGGCCTGGGCCGCCTTGCGGCTTGTTTCCTGGACAGTCTGGCCAGTCTCGACTATCCCGCTTGGGGGTATGGCCTGCGATACCGCTATGGTATATTCAAGCAGGAGATTATTGATGGTTACCAAGTCGAAGTTCCAGATTATTGGCTGGATTCGAACCCATGGGAGTTCCCTCGTCACGATGTGACCGTGGATGTAGGTTCATGCCAATTTCTCCGCTTTTACCATCTCGTATCCGTTGGTAATATACTAATTCGAGCTTAGATACAATTTTACGGCCACGTGTCAAAATCTCAGAATTCTGCTGGCAAGACTGTTGCTACCTGGGAGGGCGGAGACGTTGTGACAGCTATAGCCTACGACGTGCCCATTCCCGGTTACGCCACCAAGTCCACCAATAACCTCAGACTATGGTCGAGCAAGGCCGCCAGTGGAGAGTTTGACTTCCAGAAGTTCAACTCTGGCGAGTACGAGAGCTCTGTTGCTGACCAGCAACGTGCCGAGACCATCAGCGCCGTGCTGTACCCCAATGACAACCTTGACAGGGGCAAGGAGCTCCGTCTCAAGCAACAGTACTTCTGGGTTGCTGCGTCACTTTACGACATCGTCCGCCGCTTCAAGAAGTCCAAGCGTCCTTGGAGCGAATTCCCGGACCAGGTCGCTATCCAACTCAATGACACCCACCCGACCCTGGCTATCGTGGAGCTGCAGCGCATCCTGGTTGACAAGGAGGGACTCGAATGGGACGAAGCCTGGAACATCGTTACGCAAACATTCGGATACACAAACCACACTGTCCTCCCAGAAGCTCTGGAGAAATGGTCTGTGCCGTTGTTCCAGCATCTCCTACCGCGCCACCTGCAGATTATTTACGACATCAACCTTGGTTTCCTTCAAAGCGTAGAGCGTGCCCACCCCGGCGATCGCGACCTCCTCAGCCGGGTCTCTATCATTGAGGAGTCTCAGCCAAAGATGGTGCGCATGGCATACTTGGCCATCATCGGATCCCACAAGGTTAACGGTGTGGCGGAACTGCACTCCGACCTCATCAAGACGACCATCTTCAAGGATTTCGTGGAGATATACGGTCCAGACAAGTTCACAAACGTCACGAACGGCATAACCCCTCGACGATGGCTCCACCAAGCTAACCCCCGTCTTTCCGAGCTTATCGCCAGCAAGACCGGAAGCTATAACTTCCTGAAGGACCTGACGGAGCTTAACAAGATCGAGCTTTCCGTAAAAGACAAGGACTTTAGGAAGGAGTGGCAAGAGGTTAGTCCGACCACAATTCCCGGCCATTATCTGGAGGCTAAATCAAGTAACTAACACGATGTCAACTCATTAGATCAAGTACGCCAACAAGGTCAGGCTTGCTAAGCACATCAAGGCCAGCACTGGCGTGACTGTCAACCCTGCTGCCCTCTTTGACGTGCAGGTCAAGCGTATTCACGAGTACAAGCGACAGCAGCTGAACATCTTTGGAACGATCCACCGCTACTTGACTCTCAAGGCTATGTCGCCGGAGGAGAGGAAGAAGGTGCAACCCCGGGTGACAATCTTCGGTGGCAAGGCCGCACCTGGCTATTGGATGGTACGTACCGCGCAGTACCCTTACTTCTTGCCATGGGGTATTATACTTAGTTAACCGTAATTAACTCTGCACACTTTAGGCCAAGCAAATCATTCACCTTGTCAACAACGTCGGTGCTGTTGTCAACAAGGATGAGGACATCGGAGATCTTCTCAAGGTCGTCTTCCTTGAAGACTACAACGTCAGCAAGGCCGAGATTATCGTTCCTGCCTCGGACATCAGCGAGCACATCTCCACTGCTGGCACTGAGGCTTCGGGCACCAGTAACATGAAGTTCGTTCTGAACGGCGGCCTGATTATTGGAACGTGCGGTAAGCAGCAGTTGTTTCCCCTGGGTTGCTTGGTCCGCATGAGACTGACTTGTGAATTTTGCAGACGGTGCGAACGTAAGTCAGCACTCTGGTTGCGGCTTTTAGTTTTGGATCACAGCCTGCAACCCTCAGCCCTTCCTGCTGGCTGTCAACTGGTGTCTGTAGTTGTACACTAACAATCCTCATAGATCGAGATCACGCGCGAGATTGGCGAGGACAACATCTTCCTCTTCGGAAACCTGGCTGAGGACGTCGAGGACTTGCGTCACTCGCACACATACGGTTCGCATGCCGTAGACTCGGACCTCGCGAAGGTATTTGAGGCCATCGAGAAGGGCATGTTCGGACAGCCCAACGACTTCGCGGGCATGATTTCGGCGGTGCGCGACCACGGCGACTACTACCTGGTGTCAGATGACTTCCACAGCTACATTGAGACGCACGCCGTCATTGACGAGGCGTACAAGAACCAAGAGGAGTGGCTCACCAAGAGCATCACCAGTGTCTCCCGCATGGGCTTCTTCAGCAGCGACCGCTGCATCAACGAGTATGCGGAGGGTATCTGGAATGTCGAGCCGCTGCCAGTGGACAAGGGGGAGAACGGAGACTTGTGAGGCCAGCCTACCTAGCTACTAAAGTACAAGGGCGAAGGCGCCAGTAGAGGCCATTGCTTTACATTAAGAGCAACTGCATTTTACTATATCAGTTCGAATAGCAACTTTATCGTTCCAGACGAACTTCTCACCTTCTCTCCCGTCATCCTGTGAGAGGCCCTCCCGTGAGGGAGTATCCCGCCGTGGAAGTCTATTAGAATGGTGCCCTGAGGAGGGTATACTGTAAGAGGGTATGATATGACGGCCTGCCGTGTGGGAGACTATCCTATTCTATCTGAGAGATCATCCGGTGTGAGGTTGAGATATGAGAGGGTATGGTGCAGGAGGTTATCCCACAGGAGAGTGTCCCAGAGAAGGTTGTCTCATAGGAGGTTATCCATAGGCCTAAGCATTTTTAGGGGTGGTTTTATTTTCAATCCCTATATATATAAAATGTATGTGGTGCCTTTATATAATAGTAAATATTTAAGATTTAATATTTAAAGAAAATAATATTAATAATAATAAAAAGAGAATATAATATATAAGTATATAATTAAACTTTATATTATAAAAGTTAAATTAAAAAGTATTATTTTTAATAATATTATTTATTAAAATTATTAATATAAATAGTTTAAAAGTTAATTTATTGTAATATTAAAATTAAAATTAATAAAATAATTATATAATAAAATTAAAATAAATTTTATAAAAAAGATTTTTAATATAAAATTTAATAAATCTTTTTATTAATATATTTAATAATTATTTAAATTTATTTTTATTAATTAATTAATATAATTTCTATTATAAATATATAACTATTAATAAAATAATAATATTATAATAATAAACTTATTTAAAAAAAAAATTCTTTATAAATTTTATAATATAATTAAAGCTAAATACTTTTAAAACTTATCTTATAAAATATTAGTTTATAAGAGACTACTTTATAAAAGGTTAGGTAGTAGGCACTGCCCG